CCAGAATAAAATATTCTGCGTCATAGAACGTTTTTGTTTTTATCTTAACGAATAATTAAATTAATACACCAAACATAACATTTTTTAATCACAAAAAAACTATTTGTGATCATTTAATTGCGTCCAAAATTAAATTTTGAAAAAAGCTTCATTGAATTAAACACTGAGCTACCAGTTTTTATCACATCTCTCCGCCGGTATCCTACCAGCGGAGGTGGAATTAGAGCTTAAAGGAAAAGAAAGAAAATATTTTTTTAAAAATAGTCCTCGGTTACAAATAAATTATACTTGATGTTTATTCAATAATTATTAGTTATAACTTTGAATAGGCTAAACCGATACAACTTCTGTGTCCTGCCGTACTGTTGGTCCGTTTTATTTATTTTTTTAAATATATTTTTTAAATTATTTTAATTGAATGCACTCAGAAGACACGAGCCAAGAGAAACCAGCCAATGCTGTCACTCAATGTGAGGGGTGAAGGGGCAAAGAGGTTTTGAGGCCGATGTCGATTAAGGCGACCACTTTATACATAAGGAGTGGGGTTCTGCCAAGTCATCCAGCGTATCTAATCCCATCTAATCAAACGTCCTCAGACAAATCGTCAAATCTCCCTACTAACCTTAACCTCACTATCCACAACCTCAACATTCCTTTCGTCAACGAACTGATCCATTCCAGGTTCGAAATATTTCACCCTAACTTCTCGATTCATCCGAAGCCTACTGCTCGAACTCTGTCTACACATTCCTACCAACCACTGGCTGGCTTGTCTTGGCTTGCTTCTTCCGGGTGCAGCGCTGTCATTAGCGTTAGTTCTGTGATCGTGTGAAAAAACGGTTTGTGATCACATTTGTCAGGTGAACGGGGTTCTTGTATAGAAGAAAACGAACGGTTTTAACACAGTTTGCAAATTTATTTGAATGTCTTAGCAAACACAGGACGACTGCGCAAGCCCTTTCTAATTACCGTACAAGATGGTGGGAGCAATATATTTAATGCCATCTATAATAATTAATACTTTCAATTAATTAATGTTTATGTAAGGTATTGGTTGAAATGAAAAAGTTAGTGGGATTCGAACCCACGACCTTCGGCTAAATACGCCGATGCTCTACCACTTTAGCTATCGTGACTTCGATCCACTCAGACACCAACTTATCATCTCAATCTACTTTTCGAATTTTCCCTCATTTTTGCCTTTTTTCGAATCCCTTAATCGAAATTTGAATTAATTAATTGAAAGAAGTTATTTGGTCAATCGGACCACGAAATGTAATGGAATAAATAATACTATTATTCCCCAAATAATAAATTCTGTCGATTTTTTTATCTAACAGCATTTATAAAATGTACTAGTAATTATGGGTAAAAATAATATATTTAAAAAATAAAGATAACAGACCAACAGTTCGGCATGACACAGACGTTGTACGGGTTTAGCCTATTCTAAGTTATTAAAATTTATATATATTTAATAATTATTGAATAAACACTTCTTTACTTAATTTTGTCTAACTGCTGTACAAGAACAATAAACTGGGTCGAGGTTTTGTCTAACAAGATTTATAAAATGTACTAAAATAATTTAAAAAAATATATTTATAAAATAAAGAAAACGGACCAACAGTTCGGCATGACACAGATGTTGTACGGGTTTAGCCTATTCTAAGTTATAACTAATAATTATTGAATAAACACTTCTTTCCATTTAATGTTATTTAATTTTCTGTTTCTAAATCACTTAAAAAATTGTCCTTAAAACCCCACTTAAAATGTATCTGTATTTATATTAATTGACTTAAGTTTAAATATGTATGTTTATGTAGGGGATATTTTTATTTCATTTATTTGAAATTACTCCCAGCTGTTTTCTTTTTTCATTTGTATGTTTCTATATTTCACCAAGTGTACTCTTAAGGTTAAAAGCCACATGAATGGATGCTACTGAGTGATTACTGATTTATATTAAGCTCAAATATGTGCACTTCTTACAGTTGTTACGATCACGGGTGGACCGCGAGTCAAGGAGGGAAGTCAAAACCCGTCCAACCGAAAGGATCCCGGAAGGGCGAAGTTAGAAATACTTTTAAATTAGCTAATATTGTTTGTTTAATTGGTGGGGGATTATCAATATTTAAATTTTAATTATAATTTATTTGTAACCAAGAATTATTTTTTCAATACTGTCTTTCTTTTCCCTTTATCTTTTACTCTACTCTTTCTACTCTCTAATTCCACGTCCGCTGATGGGAAATCGGCGGAGATAGGGTGACAAAAACTGGACTTTAATTCACAACAATGAAGCTCTTTTAAAAATCTAATTTTGATCGCAATTAAATGATCATAAATCGTTATTTGGAGAAAAAAAAATGTTTTTGGTGGAGTGATTTCATTGTTGGTTAAGATAAAAACAAAAATGTTCTATGACACAAAATATTCTAATTTGCTACAATTTAAAAAGATAATTCTACAAAATACTGTTTTATTTTGCATATTTTAATGTACATTTTGTAAGCAAAGTAGGTCAAAACTTGGATTTGACCTCATTGTAGTGATTCTAGCGTTATGAAACCCTTAAAGAAATTGTCAAATGCATTTTATTACTATTAAATATTAAAATTAGACTATTATTTCCTTTTAAAAAATTAGGTTAATTTCTGACAAAAATATTTTCTTAGAGAAATCATTTATATATTTTTATAGTACGCACGTCGTTAAAAAGCTAACGTTTTTCTTCTTTTTGTTTTTAAAATCCTTTTAGCCGATTTATTATATTAATTATATTCCGAGAACAACTTCTTAAAAATCGGAAAAATTTTTGGGTTCAAAAAATCGATAAATTTAAATTTAAAAAAAATTATATTTAGGAGTCTCTACAGGTGCTAAAACAAAATTTCATATTAGTTTCACGAAATTTTTTTTAACCGACTTTACTTGAAAAATATTTGGTTTTAGAAATTTTTTGGTTATTGATAAATTTTGATAGCTTTTACTATATTTTTACAAAAAATTATGTCAAATGATATATTCACATAGTTGATTGGAGTAAGTTGACGGCGAAATAAAAATATTAAACAACGAAAAATTTCACCTTTCAAATTCTTTTAGCTGGGGCCTATTTACAAGTAGTGGCGGATTGATGTCCGATATTTTCGAGTGTAGAATCATTAAAAAAAAGTTTGGTCCAAATCCGTGAAACACCAACCTGGTCATCACCTTGTAAGCCTGTCCACTAGAGAGGACTAGAGTCAGAGTAGTAAGATTATTTTGCAGAAATGACACCTCAGAAAACACCTACGCAACATGGGTATTCATGATGACCCCAATTGTAGGTTGATTGAACTGAATTTAATTTGAACTGAGTTTAGGATTGNTGACACCTCAGAAAACACCTACGCAACATGGGTATTCATGATGACCCCAATTGTAGGTTGACTGAACTGAATTTAATTTGAACTGAGTTTAAGATTGCCAGGCAGCGCAAATTCAAAGCTAGCTCGATTTATACCAAACGTATGCGCAAATCACTCTCTTCATGGCTCCACACAAAAATAGAGAGAATCGAAGAAGCGGATGCCAAAGAGGGTGCTCACGGCTGATAGGTACTGAACCCTTTTGTGGTACAAGGAGCCATACTATCAACTACTATCTTAGGAAGACATGGCGAAATTGAGTAAAAAATAGAATTCACAGGGCGCAAACAATTTAAAAATCTCCTGGCGAGAATTGAAAAGAAACTACAGAATGCATTAAAGGAAAAAAGGAAAGACTCCAAATCCTAACTGGATACTTAATGGACTTGGTTAGTTAAGAAAGATAGACATGAGTCAACATGTTACGGTGCAGATTCTATAGTAGAAGTCAAAGAGGCAGAAGAGACCCCACCGATGAACAGATGGTGGTGCCACGCTTATCCGCAGGAAAAAATAATTTAGGACATAGCACGAAACCGAAGAAGAAATACCACTTCTCAAATCGTGCCAAATCAAATTCGTCGATGAATTGGGACGTACCGGTATGCTATAGGCACAGAATAGGGGGTACAATAGCTCTCAAGGGCGCGGTATGCCAATTCCTATCAATAATTCAAGGGTTTTAACTTTATTTTATATTGCCAACAAGTTATATTAAAACATCAAAGTGCAAGACGCCTAATTGTGAGCCGAGATACTATTAATATTTGGAATAAGGTCTTCTAATCATGCTTTTATGGTTTCCAATGTATGAAGCATTTTTCCATTAGTGGGCTATTGTTCGAAACGAGTAATAACCTGAGGGAGCAAGGTCCGGATGTGTAATGCACATTAGAAGCTAGATGACGCCCATTTCGGAAAGTTTTTTGAAAAATTTGCAAGGAGAAACAAAACCTTTCTATTCTCCAGTGCTTGGAAGAACAACTTAAACCTAAGTTTTTTTTTTAGTTTTAACATAAATTTTCTAACAGAGTTTAGTTTTTTTAATTAAAGAGTTTTCTAACTAATTGAAAGCTTAAAGCTGGGAACAATGAAATTCAAGGCTGTTTAATAAAATTAATCCTAATTCTTTTTCAGATCTTATGTTCCCAGTATATTATTAACAACATTGCTTTTAANTGAAGATGATCTCAATAATAGATCGAAACGTTGGCACGATAAAGAAAATGTTTTTCTGAAACCTACATCACACCAGACCGCATCTCACGATATCTGAATAATTATCGATTAACGGTCACTAATCTCCACACATTTCTGCAAGGTGTAATGTACATTAGAAGCTAGTTGATGCCCATTTGTTGATGACGCGGAAAGTTGTTTGAAAAATTTGCAAGAAGAAACAAAACCTTTCTATTTTCCAGTGCTTGGAAGGACAACTTAAACTTAATTTTTTTTTTTTAACATAAACTTTCTTCTAACAGATTTTTTTTTTATTAAAGAGTTTTCTAACTAACTGAAAGCTTGAAGCTGGGAACCAATGAAATTCATGGCTGTTTAATAAAACTAATCCTAATTCTTTTTCAGATCTTATGTTTCCAGTATATTATTAACAACATTGCTTTTAATTAGTTTAACAATATCGTCTGCAGCAGGTTGGTTTTAATGTGTGACTCGAGAAACGACTATTTGTCTAATTTTCCCTTTTGTTCCTAGACCTATCTAATGAGTTGGTGACGGAAGATAAACTAGGCCTCTGCTCGGGGTACATGCCCGGCGATGACGATCTACAGGGTTTAGATCTGATAAGGAAGTACAAGCTGGATTCCCTCCAGCAGTGGAACAAGGGCGTCGGCAGGGTACGAGGCTCGAACGCAGTACAGACAGCATTCCGACTTGAAAGGGATGCAATGCTCACACTACCGACTAGGTGAGGTTCATTAAATGAAGGAAGATTTCGGAGTTCGGATAGTTGTGGTCTACCTATATACGTTTGGCCTGCTAGATACGTTTAGTCAACCAAAATACAGGCCCACCTCACTGACCACGTGAAGAAATCCCAGAAGAAGGAAGTTTGCCTTCTTGCGACAGGAAATCCAATAGTTGAGTCGAAGGCATCGTAGCATCAGAATGTTTTCAAATCCTTCCATAGAATGTAGGAGTATGTATGTCTCTTTGACATTTACTCTAAAATCCTTTTTTAAAAAAGATAGTTCCTACTCACAGTAAGTGTGAGATAAATAATTACAAGCGGTAGAGAAATAAAAACGAGAGAAAAGAACACTTGCCTAAATCGAAATTTTTTTCGGAATTTAAGGACCATCTAAAAGAACAAAACATAATTTCAATTCAAATTTAAATACAACAGTTACATAGTTTCAACAAAGGGAGAGAACTAGATTGGTTTGAGAAATTTGAAATTAAAAAATTTAAAATTGAACATGAAGAAACTTACTGTGAGTAGGAACTATCTTTTTTAAAAAAGGATTGAACACCGCACTCACTCCATCATTCATCATTTCTATTTACTCTAAAATTTCCTTAGATATTGTACATCTGTCTTTTTATAACACTTATAAAAAAATTCAATTAATTAATTTTTAAGTAAGTTATTGGTTGTCAGTGTCACGAGCGGGATTCGAACCCACGACCTTCGGCTAAATACGCCGCTGCTCTACCACTTGAGCTATCACGACTTCGATCCACTCGACTTATAAAAATATTTAAAGTCAGAAATATTAGATGACTATAAACGATTGGTTTGGATAATTCTTTCAGGAAAGTAACCCATTTTGGCAAAGTTCCCGGATATCATTAATGAAGTTGACTAATGAATCATGAATGCATGATAAGAAATTAACTTTTTTTTTCTTGCTGGACTGGAAGAGAGGGTTGTTTGTCTTTTCCCTCTGGCCTTATAACGTACTGTGCTGTTATGCTTTTTCGGCCCTATTTAGCTGACCTTGTGCCTACGGATTTTCACTTATTACGTGCTCTGAGAAATTAGTTTAATGGGAACCACTTCGATCGTAGGAAGGCTGCCAAAACCGGCGCTGAGTTCCTTTTCTTGTAGAAAGTACCATCCTTGAAGATGGTAAAGCGGAAGTGCAACAAAATGAGACATTATCGATTAAAAGATTTTTCGATTCATTTACAAAAATGAATCGGTTTTTTTTTAAATTATCTAATGTAGAATAAAAATGAAAACGTTTGTGAACGTGAATGAAATTTTTGCTTTCAGGGAGATATTTCCAACCGGACTGCCGGACCAGTTTTCTTTGGTGATGACGCTGCGAAGCAGGAAACTGGCTAAGGCCCCATGGCATCTAATCCGTATCGAGGATGATGTGGGAAAGATTCAATTTCTAATCGCGCTCAACCCAAGAAAAAGGGCTATAGAAATATGGATAAAAGATTTGAATGGAGAACTCAGGCATAACGCATTCCTTGAAGTTCAAGTAAGCGCATAAAAATAAACGTTTTAATTTTATATATGTATTTAGTACACATAATTGACCTAATTAATTATTTTAATTAATTGTACTTTTTATCTAAGGTCTTGGCTGGAATGAAAAAGCTAGTGTCACGAGTGGGATCCGAACCCACCCCCTGAAAATATGGCCAAAAAGGGAAAATTCGCAAGGCTGTAAGTTGAGGAGCTGGTGACAGAGTGAACCGAAGTGATTAGAGCAGCGGCATATTTAGCCAAAGGTCGTGGGTTCGAATCCCGCTCTTGACACTAGCTTTTTCATCTCAACCAAGACGTTAGAAAAAAAGTATAATGAATAAAATAAGTTCTAATTTTAATTGTATTTTTATTATTATCAACGTTAGTAACAGTTAACACTATTCGTTTGCCTAAAGACAGCGAATATAACTAATATAGACATTTTTCTACATAAAACAACGTTTTTTCTCGAATTTAACATGGATCGTTGTATTTTTAAGCCATTTCCAAGCTAGGACATTGTAGTAAATTCAATAACGCAAGCAATTTAAGCAAACAGTTGTTAAAACAATAATCTTCTGCTCAATAAAAAATGTAAATACTCTGGCTCTTTTGATTCATATCTTTGTCATTCAATACTTCTGTTAGTATTTCTACACTAAATTTGCTCCTTTATTCGTACCTTTGTCATTCTCCAATTTTATTTGTCATTCTCCACTTCGCTTCGTGTCTTTTTCGTTCACCACTTTTCTTTGTTATTCGCAACTTTCCTTTGTTTTTTCATTCGAAACTACTCTTGATCCTTTGTTCAAATTTTTCAATTTTTGTCATTCGTCAATTTTCTTTGTCATTCACTACTTCTCTTTGTATTTCGCCCCCAAGTCTTGATCCTTTGTCTTTCACCAATTTTATTTGTTATTAGCCATATCTCTTAAAATGTCTTTTCGTTTCTTTGTCTTTCAGCAATTTTATTTGTTATTGGCCAATACTCTTGATCTTTTCATTGGTATCTTTGTCATTCGCTACTTCCCTTTGTTTTGTTTTTTCGCTCTTACTCTTGATGTTTTGATCCGTATGTTTGTCATTCGCTACTTGGTCATAAACTACTCCCCTTGGTTTTTTCTTTTGCAACTACTCTTGATCCTTTGATTGGTTTCTTTGTCAATCACTAAAATTATCTTTGATATTCAAAACTTCTCTTTGTTTCGTTTTCGTTCATCACCAGTTTTCTTTGTTGTTAGTTAGGTACGTTTATTGACCCATCGCTTCGTATTTTTATCATTCACCAATTTTCTTTGTCATTCGCTACTTCCCTTTGTTTTTCCGTTTTTGTTCTTTCTTTTTAGGCTTAAGACTTTCATCTTCATTACAAGATGCGTGAATCTTGTTGTACGTTGTAGTCACATTGGTTAAAAAATTATTATTTAATTAGAATTAAAGGAGTAATATTGCGATAAGTTAGGTGAAACATAGGTAATAAACATAAAGTTAGGTGAAACTTTAAGAACAATTAAAAATTCTTTCTTTTTTTTAAATGTTTTTGTTTTTGATTTTTTAAAACCTTTCATAAAAATATATATTTCATCCAGTCTGATAATGAAACACCTTGCAACATGCTGGGAATATAACGCCGAAAGATTTGCTGATCGGATGAACGAAAACGAAAGCAAGGGTAGAACAAAGAAGGTTGAAGTGAAGTAATGTGAAAAACATGATTCCAGTAACCTTTTCTCATTGAATCGATATCACCGTTGAAGGTTCGACCCAGAAAACGGCGTTGCTGCTTAAAATGTTCACACTTGCGTGCAGCGTTTCGCAATAAACTGGTGTCTTTGTATTCTGTGTGCGACAAACGAAGAGAATAGTCAAATCTCGGCTGGTTTACCAGCTAGATATGATAATTCGTATATTTTTAGTTGATTGAAGATTTTTTGCATTTCGGATCGTGAAGTTTGCCTATTTTCTAGATTATTTTGTTCTTTTCTAAAAATATTGCTTACACGGAATATCTTTAACATATACAAATAATATATTATTTTACATCGAGATTATCCTTATTTACATAAATATTTAACAAGATGGATAATATCTCTGGGCGTCTTGAGATGAACGACTGAAACTTCGTTAACACTAAAGGTCAATTCGACACGACAAAAGCAGATGTTATTCTGAAATATTAATTAGCAGAGTTGCCATTCTAATTTTGACATCTCATTTTCAACTGTCGGAGAATGATTATAAGAAATTTTGAAATATGCGACATTTTAACGTTAAATTTTTGGTTTGGTTACAAGCTGAAAAGTTTAATTAACAAAAACAACTATTTTGTTTCATTTACAATGACCGTCTTTTATTTAGATTTCCACTGTTTTGTAATTTTCCTGTACCCAAAAATACCAATTTCCAGTGATTCTCATTCCTGTCCTTTGTTCTTTTTACAAGTATCGAAAATAGGGCCTTTTAAAAAAAATCCATGTTTTTCAATTTTAATGAAGTGAGTGAAAGAATAAAAGCAAGTAGCAAAAAGAGAGAGAGAGAGAGAGAGAGAGAGAGAGAGAGAGAGAGAATGGAAGTGGCCACGATAAGGAGAGGGTGAAAGAGCATGCAAAGATAATGAGAATGAGGGAGAGAGTAAGAGAAATAAAGAGAAAAGTGGGAACAGAGAGAAGGGGAAATAAGAGAGGGAGAAAGAATGAAGAAAAAACAGAATAAAGGGAAGAGGCAGAAAGAGAGAGAGAGAGAAAGAGAGAGAGAGAGAGAAAGAGAGAGAGAGAGAAAGAGAATGAAGTGAAAGAAAGAACAAAAATAAGAAGGAGAAATAAAGTGAGAAAGGGAACAAGAGGAATGAGAAGAGAGATAAGCGAATGACTGAACAAAATGAGAAGAGTGGGAGAATGAGAGAAATAAAAAGAGGAGTAAGAGAAATAGACATTGATTGACAAAAATAATAAAATCAAGAGGCAAAAAGAAAGAGTAAGTATGAGAAAGAGGAGAGAGAGAATGGATTGAGAAAAAGAATAAAATCAAGAGGCAAAAAGAAAGAGGAGAGAGAGAATGAAGTGACAGAAAGAATAAAAGTAAGAGGGAGAAAGAGACCGGGAGATGGAAAAGAGCAAAAGGGAAAAGTAAGAGAGAGGAGGAGAGAGAAATAATGAAATTAATTGTGAGAATGATAAAAATAAAGAAGGGAGGAGAGAGAAGGTGGAAAAGAAATAAAACTATCGATACTTTTGCAAGAAATTAGTAGGGTATTTGAAAAATTGAAATCAGGTCACTTTAAAATTCATTAACTCAAATGAAATAGCATGTCAATGCTATTATTCTTTTATTAAACTGTTTACAAATTGAAAAATTATAGTGAGCCAATGTATGGTATGTCCTAGAAGAGTTAATGGTTTAAAAAGAACTGATAAATGACCTTTACGTGTTTAGCTTTTTGGCTAGTAACAAACGGTTTTATAATCCATAATTTTGGTACATATGCACACCTAACTGAAATTAAATTGTAACAAAAGATTAAAAACAAATAAATGGACGGTCATTTAAAGGGGAGCTTTTCTTCTCTTTTTCTTTTCTTTTCAATAAAATACAAGATTCAGTGATTGATTTCCTGTTTTATTGGAAGTGCTCATTTTATATTTTAAAACGAGTTTGTTTTCACTGTTATTGAAAAGAGGAAATTAGGTTGAAAATCAATAGATGGAAACACCTTTTTTTACGAAAAATGATTTGTAAGACGAGAAGTGAGAGTTCAATTTAAACAGTACCTCCTTCGGAAATGAATTAATTTTTGCGATTTGTAACCGGAAGGTTTGTGAAAAATCATTTTTCGAAAAATTTAGATTTAAAATAATAGAGAGATTAAACAAGAAAAGGAAAAACATCCTAGAAGCTGACTGATTATAGTTAATGCAACACAGAAGAAACTACCTGTTTTAAGACAAATTAATTATAAATTCAAATTCTCTGTCAAATTCTGACAGGCTGTCGAAATTTTTTTTTGCCCACGTGAACGTTCTGTTTTGTCAAATTTTCGTATTCAGTTTCTTAGATTGGCAACGAGAAGTGTGTGAGGGACTACATGGTGCATGGCACGCAGGGGGTTGCGTGTACGTGATGGACTAAATGGAAATGTTTGACCAAGAAAACTACAAAACTTCTCAACATTTTCTAAACTCGGCGGGATGTATAAGTTAGAATCGAGTATTGACGAGCATAAATATGTTTCTATGCAGTTTATCCAAATACGATTGGGACGAATAATCTGGATCTCGATATGGTCTGGATGAAAAGATACAAACTCAACTCTTATCTGCCAAATTTTCGACGCATTGTAAGGTCATGATCAGGGAAAACAATCTTAATGACGTATAAAAATTAAAATATATAAGTTTTTAATAGATAGTTTCAAATTTCTTTGAACACAGATTCAGTCCCAACATTGGCAAGGAATGTGATAATGGGACTGTTGGGAACTCAGATTGTTTAATTGATTTATCTGAATACTGATTTATATATAAAACCAAATTTTAAAAATATTAGTGTCTTTATTAGTTAAAAAATAAACATATGTTAATGCGCCCGATATTTACGACTGGAGATCGATAGTGGCCTACATTTTACGTTTCTCTAGGCTAAAATGAAAATCAATGAGTTAATGGGTTGGCCAGTAATAAATCTCAATGAGATATCATTATCAACTAGCTTCAACTGTAACAAAAGCAAGAATTACGACACTTCTTACTTTACTTCGGAATGCGAGCGTCCTTTTTCCTTCCTATTTAGTTCGTTGACCTATTAAATTTTATGTGTAATTTTTTTTTTCTCTTGAGATGGACCCGTCCGAGCGTAACGCTTAATTTACGACCAAAGGGTAATTCCTTTGAATGTCTTTTGTTAATGCTTTCGGTACATAACGCTCGATTACAAGCATATCAGACTATACGTAAACCCTTAGCTAAATAAGTTTTTCTTACTACTTTCCCAACATCGATCCGAATTTATGACCTTGCCAACCTCTAGCTTGCTGCTGTAAACTATTTTCAAGGTAATACACCTAATCGTACCTCCACGCTCGTTTTGAGCCAGCGGAAATATATTTTCAAGCAAATAACTCCAAACCTTCGATAAAAAAACATCAATTTTATAAACCCATGAAATCCCCCTTCTAATGTCGAGTATTTTTCAATACAATCAATCCTCTGGCCGACTTTCTGACATATTGATTTTTTAATCAAGGTCATTTGTTTCTTTTTACAATCCAAAAACATCTTCGTATCAAATTGTAACAGTGTATCATAAGTTTGACAATAGTTTTTTTGCATATCAAAGCACAATTTATCCATGTTCATTGGTTGTTGGTACGTCGTGGATGATACAATTCGCGCTATTTGCCTAATCGTATAAAATCACAGGCGAAAAAGCAGTTTACTGCTGATAGTTTTAGCATAAGACGAAGAAAAAACACCAAAAGAACTTTTTTTTTAAATCAACTCTTTGTCAAACATAGTTTATGCTGTGAGAATTCAGTTACTGGTGATGGGTGTTGGTCTGCGATTGCTGAACCGGCATAGGGCCACTTATTGGGTCTGCCTTCACTTGCTGCAGATCTCCCGACGACACGATGTGACCCTTGTCCAGTATGAGTTCACCGACTCGCAGATCATCACCCATCATCAACTCTAACACAGTCAGTCAGGCCCCTTTACTTAAAAGGTATGTACATAAAACAACCCGCGGGTGAAGGCAAACCCTATGGCGTTTCAGGATTCTATATAGCATACTGTTTAAATCAATAATCGAAAAGGACGATTCACTCACAAACTACCAAATGATTGCGTTTTAGAAACATTTGGTATAATCAATTCATATTCGAATATTCCCGCTAAAGACTGTGCAAAATTAATAGGACAAAAATTATCGAGAACTCCAAGTTGTCAAAAACGATTAGTAGACCTTTTAAAATGGGGCTACAATGAAACTACCGTAAATTTAACAATAAATTGTATGAAATATTGTTACCAATGGGGTCGATATTATACTCACTTTGCGGTGAAATATTTATGAACCACTTCGAAAAACTTCTATTTGAATCAAACTATTTAATAATTAAATACGTTCTCTTTTGGGAATCGTTATGTAGACGATATTTTGTTTATATGGGCCGGGAACCCTAGAATATTTAAGAAAATTTCTCCAATTAATAAATTCTTTACATTCTAACATTATATTATTAATAGGTAAAAAAATGGTTGTTTAAACTATCAAGAGTTAAATATTTATATTATACATAATTTAATTGAAGTAGACATATACAGAAGACCCATAGCGTCCATGTGCTTAATAAGCCCATAAGGCTGCTGGATTTATTTGGCTAATAGAACGTTTGTTAAAAGTCCTTCTAAAATCAGTTAATTAAGAAAGACAGTTGGAAGTAGAAACATCCTTTTTAACTAGTGAATTGATATACTCACTCCATCATAATTATTTTTATTAATACTGTTTAATTTGTGTTAATAAATTTGATTATGGTCTAATAACATTTTCTCAAATATTGCTAATTTCTGATAAATTTCTTAAAAACCTATGTGTGTAAAGAGTGTGTGAGAGAAAGAGAGAGAAGAGAGGAGAGGAGAGGAGAGAGAGAGAGAGAGAGAGAGAGAGACAAAAGAGAGAAAGAGAGAAGGAGTGAGATGGAAAGGAGAGAAAGAAAGGGAGAATTTAATTCCTCAGGTGGAATTAGGAGGTGAGAGAAGAGAGAGAGGAGGAAGATTAAGAAAAGTGAGATAAAATGATGAAAGTTGAGGGAGGAAGAGAGAGTAGGCGAGAAGCGAGAGAGGGAGAAAATTAAATTGAGAAGGAGAAATAGAAAATACTAAGAGAGAGTGAGAAATATAAGGAGAGAATAAAGTGAGAGAAAGAAGGAAATTAAGAGGTAGAAACATAGAGTGCAAATGAGAGAGAACAAAAGTGAGAGGAAGGACAAAAGTAAGAGGGTGAAAAAGAGTATGAAAGAGAGAGAGTGTGTGAGGGAAGGAAGGAGAGGTAGAGAGAAAGGAAGAGTGCGAATTTAATTCCCTAGCTCAAATTAATGGGTGAGAAAACTAGAAGAATTCAGGAGTTCAGGAATCTTGGTTCGATTGTTTGCATTGTTCAATGTTTTATGATTTGCCTTCCGCAAAACAATATGCAGAAACACTCGTTACCCAGTGGTCTGATTCTCAACCATTTTGAAGACATTTAATAGCAATTTTACCTTTTGGCTTCAAAGAAAATTCATTTTCTACTGAAAAACGTTTTCTATGGAAAAAACATTTTCCAGATTTAACATGTTATTTTTGCAAAACTTCAAAAAAAATTTCTATATTGCATAGTTTTGGAGAAAAGCAGGAGTACACTAGTACATTACAAGTAGTCATATAAATTATACTAATCTTTAACTATGAAATAATATACATACATATATACATGTGACACCCTTCAATTTATTTTGTAGTGACAACTACATTTAGATTAATCCGTGGGGATCCCCACTTTCAGGGCATTATCCAGAGATCCAGCCAATTCATCCATGAAAGACTAAATTTGTTAGATCCTAAGAAAGAGTGCTGAAGAAGTCATGGTCCTGGGGATCTGTTTCCCAGAAATCAGCATTCAGCATAGGGCCCTTCTTATTTAAATCAAGAAACACCCATAACAGATGCATAAACCTTGTAGAATATTGTGCTGTGATTATTGCCAGTAAAAATATGAATAATTATATTTTCTTTATTTTAATCTAAAAAGTGCAATTTAGTACTTTTCATTTATTCTAAAAAATAATTACTATAAACAAATGAGTGACACCATTAAAAACCACAAAAATTGTACAATTTGGTATAAGACTAATATTTTATTTGAAATTTGGTCATTACTTATCATTTTGGTCTGCCTACCCCTGCTGGGTTTGTCATCAGATGCACTTCAGCACTTGTAAAACACACTGAAGATGGTGAAACACCACTAAAACCCATGACTGACCAACCCAGCAAGGATAAGCAGACCAAAATGATCGGTAATAACAAAACACATGAAACATTACGATTTCAAGTTTTATTGCTAGAGACATATACGAGTAAAAGCAGAGAGTCAGTAACCAGATCGAGATGCTCAAATGGCTGCAGTTCAATACAAAATACGCGAGAAAGACAGGAAAGAGAAGGAATACATGCGGAGGGCCGGCGATGACCTCAGCTGTTTGTCGGCCCATAAACCTTCCACTTTATATATATATTGCTAGAGACTTTTTTTAAATTATGTTCTTATATTCTGCATTAATGTATATATTGATTTTATACTTTTGAATATTTCAGGTGTTTGATAAAAATTGGCACAAATTTTATTTTGGCGTCTTCAAAGATAGAATTGTCTTATTTGTCGACTGCCAGCTAGTAGGTACCATTTTCACAGAACTTAAAGGCACTATCGACGTGAATGGAAATATTTCAATTTCAACATTGGCCAATTCTCCTATGACGGTTCCGGTAAAATAAAATATTTACCATAAAAAAACTCAATTGCCGTTATTGGCATTCTTAAAAACAATTTTTAATTTCTCTTGAAAACAGATCGATCTTCAATGGATGCTCTTGAGCTGTGATCCTACAAGACCAGAAAGAGAAACTTGCACCGAACTCCCAGCAAGAGTACTTTTCTTTTATTTTTTAAAATTAGAATGTATTTTTGTAATGTTTACTTTTCTAGAGATCCCCACCTCCTCAAGAACAGTATGCACCAACCTGCGAAACTGTATGTCCAGCAGGACCTCCTGGATTCAATGGAAGCGATGTAAGAGAGATGTAGCTTAACAATTTGATGTTTAAACAACTATATGCAATAAATAACTGTATGTGAGAAATATATAACAATATTGCAATGACATTATTACAAACCAGGGCTATCCAGGGCCAAAAGGAGATCCAGGACCACCAGGTTTACCTGGACAACCAGGTATTCCAGGAAATTATGGTGCAATTGGACAGCCAGGACTAAGAGGAGAACAGGTAAATTAAAAAAATTAAAATAAAGCAATTTTGAAATTAATTGTTCTACAAAGTGAACGTGAAGCTTTATAGTCCCTGATCCTCTTTTTTCATCTTCAGTGATTCAACAAAAATAATGAAAATAGGATAAGATCAGAGATGTACAAACCAAAAATATAAAAGTGAATTTTTTCCCTTCCTGATTTGTCAGTCTATGTTGATATTACACCAATAATGACAATATTAAATCCCATTGTCATAATTAACAATTAAACAAAAAATTTATGTATGTATTATGTATCTATTAAAAAAACTTCAAATGTATAGAAAATATTATAAATAGAAATTGATCTGTAAATTTTAATAATTTTAATTTTTAATAATCTGAATTTAATAATTTGAATTTAATAATTTAATTTTTAATAATCTGTAAATTTTAATAATTTTTAAGTTTGTAGATTGAAAATGTTGTTTTGAATTTAGGGATTGCCTGGTAGAGTGGGTCTAAAAGGAGAAAAAGGAGAACCAGGGTTTCCTGGCCCTATAGGTCCTCCTGGGAACTTTAGTGATTTGGATGTGTTGCAAGGATTGATGGTAACAATTTAATAAAATGATGATATGAGTGTTATAAGTTTGTACTTAAAATTATACTCTTATACCTACAGGGACCACCTGGAGAAAGAGGCTTTCCAGGACCTGAGGGTAAAACTGGTTTACCAGGCAATGACGGACGTCCTGGTGAAATAGGGCCAAAAGGCGATAAGGGAGATGCAGGGTCAAAGGGAGAAAGAGGCCCTCAAGGACTACCGGTAATTTTAGAAGTTTCAATACGAATTTGTGTTTCAGTGCATGATTAACTTTTTTAGGGGTTGCCAGGGCTTCCAGGTTCTGTCACCAGCTTAGCTGAAAGTGTTGCAGGTTTACCGAGTGAAATAGTACTACCTGGAACTAAGGGTAAATCTAGTAAATACTCATAAATATAAATGAACTGAAAATAATACTTTTCTAGGAGAAAAAGGAAGTCAAGGTGAGCCTGGGCTGAAAGGAGAACCCGGAAGAGAAGGGCCTAGGGGATTCCCAGGACCAAAAGGTGATGTTGGACCTATGGGACCTCCTGGTTTACCAAGCATTCCAATCAGTTTCCCTGTAAGTGAAATACAAAACCATGTGCAACCGATATTCAAAGAAACTTATTTTTGACTGATTTTAAGGGTCCAGAAGGGCCTCCTGGTCCCAAAGGTGAACCTGGTAATGATGGTGTACCTGGTACCCCTGGGGTTGGAAATAAAGGGTCTAAAGGTGAACCTGGGGTATTTGGACAGAAAGGTGAACAAGGTTTTGTAGGGCTACCAGGCACTCCAGGTGCAGATGGACTACGTGGTGCTCCAGGACCTCCAGTAAGTTTAGCCATGTACTATAACAATAGCAGCAAAATATAGAGAAAATATTTTATTTTTTAAATTAATATTTAATATTCTTGTAGGGAGAAATAGGACTAAAAGGGGAAAAAGGTTATGATGGTTTTCCAGTGAGTATAATTGTATTTGTCAATAAAATAATAGATTTAATGCTGTAATATTAAAGGGGCAACCAGGTCCACCTGGCCTAACGGGAAAGACTGGCGAGAAGGGAGACATGGGAAGTGAAGGGCATCAAGGGCCCATTGGACCAAGAGGATTACCAGGAAGTGCGGTATGTCACAATGTAACTTTAAGAAAAGTATCCATGAACTTTCAGCTATCGAGAAATACTTTAGGGTGCTGCAGGTTTTCCTGGTGTACCTGGTACCAACGGAGCACCAGGGGAAAAGGGCGAACGAGGGTTACCAGGACCCCCTGGCCCACCCGGGGAATCAATCTCTGTCACCAGTTATAATACAGATCATGATGGCTATTTACCAGGACTACCTGGCGCTCGAGGTCTACCTGGGCCGGCAGGAATGGTAAATATAAGTTTATTTAATTCACAGCATGGGATTTAAGTATTTTCCTTTTTTAAGCCTGGAGAAAGAGGAGCTACAGGTGAAAGAGGACCAGATGGGCCACCAGGTGTGCCGGGTCTTCCTGGAAAAGAAGGGCCTTCAGGTATGCCTGGCCCACCAGGACAAAGAGGACCTCCAGGTTTACATGGCCATCCAGGACCTCCAGTAAGTTTTACATCCTCATTGATACTGTTCATTTTCAAAATCACAATAAAATTGTTCAGGGAAGATCATACAGTGAATCTGAGATAAAAGATATGTGCGCAGCAGTGTTGAGAGAACAAATGAGTCAACTAAGTGAGTTACTTATCGGGCCTCCAGGGGTCCCCGGAAGGGGAAAGCCAGGACCACCTGGTCCTCCAGGACTACAGGGATTGCCTGGTAAAATTCATAATTTACAAAAATAAGGTTCATTATTAAAAAAAAAAAATTATGTTACAGGTGATCAAGGAAACCCTGGTCTTCAAGGAGAAAGAGGATTTCCAGGACAGCCAGGACCAGCAGGCCCACCAGGTGTCGATGGAAGACAGGGAGAGAAAGGCGAAAGAGGAGAACGAGGTCTCGAAGGTGTTGGTGTCGAAGGTCCAGTTGGAATGAGAGGACCTCCAGGTAAAGTTTTTTTTAACAATTTCTTCACATTTAAGATTTCAAGTATCAAAAAAACAAAATTAATTTAAAAAACTAATTACCAACTACAATCTAGGTCCTCCGGGACCCCAAGGCATTGGTCTACCAGGAAGAACAGGCGAAAGGGGTGAACAAGGAAAACCTGGTAATTTTTTGTTTTTTTGTTTACTGTAAAAATTTCATTATTAACCTTATATTTTTAGGAATGCCTGGACAAAGAGGTCCACAGGGTCCCCCGGGTCCACCAGGTTTCTGTGAATACTGCAACAATTATCAAATTCAAGGACCCACATATGGCAATAGTAAAGGTCCTTAAATGACCCATTTGTCAACTAAAAAAAAATAATAATAAAAATGAATCAATCAGAGATTTTAAAAAGTCTTGTCCAACTTTGTCAATTTCTCCTCTCTGATGGAAAATTGAAAAAAGCTATCTCTCAACTTATTCCGTAAGTAATTAACGATTACTGATATATCTATATATATATACTGGTCAATTCAATAAATGGTGTATTATTTAAAGTAACATTGTAATACATATTAATTTCTGAAGGATTTTTATAGTAGATATCTGTAAAAATTTGTTATAAATCACAAAACCAAATCTGAAACTATTAAAATTAAATTGATTATTGTTTATTTGTAGTATATATTTTTTATTTAATGGTGTTCACTAATTATAAAAAATAATATTTTTTTAATAAATGTACATGTTATTACCACAAATACTTGTATGTTGTATGTATGGTCTGTATATACATGCCCAATATTGTTGATTTTGCAGAAAATTTGAATCAATAGTGATGTATTTCAGAAAAATTAATACAAAGTATAGATGACAAAAAAAAATTAAAAAAAGAAATAAGTTACTACTTGATATCAAAGACAAATTGTATGAACCGTTTGTTGAAAAATAATCCACTATATTAAGTGAATTTTATTTTCTGTGTACTTATCTTTAACAAATAAATATTTGAAAATTAATTTAAATTGGTTTCCAATTTCTGTACAAATGCTTTTTATTCTGATATATTGGACCTGAAAATCTGAGGCGATGTTGAAACAACACAGGTAAAAACAAATAAATGGATTAAATAGTTTTTTTATTAAATTAAAAAAGATAAACAATTACTTAAGTTAAATCAATACACAAGGTGATAAAAATGATTTTTTTTCCAGTCTTGTCACTTGGAAAGTGTTCATTATCCATGATATTTGAGATTTTGATATACAGTGATTATTATCTAAGCTTTGGTCTGATAATATATTGAACAACAAAACACAACAATGCTACAAAATTGCAGTACGTCACAATAACATAAAAGACAAACAAGACAATACAACATCTCAAGCAACAAATTGACACAAAAAATAATTTATAACAACTAATTCCTATATTTTTAAATTAAAGCTGAGAACGACTATAGAATTAGAAACTAATTTAAAAAAAAAGCGCTTTTGTGACAGCTCACTCAACTTTAACGAATGAGCAAATATGTGAGCAAGAGGTGGGACGGTTTATTAAAAATATATATATCAATATAATATATACATTAAGGCCAACCAAAATTGATGCCAGTCAGCTGATAAAATCTAATGTTGAAAGGTTTATAAAAATCTCTGAGTCGTTTGACTGCCAAAGGATTTATGTAAGGATGTATTCTCCCTTTTGTACTTCCAAGACAATGTGGTGTAGAACGCCCTTCAGACTTCATCAAACAGGGAAATCCTTTTGTGGCATTGAAATAAAAGTGCTTTTCTGTAATCACTCTTTTAAGTCCTAAAAAATCCTAAAGAAAAAAAAACAATCGTTTTTACTTGAAACATTGAAACGAATTTAACAAAATAATTGTCTATATTAATGTATGTACAATAAAACCTTCCTATAAAGGCATGTATACACTAAGCAATCTCAGCCAACAAAACACAAATAATATATCGGGCCGAATGTTGATCGCCGACATATTGGCCATCCTTGACTCAGATTCATCAACCGAGGGGTTGGGGCAAAGGGATTTGGCCATGTGGAATCACGACCCTTTTAATGTTACTGCCAGTAGTCCAAACCTTGATCAAGGCCAACCACTTCATTGGCTCTGATTCACCTACCATACACACAAAGCAAATCATGGCCAATGAAGTGGTTGGTTGCCTTTCGTTAGCTGAGATTTGCTTAGTGTAAGCAAGCGCCTTAACTGACTCTTGGGGAATGAAATATTGTCCTCTATTCGGGTCATTCACTTTTGGGATAAGAGTGAGAGAAAAAAAATAGTATTAACAGAAGGGCCATAATGGGGATTACAAGATATCAACATTTTTGAAACAAAGGATTTTTGATTTTTCTAAGACCAGAGGGTTTTTCAAATTCACCAAGCATTAATGCAAAGTTAAATGCTCCTTTGAACCTTTTTCTCTATAATGCTCATTTTTAACTGCATAGTTTCCAGAAGAGCTCTAAAAATAAGGTCTTCTTATCACAATTAAAATGTTTTGGGTGTATAAAAATTAATATTGATAAGCTTTTACATCCAGTTTTGTACAACTTGGTCCTTCACTCCTCTAATAGTAATAAAAGAAATCTTATGCCGTGTTCTAAACTTGTTAAGCCAACCTGAAAATGTTTTAAATAAATTCTACGGCAAATTCTAACTTCTAACACCTTTTCTCGGATTAGACTGGTTTTATATACAGATTTTACATACGTAAAACCTGGCTGAACCAGGAAGGTTTTAGGAAAAATCTATGGGATTGGTTGTGTGTTTGTAAAATTTATCTCAAAGTTCCTTTTTATTCTTTAGAATTTCACTTGCCCTCTGTCTTTCCACTGGAAAACTTCACTGCCAAGTCTTGCACACATTTTGTTTTACTTTCACCCACTTTAATTATATTAATTTTTTTCCGTATGTACAAACACACTGAAGGAGTACATAAACTTGTTTACAAAGTGACATAATCAAAATCTAGGTATATTGGAAAAATATTAGAAGGCAAAAACACATAGGGGAACACTGAGTTTATCAGATTTGTTCATTTTTTGGAAGCTGCTGTCCCCTTTTGGAAGTTTTAGTCAAAATATAATCAAAAGCTGACCTGTTATGGGGAATGCTTTATAAAAGATTTTAATGTGAAAAAATTAATGGAAAGAAGCCAGGGAATCAGAATTTGTCCATTCAATGGAGGCGTCCGCCTTTTAGAGGTGCTCTTTAAGATTTCACTACTTTCAGGTATAACTTTGTATATACAGATTTCCACCAATTGGTTGCTCTGTAGAACTAAAACTATTGGTATTGGGGATTCTTCCACTTGCATGCAACTGGGTATCAATACTTATAAATTTTTAGTTTTCTTAACGACTAACCTGCACTCTCACCATCTCCGCTGCTGGATCTGCAATAAGACGTTCACCGCTCACAAATAACATTTGACTGAGAGGAAAGTGTTTAAGCCATTTCAGCAAGTGTTTTGCGTAAACTCCTATACGGACTGGACCCCATGTCGTATCCACTATGCTGAATCCGCTATCTTTGACAAAAGCCAAACATTCAAATTCTTGGAGGCTGTTTCTGTTTTTCTTCTTGCTGAAAACAAACACATTAAAGAAAAATTAAAAAAAGAAACACTTAAGACAAAAACAAAATAATCAACCTTGCAGCTTGAGTATAATCAGATATGGCTCTTGTCACAGGGTCTCTCACAACTACTAAGAGTTTCATTTTGGGATTCATCTTTTTTACACGTAAAGGAACTTCTTTGGTTACAAAATAGCTGGGTGTTTTCTCCATTGTTACCTGACCATCCAATGTTGGTGGCATCTTTTTTCTAAAATTAAAAATAGATACAAATTTTTAATACAGTTTTTATTTTTATTTTGTTGGTTTGTCACTACCAGACTTATTACTTATTTATTTTTCGGCCTAGTTTTTATACACTAAATTATTCACCACAGCTTTTACTACGTTTCAAGCCATGCTTTGGCTTCCTGTTTTTTTGAGTTCCAACAGTTTATTGTATAAAAACTTTGTCAAAAAAGTAAATAAATAATAACTCTGACAAATGCAAACAATATCCTAAAATTTATGTCATATAAAAATAATATTATAATATTACCTGTACCAATTAAAACCTTTGAGGTAGTATCTGTCAAAAAAATGGACCTCGGATCCAGCGGCCCTGACATCTGGATGGAGTCTTAAGAATTCTAAAAGTGCTCTAGTTCCAGATTTCTTTACTCCAATTACCAAGGCATCAGGCAACCTTCTTATTGGCCTAAAGCTGTGATTACCTAAGAGGCGATATTTTGGACTTCCATCCTGAAAAGAAAGAAGTCCACTTTTATTTATTCATTTACTCTGCAAAATCCTGTTTTAAATGTTTACTAGAAAATATTGAGTATAAAAAAATAAATAAATAAAAAATTAGCTGCCCATCTAGAGAAACCTCACTATGAAGATGGCAAAAAGTCTAAATACGCCTGACAGACCAAAACAGCAAGTCCAGGCAGACCAAAATGATTAAAAATATATAAACTAGGTTCTCCACCCTACAGAGTCCGAGAGGAAATTTCACAATTATTTTCAATCATGAAAATATAGCCCATCATACTCGATGATACATTGCCAGTTAGAGGCCAGCCAATCAATTCCCTGGTGTACCACTCGTTTGATTTAAATCTGAAAAATGTTTTCTACCCCACTTTTTACAACTTCCAACATTTTTCAATAAACCATTGATCAAAATTGGTAGTAAACTGGAGGAGTAAAGACAGGACTACATGGTGGGCGATATTCTTAACGTTTTTGCTTTGTACGTTCATGTTGGTATCACCTTACACATCAAAAATTTTGCAATTTTTTTTTAATGCATATTATTGGTATCCATCTGGAAAAAACTCAAGGTGTACAATAGTAACTATAGGAAAAAAGCAAGCATGTTCTTTATTGGGTATAGCAGACTGATTCTAGGTCTATCCACTTAATCCACACATGAAGATTGTGTCATTAAATTAAATTTTCACCATATTTATTAGTCTTTTGTTAGATTTCCTCCTGTGGTTTCAGGGTAAACCTATATTTTTTATTATATATTTTTATATTGGATATTTCGATTGATTTAGTGATATTTGATATCATCTTAGTCAGAGGTCTAATTACAGTCTAATTTTGTCAGAGGTGCTGACTTTACAGAAATCACCCATACTCAACACTGAGGAAGCTGTCTCTCAGATAAAATTGCTGAGGATAGGCAGATTAAGATAGTAGGTAATTATGAAATTATAAATTTTTATTTTCACTAATTGTTTATTAAATGAATTTTAGAGAAGCAAACAGTCCATTTCTGTGTTGGACTCACGAGCAACTGATCTACATGCTCTTTTCAGTTTCTCTTCTTAGTTGTAAATGGTGTAATAAAACAAGAAAATCTGAAAGTTATAAGTGTTTTTTTAATGCTCGTAGAGCCTTGGTTTTCAACACAAATGGACACACTGAACCTTGCTCCCCAATACATGCTTGTATCTCCATTTTTAGACACTAAGCACCGTCAGTATCTTTTTCAAAATTCAAACTGCCAGATACAACCTTCTCAACTAACCCTTGTTCTAAAATTATGAACTGCAACAAAGGAAAAGTCAAGACAGCATTACGGTGTGCTTCTACTTAACTGGCTCATTGTGCCTCAGTGAATTGAAGAGGATTGAATTGAAATGCTTTATTTATAATACTCGCAGATTTAGGTCAAAGGATTGAGGATAGAGGCACTGAAAGAAATAATTTAAGATTTGTGACTTCTGCAGTGTTTACATTAGCTTTCCTAGTCTAGAAGTGGCTAGGCCCAAAATACCTGGGATTAGTCAATTTGGTTAATGCGAACTCAAAATAAATTTTGATTGTGACTGAATATGAATGAAACATTGTCAAACTGTAAGCAAAACATGTTTAATAAGTCATTTATGAACTGTGATAAGTGAAGTCTTTTCAGTGTATGATACAAATTGCAATATATTGTATACATATTTGGGTGTCTAAAATATTTTGCTGTAAGGCAACATGCCTACTAATAAACTGGTGCTATTCATTGGAGTATTTGAAAGAAATCACATCATACATTTCTTAATCTTCCAATTGTTTTTATAGTTCATTTCAAACTGTCTAAATTTTCCTGCTGCTATTGTTGTTCTCATCATTTACCTATTTCTAAAATTAAACTTTAAAAAATGTCAATGAGGTGGTTTCTGGCTCCTTTGGCTTAGTTCTGTGCTGCAGAAAATGAATTGTTGGTTCCTCTGACTTGACAATAGCGGAAGCTGGTTGTTTCTTGAAAGATAGAGGCATGGGACAAATGCTAGTTATAATAAGTATATGGTACTTTTTCTTTTTTAATGACTATCAACTACAGTGGTTATTTAATTATTTAAATCCTAGTAGAGTTGTGTGAACAGGAGGCATGGGAGGCCACCAAACTATGCTACTTTTGTGTGATAATGTTGAAGTAAACCGGGACTCAAGAAACAACACCAGAACTCCAGGATATGACTGAAACAAACAAAACATTTGACTTGGCCGGTGTGGTTTATCCCCAGTTGAACCTATAATAAATTGGTCATACTACTTTTACTACCGTTGAGGCTATGTTACTTAAAGATATGTACATTTTATCATTGAAATGGCTCAACACTGAAATGCGTTTCAGTAATTCAACAAACCCGAGTGTGAAGACAAACACAACAAGTGATCCAATGCCGGTTCAGCAAGAGTTCACCAACTTGCAGAACACCTTTAACAAAGCCAGTCGGACTGCGTTAGTTGAAAAGTGTGTACAGTTTTTCACTGAAGATGGTGCAATGCTAAAACATGTTTAAATAGTTCAGCAAATTCGAGAGTGAAGATAGACCCAACAAGTACTCTACGCCGGTTTTGCATGAGTTCACCAATTTGCAGATCACACCTAGCATCAATTCTAACACAACCAGTCAGGCTATATTACTTGAAAGGTACGTACAGTTCCTCACTGAAGAAGGTTCAATGCCGAAATGCCGATAGACCCGATAATTGATCCAATGCCGGGTCAGTGTGACCTCACACTATGTTTTATCTATATATATTATACCCTATAACTTTTTACAATGTAATTGGTAAATTGTTCACCTCTGAAAGTTTGAGATTGTCCTGCTCCGGAAGCCTCCATGTGAGAAGAGGAATGAGCCTTACAACAGGTTCATTCTGATTTTTAATTAAACTGGTCAGATTCTTACTCGTTAAATTTTCGCCTATTGAAATTGCTGAAGAGTCGACCTAAAATAGATAAAACAAGAATAAACATTTTTATTTTAATCCGTCGTACAAGTGCTACTTACAGAATAAAAGACCCCATGGACTTTATTTACCAAACAATTGATTGAAAGGAAGGTGTATATCACAAAAGAGGAAACTGCAAGGTAAACTAAAATATGTTTATTAGTCAAACGGAACGATTTGACGTTCAAAAACATCTCCCAACAAGCTACAATGCATAATTAAAGTTTTGTTATGACTTCTGAAATTTGAAATACGGATGGACTTATCGACGACATATCTTTCCGGGCATATAACTTTCATAAACAGAACGACTGGCCATGGGTGTCAAGTTTACATTGAACTCTCCTGCTGAACAACAATGACGTCATTAAAGGAAATGTCTGAATTCGCCCTTCTTGCCCATAAATTTATTCACTTTTTTATTATTTTATTTTTCCTCTTGTAACAATTAATAAACAGAAATTAAGATTAAATACAACAAACCATCTACAGAGAGTTTATTAATTAATATCTACCAATATAACATTTTTCCTACTATCCTTTTTCATACCAATATAACATTTCACATTACTTCTTTACATTTATGATCAAAATAAATCAAGTGAAATAATAATCAATATAATGCTACCTTTCCAGTTCTTACAATTTATATACATACAAATATGGCTAATTTCGTAATGTATAATGTGTTTGTCTTTTATTTTCAAATATTTGGCAATACTGTTACGATCCTTGGCAATATTAGGACTGAGTCAGTCTTCAATGAAATTTGAGACCCTCCTTTAAAAAACTTAATATGTCAATCTGTGATATATTTAACACTGTTTTGCCCTGATGATGACCTTAAAATATGTCAAAAGCTGGCAGTAACAACTGAATTTATTTTTTTATTCAAGACCATACCTTGATCCAGAGTGTTCGTGAGTGAAAAAGTGGTCGATACTTCTAATATTGAAAACCTTTTAAATTATTAATTAAAGTTTTAAAGTCTTAATGAAGAGGATTATATAGCTCAAAAGCTTGATAAAGGAATTGTGTTTTCTTCCCATATAAAAATAATCACACATATATTTTTATTTTGTTGTTACTGATTTAAATAAGCTGCGCGTACATACTCACAGGTGTACAGAGTTAACCCTATCAAACAGTTTGCCGGCAATTCTAGCTTTTGTATCATTTGCAATAAATTACCTGCAAGCCCGGAGAATGGCCTCAGGTCTTGGCAGTCCGGGGTCACACCTTGTCGGAGGTTTGGTTCAAGGGCTATCAACAGCTAAGTCATTTCAGTCTCCAACGCAATTAGTTGGTAGATACAAGTTCACTCTAGCTATTACTCACTCTTAAGTAAATGCTTTCCTATTTACATACCATTTACTCATTTGATACTCCTTTAACTTATGTTTAACTAACCTAATTGAGGGTAGTTGGGATACCCAACATTCCGCTACTGACACACATTACACATTCATGCTAATACATATATTCACTCTCAACACACACTAGGGGACTCAAAACAATACATATATCCGTACTAATATACAATAAACAAAGGGGACCCATTCCTGCTATCGTGCTCAAGCACTATTCACACATTTGTACACACTCGCTAAATGGATGTTACTGATAGTAGTGGTCTGTTTACCCTTGTTAGGTTGATCTGTCAGACCAAAATAAAATCACTGATCCACTGTTGGAAATGATGAAACACTGGAATCAGTCAGAAAGACTAAAAAACAGGAAAATCAGACCAAAATTACTAGAAATGATCGAGTTACATGTTCATTTTACAAACCTCAAGAAGAAATTGCAAATTGCATTGTAAGCCAGTCTTAAATATAAGTATATATAACTTAGAATGAGTATGTTAAAAATAATTGTTGTAAATAATTTTGTATGTATTTTTTTATGCATGCTAAAGAGTAAAGAGTATTAACAATATTGCATTTTTTTATTCAGTAGTAAATATGACGATTTGACAACCCTGTGGGGAACAAAGGAATGTTTCACAAAAACCTAGAGGGTGCTAAAACATAACAAGCTAATAATCCCAACTAATAAGGGGGAAAATACTAGTTTTATTAAGGGAAAGTTGTAATTCGTTGCGGACATGGCTCATCAAGTTGAGGATCACCATCAATTTTGGATTACACCAACCAAATAAGCTTTGTACGTCCTATACCAGAGGTTCAACAAAGGACAAAGGGCAAGGGACAATGGAATGGGAGCGCCTTAGAAAAGGGTTGCATGGATGGCCAGGTCATGGCCAAAACCCTTGCAGTACAGGCATTGACTGGCAGGACCAACAGTTTTTGCTTTTCCTTCCTTGTTAGGGAATCAATAAAAAAAGGAAGGATTGGAAAATCAAACAGAACAGTCATTAAGAAAACAGTCAGCATGGAGACTGGCAGGCAGTTCATCTGACAGACAGTAAGGGCCAAAACAAATGTCTAGTTAGCAGCCAAAAGGAGAAACTAGGAGCGGCTGAAGGCTCATTTAATTATTGAGACTATCTGTTAGGGTTTGCAAAATAGATGAGAGTGCAGAGTTTAGTCATTTCAATCTGTTTTGATGATTTGGTCTATCAGATATGTATCTGCTGTTTGCCAACTTCAGTGTTATTTTGTCAAGTTCGACAACAACATTCTTTGATGGAGTAAGTCTGTTTTATCAATCATGTGCTGCTATGTAGTATTTTCAATTAAGTAAATAATATCTGTGTACATTTATTTTTCTGTTTCTTGTCATGATCTCTGTGAATTCATACATTTAAGAATGTTTATTACCCATTCTTTGGATGTAACTTAAACAAATAAAAGGAACTACACAGCACTGAACAACCATTGAACATGTCTGGCAGTCAAACCCAGCAAGTGTGATTTAATGTTTTTTTATTGTAATACTAAAAATTATAGTGGAATGGAAGGGAAGGGAATAACAATCTGCAAATTCGTTTTTATTTCCCCAAAATAGTTGAAACTAAATTACACTGACCATTTAAAATGCAAAACATTTATTATTAATAGAAAACTTCACATCTACATAGTTTTCATTCAATGAAATAATTTAATATCGCTTTTTACCTTTTTTTTTAATTTTTAAAATAGTTTAGTACAAAAGGCCAACAAAAAATTTCAAAAATTAAAACGTAATTGAATTTCACAGCACAGTGAAATCAATAGATGATCATTTTTACATTACGTACAAGAGGGGAATTAGAAGAAATTGACACATCCAACATCAACATTATTGTTCTAAAATAATTTAAAACATAACAAACCAAAACAGTAATAAAATCTGGAACATCATTACGGCGAATTAAAACTGACAAAAAGAGATGTTTGATCATGGAGATTTGACTTATGAAGTTCAGAGGTTGGTTTTCTTGACTGGACATCTACGTTAAATATCATGGGGAAGTATTGCACTCTTCCTGATGACCAGCACTGTGCAAGGAAAAGAAAATGTACTTGCAAGAATAATAAATCAATAAAAAAAATGTAAACTTACAATCGTAAGATTAGCACCACTGGTAAAATTGTGCTGAAAGCAGATATATGAAGGTAATTCTTGAGGTAATCCCAAAATAAAGAAGCTGCAACACAAGCATATTATGCAAACTTTAAACATGTCGAAAATTCAGGTTTTACAATTGTAAATACCCAGGATATATTTCAAAATGTGGCGAATGATTGGTATAGAAAATGGCTATAATTGGTGAATCTTGAAACATGACAGCAAGATAACGATTTGATTTGTCCCAGGCCAATCCTTTCACTTGGCCGCCAACTCTATAAAAAATTTAAAACGTTAATATAATGAATGTCTATTATGAACATAAAGCACATTTTATTAACAGGTCCCTTTAAAAAATATTTTGATTTTGCTTAAAAGAAAGACAAAAGATAAAACTATTTACACTGAAGATCCTATTTGTGTCCTGGTTAGATCAGCAACAAGGTAAGCTCCTGCATTTTTTTGGTTTTTAAACACGTGTTGGGCAGTAGGAAGACAATAAATACAATGTTCAGTCGATGTGGCAAACAGTAGAACCAACCCGTCGTTAGACCACACACAATGGCTTACATGGCCACCAACAGTTAACCAACTTTCATAACTCCAGTCGGAACAATTCCAAACCCTAAAATATATATAAAATTTAATATAAAATAAAAATCCAAGGGGAAATAAAAGTGTACCGAAACATTCTTGAGACAGTTGCTGCTACCAATTTTGAACCGTCAGGACTCCATGACAATTTTGCAACTCCGCTTCCACTACCCCACTTCAACATAACCGATCTACTTGTCTCAGGATCCCATGCTGTCATCAAACAATCACGACCATTACATGTCATGAGAATATCTCCCTAAAAATCAAATATAATTCTAAAACTATGTGTCATATACAAATTTTTTGCACGTTTAGTTTAATTAAATATAATTTTTGTTTAGAAGAAATATCAATTCTCACTTACTTGAGGACTCCATGAAATGCTGGATACGTATTTATCCGGAAGTAGAAGAGTGCTGTTAAAAGAGGTTCTTGAAACGACTGAATTTGGATCAATAGTCCAAATGTACACACCAACAGAGCACGCTACAGCTAGTTCACCGCTAGTCAAGGGGCTAAAAACAGACTAGTTGATATTATCATACTTAAGAGGTCCATACATGTACAATATTATTGCACAATAATTGAGTTTGTGCAATAAAATTGATCATATGTAGATGATATTGAAAGGCTGTGCAATATGTTGTGTTAAAATATTTTTTATATAATATTCATTGTGCAATATGGCAAATATTGTACCGTGTGTAGACAACATTGTACAATATAGCATCAGCTGTAGCTTCTAGCATATTAGTGGTTCTTCTCCCAATTTGAGCGGCAACCATAGCAAGGAGTTCATCAAATAATCCATCATAGGTAGAATGTTTAGCAATCAAAATGCAGCTAAGTTCGGTGTCACTCAACATGTTTACCTGGTCTCAAATATCCAGTAACTGAATTTATTTAGCACTAAATAATATTGTATGTTTAAGCCAGCTTTGCACAATACATTGCTCAACTCTTCAATATTAAATCTACATGATTCAATTTTATTACACAATCATAACAGTTGTAGAACAATAATGAAAGTTATGGACTGCTATAAGGGATTATTATGAAAACAATACTACACACCGCCAAGCAATTGTTGTCACCCCTTTTTGAGCTTTTGCTTTAAGAATAGGTGTTATGGCGCAGTTATTAGAATAAACTGTAATCATGTCATCTTTTGTAGCGACGGCAAGTTTGGTGCAGCGAGGATGCCATGCCATACAAACTACGATTTCTGAAGAGTTTCTTTGTTCAAAATGCTGTGAAAAATAAAACCGTGTCATTAAAAAAAAAAAAAAAAAAATTACCCGTGAAAAATATAAATAAATAATATTACCTCCTTTTTCTTGAATGGACACAAATCAAAAGCCTTTTCATATGTTTTTTGAAGAGAGCAAAAAAACTTTCCAACAACTTTGAAGGCCATATTATTTTCGCTTTCTAGCATTTCAAACAACTTGGTAACCCCTCTCTCGTGCCTACAATCAATAATAATTATTACATGCCAACCTATTGACAATTGTTGATAGTATGCAAACTAAATATTCATGATGTGTGCATCATAAACATAAGGTGAGTTAATTTGTATACTGTAAATAAATAATATTATTGATCTAATATTTTCTTGAAATTTGAATTCTCACAGCGAGCCATGAAAATTGCCTACTCTTGGGTTGTCGTCAGTCAACTTATAACTTAATCTTAATGCTTAGCATTGTTTCATAGCAATTTATCTACACAAACTATTTCTAATGCAACTGAGAGTCGATGGTTTTCTCAAATGAATCCTTTGAAACGTTTTGGGGGTTTACAGGACTGAAAATACTGGAGACATTTACATTCTTTCTGGGAGAAAAAAAACTCTCTTTACTTTTATACCCAACTATTTTTTGGATATTGAAACAGCTTTCAAACAATAGTTAGGTACGACTAGATCTTTGGTGTTTCTAATATTTTAAATCATATGAATTGTTTTTATTTAAAGTCTTGTGATTCATTTTAAAGCTATACCTTATTTATTGCTTATGTATGTCCTCAATTTATATGTAATTTAATTATTGAATTTTAATTTTCTGTGATTTGTAATTTTATCAGGGATTCAACACTTAGATGGCTGCTTGTACACTTTGTGTAAATTTTTACAACTACAACTTTAGTTATTATTGCAATTAATGGATATTGATCAATATTTTAATAAATAATAAACTGTAATTTTTTTGTTTTAATTTACTAAGCTTACCAAGCATCTTGTAGCTTTTGAAATAAAGAATCTGAGCCAGGAAGAAACACATCGCCTGGGAATACTTTAGCATAGGACTGTTGAATGATGTCTTTCGTTATAACAACTTTAGGGTGGTTAGTAACCTATAACAAGTTTTAGAGACATAAAAATTCACAAATCACTATAATAATAAATAGTACAAAAATAATTAAACTGCTTATCAACCTTTTCCAACCAACAGGGGCTTTTGTCAGCTATGTCATTTCAGCCTCCAAAGCATGCAAAATATAATCTAGCCTAAAACTCACTTCTATAACGCAGCCACACAAATAAATACACTCACACCTATACCATTGCACTCATTCTATTAGTCGGTGGAGTACTCGATTTGGAACCCTTGCCCTACACACAGTATTTAGGTTAATTATCGTAAACTGCTTAATAATAAATGTATAATAATCATTCATGATTCACTCTTGTTATGTATAATTAAAGAAAATAAACGTTAATGAAAAATTTATGTGAGATTTTATTATGTTTCTGCAAGGGAGACAATAAAATAAATTAAATACGAGTAAATATAAAGAATTAAAAATCCAAGTTTGCCTATTCTTAAGAAATGATTTTTTAATTAAAAATAAATTGAAAATTAGATGCATAAAAAACTAAAACACTATCTATTGATTTTTTGCATATGGATCATTTTTTGAAATTTTTGAAAACTATGGTCTAGTAAAAACATCCATAATAACAATGATTTGCCAATGCTTTTTTGGATTTTGTACAGCTGTTATAATTTTTTTTTTCTGTTTATAAAAAATATAATTATTATTAAGTAGGCATTAATGATAATAAACTGCAATTGGATTAAGAGGTTACAAAGATTATCCAAATATTTATATTTCCAGCCATTTAAATACAACTGTCTATTATTAATCAACATGATTTGATGCTTAAAACATGAGTTATACAATTCATTTGGATACGAAGGACGTAAGAAATTAGCAAGGTAAACGTTGATCTAAGAAACACTAATCACACTTATTACTTGCAATCAATTACTGATAAGATTAACTTAATTTAAAATGCCCAATAACAATTCTAAGGAACAACAACAAATGCTTCCCAAGCAAAAAAAAAATAAACAAGAAGAACAGCCAACATTTCCTCCTAAAGCAGAATTAGACACCATATTCGAGGATAAAAGTTATTTTAATGATAATGAAGAGGGTTCGACAAGTAAAGGTGTAAATACATCTGAGAAGAAACAAAGTCTTACAAACCTTGCATCGGAGCTTAAAATGAATGAAAACCCAAAAGTTGATTTAGAACCCTCGAATACAAGTATGGTTAAAAACCCAAATCAACTTCAGGATTTAAAAAACAACACACAAAAAATGACCAACGAAAAAGCTTTAAACAGCACTTCACTACAACTATCACATTCACCAATGCAACAAAAAACTATCCCTCACAGAAGTTCAAGTACGATCAAGATGTTCATAAATGAATATTCTTCCACTTTAGGAAAGAAAGAAGATAATGATAAACTGACAAAAAACAAGAAAAGAGAAAAAATGCCACAAACAGTTACCAAGAAAGTTAATGTACAGCTTGAACGAGGTACAACAGGAAATTTAAAAAAAGTTACATCTGAAATATATAAAACCACCCCAAACATTTCAAAAGAAGAATCGAAAAACCAGTACGATTCATCTACTAAATTAAAGCAAGCAAGTACAAACACAATACAAAACAAAGTTAACAAAACAAGAGACAAAAAAGGAATTAATGTTGACACCCATAAAGATCAAGTTCCATCTACTAATTTAAAACAAGCAAGTACAGACACAATACAAAACAAAGACAACAAAAAAGAAATTAATGTTGACACCCATAAAGATCAAGTTTCATCTACTAATTTAGAACAACCAAGGACAGACACAATACAAAACAAAGATGAAAAAACAAGTGACAAAAAAGAAATGAATGCCGACACCCATAAAGATGAAGTTCCATATGATGCAGCACACAAAGGAAATTTGACTGAAAAGTTTAAAGACAATGAAAAGGTTGACCCCATCAGAAATTTATATTCTACACCTAGAAAAAGTTCTTTAAAGTCATCAAGCGACAAAAAAGTAATTAATGTTGGCACCCCTAAAGATCAAGTTCCATCAACTAATTTACAACATCGAAGAACTGATACAACCACAAATCAAACCCTTCTAACACATTCTAAAGATGGCATAACAGAAGTACCAGATCGGGAACATATCCATTCGAAAGATGACAGTCCAAAAATACATAACAAACAATCAAAATCAATTGATTTTGGAAGTGTTACTGACATAGATGGTGCATCCCACAAAGGAAATTTGGTTGAGAAGTTTACAACCAATGAAAACGTTGACCCCATTAGAAGTTTATCTTATACCGCTGGAAAAAGTTCCTTTAAGTCATCAACAAGCGACAATAAAGATCTGAATGTTGACACCCATATAGATCAAGTAACATCAACTGATTTAAAACATCCAAGAACTGATACAACCACGAAACAAACCCTTCCAACACATTCTAAAGATGGCATAACAGAAGTACCAGATTGGGAACATATCCATTCGAAAGATGACAGTCCAAAAATACACAAGAAACAATCAAAATCAATTGATTTTGGAAATGTCACTGAGATAGATGATGCAGCAATCAAAGGTCATTTGGTTGAGAAGTTTACAAGCAATGATAAGGTTGACTCCATTAGAAATTTATCTTACACAGCTAGAAAAAGTTCCTTAAAGTCACCAACAAACGACAGTAAAGATCTGAATGCTGGCACCCATAAAGATCAACTTTCACATATTAGTTTAGAAAAAGATGTGTATCCTTTGAGCCACTATCAAAGGCATTTCAAAAAAAGAATTGTAAAAAGTGATCCAGATCCTAAGGATCATCCTGAAAGTAAGAAATCTCAAAATCAATCAGATACTGTAGACAAAGATGAAATGAACCAAGAAAGAAAGAAGCATAAAAAGCATAAAAAGAAAAGTCGTGATACATCAAGTGCAAAATCTACCTATGAATCGTCAATACCTGCAGGACCTGCTCAACAGTGGAGTAAAAAGTCACCCAGTATTACAAGAGAAAGTTTACCAAGCGATTATTATAAAGACAAGGAAAATAGTTCCTTCGAAAAATCAAAAAGTAGTGTTCCAACATGGCTTGATTATAAGTTAGCAAAGGAACTGGAAAGGAGGAAACTCAGACGACAAATGTCTGAGCACAAATTAAAATTTACAGAAAAAGTAAAGAGCACTACAAGTTTGGTAAATTTAGTTATACTTTTTGACTGTATCAATAGACTTTGTCAAGTCATATTTTCCTTTAATGTTAAATTTTACAAAATGTATGAATTGAACGAAAGATCAGATAATGCAGTGAAAGAAGATCTTATGTTAGAGTTTTGCATCGGTAGTCTGAGCTGTTTGGTAGGATGGCTTGCTGACTCTCACTTGGGAAAATATTATATTGTGTTATATGCCAATTTTATCGCACTTGGTGGATCCTTAATGTTAGCCACCTCAATTTCATTGAGTGATAGCATCAGTTATACGGTGAAGGCTGTTTTATATTTCTTGTCTACAATGTGCTTTTACTCTTGTAAAGTGGTAAACCCTGCACAAACGTTTTTAGTGCTTGAACAATGCTCAATGCCTCAAAGTACAAAACAAATAAGGAGGGCATGTGTATTTATGTATTGGTTAAGAAGCGTATTTCAAATTATTTATGAAATAACAGTAATGACTTTTTATCGCGAGGACACATTCCCACAAACACTTTCTCTTGTTAGTTGTGGCTTACACTTGACTTACATAGTGTTTCTAATTATAATTGCTCCAAGAATGAACGTTTTTCCCAATGAAATGAATGCAGTCAATAAAGTACTGTGTAAAAATGTGGCTAATCAAAAAAGAATGAGTATCGAACTTTATGAAAGTCAAAGACGTAGCCACAAGTTTTACAAAATGGTATATTGCCTCTCACCGTTTATCCTGTACTTTTTAATTGCACAATTCATATATATACCTTGGTTTATTAGATTACCTGGTAGTACAGATACAGAATATCAATTATCCATCTCTACTGTTAACATATCACTTTGTGCAATGACGATAATAACAATACCTTTATTAGAAGGATTAATTTATCCTTTAGTCTTGAGAACAAGATTCAATTATCTGAAACTTTTTGGTTTTGGAATAATTTTGCTTGGGTTCAGCTTTATATTTTCTCTTTATGTTTTTATTAAAACAGAGATGACATTTCAACTGCAAATAAGATCAGGCACTGGCAATATGATAATAATGAATGGTTTACAGGTTGCAATAAAAGTAAATTCTTCTTGGACAGGTGCAAAAACAATCAAACCCTTGTCAATTATAAAAATTAAGGCTTTACCAGTTAAAAGAAGAGATAACACTCGTTTTTCGGTGAAGGTCCAGAATAGAGATGTGAACTACTGGAAAAGAGTGTACATCTATGAACTTAAAACTACCGTATATATAATTAGTGACAAATTCAGATTCATCAGGGTGACAGGATTTGAAAATCATTTACAACATGAAGAAATGATAATTCACCTTACTAAAGTAATATGTTACACATCGACACATTTTAAGCCCATAAATATTACTTTTACCCTTGTCAAATTAGATGAATCAGCTCAAGCGAACATCAAGAAAGACAGAAGAAATAAATTTTACGATGATTTGATTGAGAAATACAATATAAATTCTACGCAATTATCTACGCCGAAACTTGGCAAGCAATCTTCAACAGTTATGAATGCAGGAACGTATTCAGTTGATTTATCGGCATATGGCATGGGCACAGTGAACTATACGTTCAAGAGTAGAACACTTTATCGATTCCTAATTCACAAGACAGAAACAAATACCTTGTTTAAACAATTTTTTAATGAAAAAATAAAATTACTCAGCTCATTTTGGGACACTCCGGTAATGTTGTTCTACATATTATCTATCAATACGATAATAATATCATACACCATCTACGTTTATAGTCATGCACCGGATAAAATAAAAACATTCACATATGGCATAGTGTCCTTTGATAAACATGTAGTTCCTGGAATCCACGCTTTCTATTACTCCACTTACAATACAATAACTACTGAATCCTATGTCATCGGCATATTCATATATATGCTGGACTGTTTCTTGTTCATGTATATTACAACTAAGCACCAAATCTCTCATATTCATCATAAACATAGTAGTAAATAACATTTTGATTTTTCATTTTTGTATTATTCTTTAAGTTTATATCATATACTTCATAAGTGACAAATATGAATTTACGATTTAAAATAAAAAGTTTTACCTAGCTTGCGATATAGTTTCTTTTTATATACGAGATTATTAAAATGAAAATAAATCGTCTACATCAAATTGTTTAAAAATTGACAGTGACAAATGATTTGTGTTTGATGAAAAATTTTCTCAAGATGGAAGATACTACTAAGCTCAAGTATCAATTTATCAAAACTATCTTTTAATCTTTTCAAAAGTGTACAACAATGTATCAAACTGTAGCCTATACAATTTTTTATGTTTAGACAAAAGTGATGGTTTAAAATTTTAATACATTATCTCTTTGATAAATATTCTTCAATTTTGTTTAACAATCAGCAGAACAGTTTTTTAAAAATTAATTTCATCTTTCTCCTTAGTTCACTCTCTTTGTACACGACACTAACCTATAGTCAAAGAGATTTTTTTCCAGCTGAGAACATAAAATATATACATTTATTATTATTAATGAAACGGTGTAAGTGTACTAACGGAGCCTTAAAGTAATCCACCTTGGATAAATGCCACAGTCTTCCAAGCGGTAAGAAAAGAACTCAGTCAGCATTCCAAGCTATGTATACAAATTAAAAACAGTGGAATAATTTATTAAATTCTTTCAATCTTTGGCCTCGAGAAAATAATGAATCCGGAAGTAAAGACAAAATTGTCAATAAATTTCAGAGCCTGTAATGCACTGCAGATGAAATCAAATAAACAAACACAATAAGAGGAAGCCATTCTATTTACCCAACAGGCTCATTGCTCTCTCAATAGCAATAATCTACTAAATTGTTTAAGACATTGCTGAAGAAGGGCACATTAGGGAATTAGAATGGATGAGGGTGTATAAATATAATTTAAACAAATAGCCATGGGTTTTCAAATCTTAATATATGATCGTTTATACGATGTCACCACGGGATTGATTAAGGTTGACACCTGAGGGGCAATGGTTCGGCAGAAGTGAGACCCCTCCCCAGGCTGGACTCCTTACTGCGGGAGCGACGACATGGAAGGTACTGAGTGCCTTCAGATGTTCCAGAGACATTGGCTATTAGAAAAGAGCTCCTAATGATTCTCTTAAGATCAAATAGATAATTTTTTGTACATCTTTTTTTTTTTTTTAATTGAATTTTGGTGATTGGTTATTTTGGGCAAGCTTGATTTACCTTTCTTTTTAGTTGACTTTAATTGAAAGAATATTTTATTTTTTATTTCAATTTGGGGACAGTCGATCCACACAAAAGGTTTTTTTCTGGCTATATTGGGGCGAGAACTTCACCAGTCATACCATATTTTGAAATGGTTTAGCAATATTATTCAGGAATCAAAATCGTGAGGAAGGTGGTATTAGCAATTAGTAGGACTCTCCCAGATCTCACAAAAATAACTGTCAGTATTTAAAACATAAACAAAAGGATTTAAAACATAGGAAATCTAAGTGGCTGCTTCCAACTGCTTCAAATTACAATAATATAATTTTAAAAAAGTAAACTAAAGAAAAAAGTTCATATATTGATTGTCAGAATTCCTCTAGTGGTCTGTGGGGTGATGACCTGATAATTTGATCCTTATCATTCATCTTGACCTACCTATCCTCCGGGTTCGTCTGTCAGACATGTTTCTGGATTATGTCATCTTCAGTATGATTATGATAAGTCATCTCTTTAATAACTTAATCCACCAAAGGAATGGCAAACAATGAAAATGGCAACACACACACATCCTACCCTCATGACCTTATAAAATAGATGTGAACCAATTTATTTAGAAAATGGTGGAAAAGTGTACAAAACAAATAAGAACTGTTTAGGCTGATCGCACACGTCCAACTCTCTGAGCCAATTCAGACCTTGTTGTTGGAAATGGGTTTACATGCTTCATGTGATTGAGACAGCTTGTCTTATTTACTAATACCTAAGTATTCCCTCCCAGGTCTTAACAAAAGGAATATGAAGGTATGGTAATATTAAATGCAGTGAAATTATTATGTTTTAGGTCTGCTAGTGATGAACCCGTGTCATCTGTCATCTGTCTCATCTGGTCTGCTTATTCTCGATTGTTTTGTATAAAATGTTTTAGCATTAGTCTGTGTTTTACACTCAGTGTGACAAATCGACCACTGAAAGGTAAATTAAACAAAACCAGCAAGAACAAGCGAATTAAGACTTATCGAGCATAATCAAACCGCAAGCCTGAACGTGCAAAAAAACCAATCAAGTCCTTCAAACATATAAATTGATCAATACTTACACAATTTGTGTACAAATGAAGGTTCAAGAAATCACTCGTCGAGCAATGTATTTTCCCATCCAGCTCACACAACGGTATTTGGTCTTCGTTGGAGTAAAGTGGAAACTCAGAAAGCGAACACATTTTCTCCTGGAAAATCAAAACTGTTTATATTAAATCTTTAATTTTGTGTTGCAGAACAGTGACAACAGTAAGGACATCTACTAAAGGATGTTCTTACTGGTCTGAACGAATCAGTCAAACTAAACAGACCAGGACTGTTTGTACCGACGTATTTTCTAAACTGCTACCTTTGTATCTTGTGAAATAAATAGATATCTGCGTAAAAACCCTTTCACCGGCATTTTATTTAATTGTATACATAAATTGATTATTTAACAAAGAACGACATGTGAATAAAGAACAAATGTACCTTTTATGTTCTGTACATGTCAATCAGAACTTTTCAGATTCACAAATGCCCAACAAGGACCAATTCATCAATTTTGGTAGATTTTTTTTTAATTGACAACAAACATTTAACGAACTACTGTTGTCATCCAAGTATCCGGCTTACGGCTAACCGTTGTGTTGACTTGTTGACACACGTGAAAAATAGATAGCGTTAGTTTTAAAAAAAATTAAAAATTAAATTTAAAAAATTCTATTGTAAAATATGTTTTAAACTGTCGAAAAAATATAAATACATAATAAAAAACTGAGATATTCTTTTATATTCACCGATATTACCGTTTATATTATTCTGTCAGGAACGTGTGGTCGTGTGCTATAACCAGGTCGAAAGTTTGGCTCCAATTGTCTCATGAACGCAGCAGGTTTTAAGCAATTTAATTTTTTTCTCCTTTATAACATAACAAAATTGTGTCAAAACACACAATTCTTCAATTTTTAACTAAATTGAACTAAAATATAACTAAAAACGGAAATGTATGATGGACAGGACGAGGAACCGCGCAAGTCGAAAGTGGACGAGATGGAAGAAGAGACTGACACGAAATTCACTTGTGAGATTAACGGAGAGAGGTATTACGTCGACAAAAGTGTTCAAAACGATCTGATAATTGTAAGTTTACAGTGCGAGAGTTCTAAATTGTATAAAGTATGGTGTAGGAATCGCACCCACCAAACAGCAGAACTGGTCACACAGACATTCATGAAATTCAAATTTTTCGAAGCAGTCTCAGAAGACCAGGCAGGTCTGCAAGTTTTATTTAAAACGGCGAGATCAGCTGTAGACTGCTACAGAGCGATGGTCAACGATGACTTGTTCCCATCTTACAACATCACGTCAAAACTGACCGAAACTGAGAAGAAAATATTTTTTTCTCGGCTCAGAAGGCAAAACAGGCTGCTCGAGCCTCAAAAGTGTACAGATATAAGAGAACAGAAAACTTTAGAAAGAGTTTTGAGATTGGAATCCCAAGTCAATTTTAAGCCTAAAGAAAAATCAGCACCTGTCGTCTCTAAATTGCGTTTGCCATTTCTCAAAGAAGGTTTTGTTTTTATACGTTATGTCAAGCCTAACCGGGCTTGGCAAAATCAAGAAGCAATGAGCAGAATCGTCAAGGCAATTGTCTTTGACTTTAACAGTTTGGATTCAGTACTCCTCAGCATAGACATGAATGTAAAACAAAAACATTTAGAAATTCCTTGTATTCAACATTTGACAGATCTTTATATAGACTCGATCACGGAAAAGTTTACTCTTCATGATGTTCTCGTCTGTGGCCTTCCGAACCATCACTCACAGAAGGACGTACGCTTTTTGATCAATCGCTATGTGCAAGATGAACTGGAAAGTGTTGATTGTTATGATTTAGCGTCTGAAGGATTTGACCTTCAGTACTGCATCATTTATGTACACACGTTAAAAGCAGCTAAATACTTAGTTGAGTCGTTAAACGACAAAATGTTTTTTGGCAAAGTGCTAACGGTAACCTTAATGTCCTCGTTTCAACAAAGGTATTCAATTTTAAAAAGTCAATATTCGTGATGGCTCAAAACTACACCAATACAATACATTTATGAAGCGCTGTGAGGTATGAGTATTACTAATTGATAGATCCTGATCTCTAATGTTACTGGTTGGAAGCATTCAATTTATATTCTATTCAACTGCCTTGGAATCAGATGTTTTCTGCTGTTATTAATAGTAATTATCTGTAAATATTTCTAAGAAGGAATATTATTTTTTATTAAATAATTATTTTCACATTTCATTTTATAATAGAGTTATTTATCATTTGGAAGATGGTAAAATTAATATGTGAAATATGGGTTTTAATAAATTTCACATAGAAAAACTTTTTTATTATTATTCTAACAAGTCACTAATATATTTTGTGAAATTTTTATGGAGTCAGATTGTTTTGTTTTGTTTTTTTAATTGTTACAAAGTATAAAATATATTGTAAAATTTATAACAACTGTAGCATCGCTGCTCTCTTAAATCTAGTCTTAATTATAACAAGAGATTATATTTTATACCCACATGGTACAATGTGAAAATTATATTGATATTTTTGTTTATAAATGTTAATTGTGAAATTTTTTATTGCTTGCAAAATGATGCATTATTACCACGGTCGTCTTCGAACCTCCTGGACTTCCTTCTTAATCTGGAAACCTCTGGTTTTGCCGAAACAGGCCATACAAGCAAAACCATCATTACAAGACACACTGGCGTGTTTGCTACTTCCATTTAACCATATTTAATTGAATTCAATATATATAACCATTGAATTGTAAATCATGTTTAATCATCTAAACCATAATGTATTTTGTGCAAAAATAAAGTTGAAATTAAAAAATATATATATTTTATATATAAATTAGCCTGGTGACTGTACGAGTAGTAAAGAATTTGGTTATAACTGAAGGTTTCCCAAATTTAAATAGTGCACTGGGGGAAGAAGACTTGAACATGCATGCAGACCAAGTCAAAAAATAATTTTATTGTGAAAAAGTAATATCCTAAAGCTATGAAAATAGTCATTAATAAATTATAAAAAATTTAGTTATAACAAATAATATTACAATATAGATGATCTTATGAGAATGCATCCAAGATTCAAACAGATCCTAAAGAAAAAAAACTTAAATATGGTTAGCAGATAAAGACAAAACTGTTTTATTTATTTAAAAAATTGTATGTTTCAAAATTTATATTTAAAAAAATATATATTTCTTAGTCTATTAAAATTTAAAAAAACAAGGCTATGGAAATAGTTATTCCATTCTTATTTTAAATAATCAGAAAGTTTGTTTATAACAGATTATATTACTTCACTATTTTCGTGGTCCGCTTGACCAATTAATACAAGACAATTAAGTTTTTAGTTGAGATGAAAAAAAGTTAATGGCACAAGAAAAATTGAAAAATGAGAAAAGGAGGGAAAACTCATAAGGTGGGGTTGAGATGGGGAGTTGATGTCCGAGTGGATCGAGGTCACAATAGCTCAGGTGGTAGAGCAGCGGCGTATCTAGCCGAAGGTCGTGGGTTCGAATCCCTCTCATGCCATTAACTTTTTTTCATCGCAACTAAAAACCTTAATTAGATTATATTACATTGTGGATGACTTCCCATATATGAATGGCATGCTGGAGGAAGCAGACTTGATATGCTTATTTATTTATTTTTTACAGTTTCCCAATTACAAATTTATAAAATAAAGGTTAAAACAGTACATACTTTTAGAAATGTTTATAATAGCTAGCGTGATAGCTGTCACAAGAGCTCAAGTGGTTAGAGCAACGGCGTATTGAGCCGAAGGTCATGGGCTCGAATCCCACTCCTGACAATTTTTCATTTCAACCAATACCTTACATAAAGATTAATTAATTGAAAGAAGTTATTTGGTCAATCGGACTACGAAATACAGTAGATTTAATATTTATAATCATTTTTATTAATATAAATTAATTGAAACAATTTGAAATATGCATTAAAATTAAATATCATCAATTATTAATTTTAATCAAAATAAATAATAATTGTATTAATGATACAATATTTAATTTTCTAAATAAATTAAAATTAAATTTACTTAAACTGATGTTAAACATATACTTTTGAACGAATNGTTGTTATTGGTATGAAACTGAATTAGTACTCACAAGAACTTAGCAGATCAAGTCAAAAATGATTTTATTTATTAAAATTGTTTTCTATAATTATTAAAAAATATTTGATTTGTTTATTGCAATAACAAAATGCTCTATTTTTTTTTTTTTTAAATAACACATTGTAGATGACACGAGTATGGCTTCAATGATTCGAATAGCGCGCTGGACGGATCAGACGACTGTGCTTATCAGATCAAGCCAACTCGTTTTTAGAAAAGAAAAAAAAGTGAAAAGTGCATTTTTTGTATTTTTACAGAAATGTATTTGATAATTCCCCTATGAAGATAAAAGCCTTACAGATCGGATAAAATGTCAAGTAAAGCCGTGTCAAAGGATCAGAATTAGGCTTGGCAACTGCCATTTTACCGTTGCTGTTAGGCTTTTGGCTCTGCCTCTGGCTTAGGTTTCCTTGTCGCTCATGTCTCAAACGATCTTCTCTGCCTGATCAAATCGGTTTTTATGTTGTATCGTTGTACGATAAACCGGCCTTTTCTCCTCCTGAAACTCTAAAAAAGGTGAAAAAGTTCTGATCGGACCGGACCGACTTTTGACTCGTCTCGACCCTGGTCAAAATGTCCAAAGCGGAGGAGCCGGCCGACACAGTCGAGGACTCCGTAAGTTTAACAACTTAGCGCCAACCCGTTGCTTTGTTTCCAGCATGTCTAGACTTTTACACCTCTACTTTAATTTCATTTCATTTACCTCAAACCTTGTCGTAAAATCATTAAATAGATTTCTTTCGTCGAACTATTGTTTATTTTTCCTAAAAAAAAAAAGCTTTGTTACTTGATAAACTTATAAACCCAAATTACAGACCTTCCACGCATTATCTAGTACAATACTTATTTCTGTTACTATACTCTTTGCACTTATATCTATTTTTTTAATATATTTACACGAGAAAATTTCTATCAAGTCCTGTGAATCACATAACAAACGTGTAAACATTTTTATGTTTCAGATATACTAGGTCTTTACAAAAGTCTTTGTGCATTAATTAATTGATGATATTAAAGTTTCCATTTTAATCCTTACACGACTGATGTAAACAATGCTTATATCGTTGTTTCACTTTGACTAATCCTTTATTTAATTATGTATACCAACTGACTCTGCCTTTGTATTTTATAAATCTCCAACCTAAAATGTCGGAAGAAAAAATTGTCATTCGTTGTCTGCTGAGGCACTATTGGAAAAAAGGACTAAGTGTGAAGGCAGCAGCCGAGAAAATTTGTGCAGTGGAAGGTGAAAATGTGCATAGTAAGAGTGCAGAGTTTAGGTTCAGGCTGTTCAATTCTTGCAATTACAGCCTTCAATATGAGCCTAGATCTGGTCGGATGATGCTGAATTACTCGAGTCAGTCAATTCGTATGCGACCTCTAGGATTATCGTCCAAAATGGGAGTTTCAACTGCAATGGTAAGCCGCCATTTAAAAAAGCTCAATGTCCAAAATATATGATTCAGATCAGATTCTTATGACTTGTCACTTGCCCAAGCTCAACAACAAATTGATATCTGTAAAAGTTTGTTTCAAAATCCAAAAGATGATGATGATCTATCATGAGAATTGTAATGATGATGAAAAACAGATATTTAAAACAAATCCTATTCACTGAAAACAGTGGGGGGGCAAGGCCAAAAGATTCAAGCAGTGGTTCAATAAGATAGATTTGGAAAAAGATTGTTTTGTGTTTGGTGGAATTACAAGGGTGTTTTGCACATTGAGCAAGTACCAGATGGCAGGGCTATTGACACAGAACTTTACTGTGAACGACTTAAATGGTATTGGGGTTTTCAAAGAGGCGTACCCTCCTTTGCACAATCGGTATAAAGTGATTTTTCAGCAAGACAATGCTCCTGTCCATGGTTCACGTTTAGCCAAAGAAAATTTTCAAAAATGAAGTGTTAGCATCTTGCTCCACACTCCTTACATCCCTGACTCTGCTCCATCTGACCATGGTCTTTTCCGGTCAATGGCTTAATTATCGAAAGGCCGGAACTTGAAAAATTACGAGGATATCAAATTAGGATGTGAGTTCTTCACCTTGAAAATCAAGCACTGGAATCACCACCAAATTCAACTTTTGGCAGAAAGATGGGTAAAGTAGTTGATAATGATGACCTATATTTTGAGGATTAATTTTCGTGTTTACATTTTATACTGAAATTTAAAAAAAAAAATTTATGCACAAAGACTTTTGAAACGATCTTGTGTAATATATCTATATCCAGATTCTTGTTTCTTCCAGAAATTCTTAGAGATGACACCATTATGATAAACAAGCTACGAAATTTTTAAAGAAAACATCCTTTCAAAAATATAAATAGATTAAACAAATTAATATAAACATAATGATGACATAAATAGCACAGGCTCTATATCATTATCACTTTACAAGGCCATTTAGCATGTGCGCTTGTTTCTGTTACATGTGGAGAAAAATTTTAAAAATATGAAAACCAGAGAGATAATATTCATAATCATTTATACTTGCTCTTGTCCAGATTGTGTCGATATTTATATTCATCAAATTAGTAACAAACAAGTCAGCCACAAACTTTAACTTTAGGAGTGAGCTTATTCACAAAATGTGTCTATACTTTGCTTTAAAAACACATTTGTCATTTTTCTTAAGTTCAATTAAGCATTACTATTATTATTTGGAGATCGTGAGATGCAGTCTGGTGTGATGTGGGTTTAAAAAAACATTTTTTTTATCGTGCCAGTGTTTTGATCTTTATTGAAATCATCTTCAGGTCTCAACGTGTTTGTTTCCTGTGTTCTTCGGGCACTCTCAGCACGACACACAGCAATGACACATCTACACAGAAAACACTCTTTGAGCCCTGAAGATGCGACGCATCTTATGATCTCTAAAAATAATCATTAATTAACAGTCACTAAACACCACACATTATTATTATTATTATTTGACTTGTCTCTACTTTGCTATTTATGTGTCCACTCGACTGGTGATTGTCAACTATTTGACTTGCCTTTGTACTTTTATACCCGTGCCTACTCAACTCCAGTCACAACTCTCTTCCCATCTAGTCTGCCTTTAGGTGGGGCTTGGATTTCCTTGGTCTCAACAGTCAATTCTATTTAACTTTTATCTCTACTTCTCTACTCGTGGTCACCACTCTCCTCATCAGTTGACTCTCCCTGTCCCTGCCCTCGCCTCCCACTCATAACTTGATTTTTTCAAGATTCGGTATACTTTTTTAATTGAATCAATAAAACTAAAACCTTTAGGCCCAACAGTTTTATTTTATTTTTAGAAGTTTTTCACTTACATTGTAAGCTTCTTCAGCATTTATCATATTTTGATTATAATTTACATGGAAATAAAGACCCAAAATAACATGAGGTAACATGTGTGTACTCTGTTATCAAACATCTTTTTTTTCTTCTTCTTATTCTTCCCCCCACTGTCTTCCTTTGCCTTTACTGATTTGCTTTTCCAAACCTCCGGTTTTTATTGGAAACAAATCCTTGAGTTTAACATGCAAGACCCCTGGCCATTCTGGGGGTACGGTTGACGCAATCCCAAATCATGGTGGTGACGATGTATGAAAACTTTCCCTCAATAACTAACTCTTCATCTTTTTTGCTATTTATTGGGGCTATTTGCTTGTTGCATTTATTTCTACATCCTCCAGGTTTTTTGGAACCGTTCCTTAGAAGTCCAAAATTCCTTAAAACTATTGCCTTATAATAACAGTTATTTCTCTATTATTTATTCTAGCTTCTTCAATTTGTCATAAATAATCCAAGCATAAATCGGTTCACAAGATAGCAAACCATACAATTGTCAAAAGTTTAATCACTAGACAACAAAACAAAAAATTCTTATTGAAAGTGGCAGCTGGGTGTTAGATGTAAGACAGTTCAAAACATTGATGCCACAAGACATCAATGGGCATCTGAAGTTAGATGTACTTAAGACAACAATATATTATAAAACATTGGTGCCAAAATAGGCATTTGGGTCTCAGAAGGGGGGGGGGGTCCCAACAGTTTAAGCGCACAGTGACATCATTGTAAGGTGAAGATCCCGGGGAATAAAAAAGTCCAGGGCTGCTTGATTCAAACAAATGGGCTGTTTTGCCAAAATACTATAATATTTATTTTTTTTATTTATTATTTTGATTTTAGAAATGTCTGATCTTAATATTTTTTTCTTTTTATATACATCTAGAGTGAGTTCTCAGCCGAAAATGTCACATCTAAAGTGGGAAGCAGAGTTGAAGATTTTGATACCAAAATTGTAAGTAATAAAAATTAACAATGGTTTGTAAATAGACAATTAAAATTGTATTTTTCAACACAAGGAAACTGACAGAGCCAAGAGATTTGATTTCCTTCTGAAACAGACAGAAATCTTCTCTCATTTCATGACCAATCAGGGTAACAAAAACAGCCCGACGAAACCAAAGCCTGGCCGTCCGAGGAAAGAGAAAGAAGTCATAAAATCGGGTGATGCCGGAGAGTAAGTATTTATGCTTATTTTACCATAGAATGTGGTGAAATAACAATTTGTTTTTAGTCACCGGCATCGGATGACAGAGCAAGAAGAGGATGAAGAACTCCTCGCTGAAAATAACACAACACCAAAAACAATTGCTCGATTTGACTCGTCTCCATTTTACATCAAAGGAGGGCAGCTTAGAGATTACCAAGTCAGAGGGCTTAACTGGATGATTTCGTTGTATGAACATGGTATCAATGGTATTTTAGCTGATGAAATGGGTCTCGGCAAAACTCTCCAAACAATTTCACTCCTCGGGTAATTTTATCACTTGGGTTTAATCATAAATTTATTTTTTAGCAGTTATTGACTTTTTTTATTTCTTCATTTAGGTACATGAAGCATTATAGAAATATACCAGGTCCACACATGGTAATTGTGCCAAAATCAACATTAGCCAATTGGATGAATGAATTTGAAAAATGGTGCCCCACTCTCAGAGCTGTTTGTCTTATTGGTGATCAAGAAACAAGAGTATGTATCAATATCTATCTATAAAAGTATAGTGTATTGTATAAATAATCTTGTTTTAGAATGCATTTATTCGGGAAAAACTAATGCCTGGAGAATGGGACGTTTGTGTCACATCGTATGAAATGATAATAAGGGAAAAGAGCGTCTTCAAGAAGTTTAATTGGCGATATATGGTTATTGATGAGGCCCATAGGATTAAAAACGAGAAGTCCAAGCTGTCTGAAATCGTAAGGGAATTTAAAACGACCAACAGGCTTTTACTCACAGGAACACCTCTACAAAATAACCTTCATGAACTCTGGTCTCTACTGAATTTCCTTTTACCGGATGTATTCAACTCATCGGATGTAAGACTGCAACAAAATAATAATTTACAATAATTTTTTTCTTACGGTTTTGCTTTTTTAGGATTTTGATTCTTGGTTCAACACTAATAGCTTTTTGGGCGATAATTCACTTGTAGAAAGGCTTCACGCTGTAAGTAAATTGATTCTTTTTATAATTCATGATTAGAGTAATATTATATCATTTTTAATACAGGTTTTAAGGCCTTTTCTCTTAAGAAGGTTGAAAGCAGAAGTGGAAAAGAAACTGAAGCCTAAAAAAGAAGTTAAAATTTATGTCGGTCTTAGTAAAATGCAACGAGAGTGGTCAGTATATTACACTCTTTTGAAATTATTAAAAAAAAAAACAAAAAAACTTTATTTTATTTTGTTATTTAGGTACACAAAAGTCTTGATGAAGGATATAGATATTGTAAATGGGGCAGGTCGAATTGAAAAAATGAGATTGCAGAATATTTTGATGCAGCTTCGAAAATGTAGTAATCACCCTTACCTTTTTGATGGAGCTGAGCCAGGCCCTCCTTACACAACAGATGAACATCTTGTAAAAATTATTATTCAGTAATTATTTATTACTATTATTATTAAATTATTTTAATAATTGACTTTTTTTTAGATTTATAACAGTGGAAAGATGGTTATTTTAGACAAACTATTACCTAAACTCCAAGAACAAGGTTCTCGTGTTCTGATTTTTAGTCAGATGACGAGGATGATTGACATTCTCGAGGATTATTGCTTCTGGAGAGGATACAACGTAAAAAATTTACTTTATACAAAATATTTGTTTGCTTTAGTAACAACCTGTTGTTTTAGTACTGTCGTCTAGATGGTAACACACCTCATGAGGACAGACAAAGACAGATTAATGAGTACAATGAAGAAAATAGTAAAAAGTTTATTTTCATGCTATCGACCAGGGCTGGAGGTTTGGGTATTAATTTGGCTACAGCAGACGTCGTAATTATTTACGATTCCGACTGGAATCCTCAAATGGATTTGCAAGCTATGGTACATAGAATTAAAATAGAGTATATTTGTTTTTTCGGCAATAACCGGTTATAATTATCGTCTTTTATTTGTTTTTAGGACCGGGCACATCGTATTGGACAAAAAAAGCAAGTAAGAGTTTTCAGATTGATCACGGAAAATACAGTCGAGGAGAAAATTGTGGAACGAGCCGAGATTAAATTGCGCTTGGATAAACTTGTCATTCAGCAAGGTCGATTGGTAGACAATAAAGCAGCTCTGAACAAGGACGAGATGTTAAATATGATCAGGCACGGTGCACATCACGTATTTGCCAGTAAAGATTCAGAAATCACCGACGAGGATATTGATACTATTCTTGAGAGAGGAGAAGCAAAGGTTTATATTTTATAAAACTCATTAAAACGGTCATTTAATAACTAATCAAAAATTTTATTATAGACGGTTGAAATGTCGAAAAAATTGGAGTCCCTCGGTGTCGACTCATCGCTTAAGGATTTCATGATGGAGGCCCCAACCGAATCAGTATACCAGTTCGAAGGCGAGGATTATAGAGAAAAGCAGAAAGTGCTCGGAATTGGCAACTGGATTGAACCGCCGAAAAGAGAAAGGAAGGCTAATTACGCTGTAGATGCTTATTTCCGAGAAGCTCTTAGAGTTTCAGAGCCTAAAGCCCCAAAAGCTCCAAGGCCGCCTAAGCAGCCTATTGTCCAAGATTTTCAGTTTTTTCCACCCCGACTCTTTGAACTTCTTGATCAGGAAATTTATTACTTCAGGAAATCAGTTGGCTACAAGGTATATAAAAGAAGTCCTATTTTATTTTTATTATTGACTGGCATTCTTTTTTTATTGCAGGTACCAAAAAATCCAGAACTTGGTTCTGAGGCGTCCAGAATTCAGAAAGAAGAACAGAGAAAAATTGATGATGCAGAACAATTGACAGAGGAGGAGCTTACTGAAAAAGAAAAACTTCTCACCCAGGTAATATATAAATATACACATTAAAAAAATGAATAAAATAAACTCTTGATTACAGGGCTTTACAAACTGGACAAAAAGAGATTTCAACCAGTTTATAAAAGCTAATGAAAAATATGGTAGGGATGACATTGACAACATCTCAAAGGAAGTCGAAGGGAAAACTCCCGAGGAAGTAAGGGCATACTCAGAAGTATTCTGGGAAAGATGTAACGAGTTACAAGATATCGATCGTATCATGGGTCAGATTGATAGAGGGGAGGCAAAAATCCAGCGCAGGGCCAGCATTAAAAAAGCACTTGATACTAAGGTTAGTCTTTTTTCAAAATTATTTAAAAACAACTTTTTGTGCAATGAATTACGGTTTCCTCATTAACTGCGAATTATGAGAATCTTATGTTCAAATACAGAACTTTATACTTTTAACTAATTTAATTGCTGTACATTCTATCTACTCTGGCAACCCTTTTGTACCATGCTGGTATATATTCACTCAAAAAGTTAATTTAACACAAGTAAGTACCATGCTACCCTCCTAAGAATAAATGCCAATATCTCCAAACTTTTCAACTTTTTTTTAAATCACTATATTCTTAGGTACGTTTCCTGTTGAAAAACGTGATAAAATCGACATAAATCAGTTGAGAAATATTACAAATATCTGTTTAAAATATCTATGTCTTGTATATAGTTTTTTAAATTTATTTTATTTTATTTTTTAAAGTCAAAAACCTGTTACGCATGTAATCAAAATCAAAATGTAATGTTTTACTGAGAAGTAATAAGTTAAGCATTGTTTCTGGGTCAAGCTGTTAGGAAATTCTGTGTACTTTTCTTTGCCCTTTTCTAAGAGCACTTTTTGCAGAAGTTCTGTTCCTCCTTACAAAACCTGTTCTGCATTCATTTGAGGATGTTTACATAGGTACTGAACTGTACCTACTTATTTTTTAAAAGCTTCTCTTTCATGTCAGGCATTTGACTGCTCTTTTTCTCCCCCCGCTATTTTTTCTGGAAACATCTTCATACGTTCTAGTTCTTCATTTCTTTTAAAGATTCTCTTTCATAGAGGAACCAAAATTCTTGCCCCTTTGCTCTAATCTAGTTGACACTGATTAATAAAAATTAGAATTACTACTCTATTTACTTGGTCTGTGTTGGTCAAATGTGCACTCTTGGCACTCAAGTTTCACCTTTATTTTGTGTAACTTCTCTTGAGCCTTGTAAAGATAAGTTAGGCAAAAAATGAATTACCATGTTTAAAAAACCTACTAAAATTCGTTTATTTATTATTTTATTGTAAAATGTTTTTATTTATAAAGTTTATTGAAATATAAAATACAAAAACGTTACATTTGTCATGTACAGCATAACATTTATGAAAAATAAATAAAATAAAACACTTGAAGTATCCCTCAATAATGGTCAAAAACACTGTTCTTGTGTGGTGTTTGTTATAGAGGATTTCACTGTACATATATGAAAGATAAACAAAAGATCTATTTTTTTGTTTTTCACAGATGAGTCGATATCGTGCTGCATTCCATCAGCTTCGCATTGCTTATGGTACAAATAAAGGTAAAAACTACACTGAAGAAGAGGATAGATTCCTTGTTTGTATGCTTCATAAACTAGGTTTTGATAAAGAGAATGTATATGAAGAACTAAGGGCTATGGTCAGGTAAATTAATATACTCTATTAATTTATTTTCCGATATATATATCTTTAAAAATCCAAAAATTTAAATCCTTTGTTGACAGATGTTCTCCTCAATTTCGATTTGATTGGTTCATCAAGTCGAGAACAGCGATGGAGTTGCAGAGAAGATGCAACACACTGATCACGTTGATCGAAAGGGAAAATCAAGAACTTGAAGAACGAGAAAGAGCTGAGAAAAGGAAAGGGAGGGGTGCCCGAGGAGGGGCGGTGGGCGCTAAGAGAAAGGCGGACGGTGTCAATTCAAACATTCCTCCATTGCCGGTCCAGGCAAATTCAAACAACGACAAAAACAGCCCTGCCAAGAAGAAAAAGAAGTATGTTGATGTTTTTCGACAGTTTCATCGAGATTGATTTTTTAAAAAATTAATATTGGTTAATTTAATCCACAATCTGTGTAAATTTTGGACCAAAATAAGGAAAAAAATCTGCCAGTCAGTGATTTATTTTAAAACCAATTTTTTTTTATGCAATGATAATTAGAGGAATACTGTTCAATCCAAAACATCATATCCCTAAATTCTCATTTGTTTTAAATCTGTAGCTTGACACTATCATACTTGTATTCTTATTTTTTCAAACAATGCCACTTTTTTCCATTATTGGTTAGATTAATCTACAGGTTAATCACCTTCGCCAAAACATTTTTTTTTATGTTAATTTAAATTTAATTTTTTGTTTAATTTTTAGGGTGTAAAAAGGAGGCAGAACGTACAACCTTCATTTTGGTTTGTCCCCCCAAAGCCATTCACAACCTTGGATGAAATTTTATTAAATGCAATACTGTAAATATAAAAAACATAAAAGCTCACAACTATTTATATCAGTTTCCCATAAATAGCACTGATTGAAATAGTAAAATAGATGAACTTTTAAATACTAATTGCAAATTTATTTCATTTGTTTTTGAAAATTCTTAACTTTTATATTTGTGAATTATTTATAAAAATATAAGACATTAAAAAAAAATTGTCTTAATTTTAAATTATTGTTTCTATACTGTCTCCACTGTGTTTCACGTTAATTTAAGATAGGTGTTAATTTTTTATTTAAATTAATTTCTTTGTTAACTATCAATTTTGTTTAAAAAATTGGTTACTACTTTTTGTTGCAAACAATTTTTTTTTTTTTTTTTTTTTTTTTTNCTCTCTCTCTCTCTCTCTCTCTCTCTCTCTCTCTCTCTCTCTCTCTCTCTCTCGCGATAGAGCATCCTGTCTAATTTTCACCAGTTTCATCTATCAATGTTCCTACATCTTTTTTTATTTTATTTTTTTTCTAATCTTTAGTAATGGGCTACATTAAGATGGTCATTCTTCAGAATCATCCCCTCACGACCTCAACAAAATTTTCTGTAATGTTGAAAATGTTTTAGTAACTTTTATAATAAAAAAATTATAATATTTTTTGTAATTAAACCAACAATGTTAGTCACCAAGAACAACAAAATAATAAAAGAAGTTTCTACAAAAAATAAGTGTTTTGGGATTTTTGTATTGTATGTTAGGATGTGCTTTCAAATTAAGAAAAATAAAAATGTGGCCACTCTATAATCACTGAGTTATTTTTTTTTTTCTACCTAAGGGTGGTTAGTTTAAAGTAAAAGACAATAAAAAGCCAATTTCATCATTGCAATATAATTAAGAAGTATCAATTTAAATCCAAAGTTTTAAACAATTTGAAAAAAAAATCACAACTTCTAGCTTTTCAAGGTACATTGCAAGCTTTTGCAGGTGTGAAGCAAGTCTATCTAAATAATATTATAGTTAATGAATAAGGAGAAAAAAGTGAGCCATGAAAGGCACCTTGCTTTATTGCTAAAAAAGCTTCCAATGCGCCTAGAAAAGCTAGAAGTTTCATCTTATCCAGGCCTTCTATTTCTGAATAATCATCTAGTTAATGAAAGAGAAACACAAAAGTGGGCTAAGTAAGCCTCCTTACTTCACACCTGGAAAAGCTAGAATTTTGATCTTAAACACCTTTTCTATCTGAATAATATTCTGGTTAACAAATAAGGAGAATAAAAGTGGTCTACGTAAGGCACCTTGCTTCACATCTGAAAAAGCTTGCAATGCACCTTGAAAAGCAAGAAGTTTCATCATAACCAGGCCTTCTTTTTCTGAATAATCATCTCGTTTATAAAAAGGTGCCTTTCACAGACCACTTTTATTCTTTTCTTTTTTATTCTTTTAAGGAGAAGATTATTTAGACAGAGATGTGGCTAAGGTCAAAATTCTAGCTTTTCCAGGTGTGAAGCAAGGTTGCTTACACACTTATGTTTTTATAAGTGAGCTGAGTAAACAACCTTGCTTCACACTTGGAAAAGCTAGAATTTCAATCTTAAGCACATCTCTGTCTAAATAATCTTCTACTTAATGAATAAGGAAAATAAAAGTGGTCCAAGAAAGGCACCTTGCTTCACACCTGGAAAAGCTTGCAATGCACCTCGAAAAGCCAGAATTTGATCTCAAACACACCTTAACCACATTTCTCTCTAAATAATCTTTTACCCAATGAATAAGGAGAATAAACTCGAACTGAGTATGGCACCTTGATTCTCTCATGAAAAAGCTTGAACCAACCCAGCAGAAGCTTTAAGTTTATCCAATAGGATATATGATAGCAATCTGCTCAAAAGCTTTGGATATTCATGTTAATTTTATTTTTAAAAAATCAGTTTTAAATTTTGCTTAAATACTTGTTTTTATTATTTTAGTTAACAATTGGTAATAAATGACAAAAATTGGGTTGTTTGAGTCATTTTGTAACTGGGATCTCCCGCAAGTTAGTGAGTTCGCCGTGAGTGTCGTCACTGAGCGAACTTCGTCGGTTGCTACTCTAACGGATAACTCTAGACTTTTCAGTATTGTTCGTACTTTCATAGGTATTTCAAGAGTTGTGAATTGACTAAGAAAGTCGCCTGTTGAAGAAGTGTAAGTTGTTTAATTTTGTTTAACTTGGAATTGTCCTAAGCCTTTGGCAATGGCTCGACAACGCCGAGGTCTGATCGCAGAGGTAATTTACAATTTTGTCGAGTCGTTAAAGCCCCGGAGTATGAAGAAGCGACTGATTGGAAAAGATTACCTTGGCAACCAGTACTACGAAACCATGCCATTGGGGAGCAGTGCCAGGGTCAACCGGCCTTCCAGGTTCTACGTTCCGAAAGACGGTGATACGTCTAAGTTCGATGAAGGCGTTCCGCCGGAGTGGGAAGCCTGGCTCAGGCTGCGGAGGAAGTCACCGCCAACCGAAGAAGAGATCCAGAAGAACCTGGCCATGGCAAAGCAAAAGAAAGAAAACGCCCTTAAGATTGAGCAGAAATTCAAGAAGCACGATGTCGAGCCGAAGCAAGAGAAAATTGAGAGTTTTCCAAAATATGACGAATATGAAATTCACCCAGGAGAGAAGATGAAATAATTTTTTCGTAGTTTCCCTTATGACCTGTGATCTTTAGTTTATAACATTAAAATATTTTTAAATTATATTCTTGTATATACACCCTTGCAGTTTAACCAATTTTTATATACAGCTGTGATAACAAGGATTACTTAGATTAAATCAGGCTTTGGTTAATACACTGATGGACAATAAACACACCTGAAGTTTTAATATATTTACGTTTATTCATATTTTGCATACCAAAAATAGGTCGGTTGTAAAAATAAATACATTTAAAAAGAAATTTATTAAAATAAAAATAAAATTAATGATTATTTGGATGTTGTGAGATGCGGTGTGATGTAGGTTTAGAAAAACATTTTCTTTATAGTGCCAACGTTTCGATCTTTATTGAGATCATCTTCAGGGCCTGGGACATAAACATTGTTTAAATTTTTAATAATTTAATTTAATTTTTAATTATTAAATTATTTTTTTAAAAACAAAATACATGTTGGATGAATTTATACAATGCTAGAAATTTTAGTCAAAGTATTTGTACTCACTCAAAGTGGTTATTTTCTGCGTAGATGTGTCATATCGTAAAATTAATTGTAAAAAAAAAATATTAAGTAGACAAAAATAGATAAAATTCAAAAAGAAATAAAACTTTTTTGGCCCCTTTAATACAGATTTACCTTTCTGGCACAAATCACATTTGCTAAATGCCTTTGCATTCCTTGTAAAAGATTTCTGATAGAATCCTGAGGAATTCTTTCCCATTCGTCAACAACAGACGTTTCCGACTCTTAGGGTGTTAAGACCTGGGTTTCGCCATCGTACTCGTTGCTTAAGTTGATACCACATGGGTTCAAATTTGGATTTCGAGCTGGCCACACTAAGTACTCAATTCCTGTAACTAACAGAAAGATAATGGATTTAATTTTAACCTAAAAAATTGAGTGGTGCATTGAAATTGTCCATCATTTTATCATAAATATACATCACAAAAGAAAATCAGGTGGAATCTGATCAATTAACGATTAGGGATGGATAATTAATTGTGATCTTTCGTAGTAACATGTATTTTTTTTTGACAGATATAACAAGGTTAAACTAGCTTTGACTTGGTCAAATTACATTGATTATTGCATACCAGAGTATCATGAAATGAGATTTAAGGGAAGAAAGGAAAGCACATTGTCGCTAACAGCTAGCATAAAACTGTCTTGTTTTTCTTATTGTTCCTTACTGAGAGGACAATTCTCTCTTTCACTTTTTTCTACTTTTGTTGGATGTAGATGTAATATTAGGAATATTATACTGCGCCCTTCAGAGCTGTTGTATCCCATGTTCTGTACCTATAGCACACCGGTTAGCCCGTTCTTCAAGAAATTTAACTAGTAGGCCTGGTTTCAATGATTAGATCACTTCTATTTACTGAATTACTTCTCGTTTAACTACCACTGTATGCTAGCCACCCTTTGGCAGAGAAAAAATATCTCAATTATTGTACAGTGGGTACATTTTATTTTTTCTTGGTTTAAAGCATGTCCTCCTCCTTCTTCAGGCCATTGTACTAACGCTGCATGTTAAGTTTTGATATCAAATAAATTATTTTATTTATGTTCAATTATTTAAAAAGTATGAGCTTATATATAATTCATATGGTTATTAAAAATATTAAAACAAACTTTACTACCCTTAAAACCAGATGGTGTAACCATGGTAGTCCAGGCTTATTTTTCATTGCCATTTACATTTTAATTGCCTCTTTAAACTACTAAAAAAATAAATAAATTGATGGTCAAACAGTGGCTATATTTTATTTGTTTAAAGCATAACCTGATACAAAAACCCTAAAATCGGGGGCGTTGGTGGCCACAACGGTTTAGGCGTTGACACGGTGCTCACAGTAAGGTAAAGATTCCAGGTTCAAATCCAGCAGCCCGGCATTCGAACCAGACATACTTACTACAAATTTGGGCTTTTTTCAAAAACATTGGCACCCTGAGGGTTGATATGACCTCTAATGTTGCGAACCCTTGTAAAAAGAAAAAAGAATGATAAAAAAAATCCTTGGATGTAAATATATATCATATAAAAACTTGTAATACCATGATTATTATTGACTCTGCGTTTAATTAATTTTAATTAACTTCTTGGTTTAAAGTATATCCTACTATATGAAAACAAGATCACCGACTATTACCGTTTGACTTCTTTTTGGGATCTGTTGCTTGATGAACCTGTTGTTCAGTCATTCTGTCATTTTAATCCTAAGACCCAGCATGGCAAGAAGCTGAAACACACCTGACAAACCAAAATGATCAGAAATGACCAAACCATATATAGTACAAATTAATGTGCATCTTGATCAACCTGTTCATAATAATAAAAATATTTATAACAAAAAAACAATGTGTATGTACTGTTTTACATCAAGTGACAGTGATTGCCTGTTGAGTTGTTGACTGGTTAGCCTATATTATATATATATATACACACACATATAGACGTACAGAAAACAAAAATTCCTAATTGCTATCTAAAAATACCATACATCAAATTCGATTATGGCAGGTCAATTTAACAACTTGGCATGGTAGGCGTGAAGTGATCGTGGAGTGACCGAGCCGTGTTTCCGCAAGTCAAAATAACCTACGAATTTGTTATGAAACTCACCCGGGTGTGACCGTTCAGTGCTCCGTCCGTCGCCGAACAGTGAACTTAAATTAGTAATGCAGATAATTTTCGGTTTTCACGACCGTATTTTTTTAACAATTTTTAAAGATGAATGACAAAAAGCTTATAGAACTAGTACGTAATTATCCCGTGTTGTATGATTTATCCAACCCAAAGTACATGGACACTGAATTCAAAACCAATATTTGGAATAAAATAGGAGAAGAAATGAAAACGCCTGGTTAGTAAAATATATGTGTATTTTTAATACTGCAACAGTTGGTTATAAATTATAATATTGTCTAGGTATTTTATAACCAAGGGAGAAATTCATCTTGAGAGCTGAAGTATTGCATGAATAATTTTCTTTCTTAAGGCTAAAATGCATCTGATTGAATAACATTTCCACTTTGTAAAAGTATATCTGGTAGTTTAACTCCTACCCCTAAAATCCACTGGTTGATTAATTTAAATTATTATACTTATATTTTTTTATGAAGTCCTGCTACAAGCAAATAGCAAGAATTATGCTAACTCCATTTTCGGATATGGTCTGAATTTGCCTAAAGCCAAAATTTAGGAGTCTAACTAAACCAAAACTGTTTTCCATTCCCAAGATAGATCACATGAAGTATTTTTAAGCAATGTCTCACCATCTATTATAACATAAGCTGGTGCTGGCACTTCGCAAAATGTCATCACTTTGAGAAAAAATAATATTTTCAAAAATAAACTTAGACTGAATGAATAAAATTAAAAAGTATAAGTATTGAAAACGAAAGTTTTTATTTTGCAGGAACAGTCATTGGGTTTTCTACAGACATGCTTTAGCTATTAAACAAATGCCAGCCTCTTTTAAGGTATTGGAGGAGTCTGTTCAAATTATTAATTAAATTAATGCTTGGCTTCATCATCCGAAGTACCTATCACTTCAAAACCTTCTTGGTATGTCCATCTATATAATTAACTTGTTTGACCTATTCTTGAATATGCCTCAATCATCTGGAATTCGCAGAACAATACTGATATAAAACTTCTTCAAACTGTTCAAAATAAATTCCTTCATATATTTCAAATTAAACTGTCTCATGCTCCCATTAAATCTTACTTCAATATTTCTGATCTTAGCTGCAAACGAAAGTATTTTGAGATTATTTTTAATTTCAAATTAATTAATGTTTGTATAGATTCCCCAGAAATCCTGTCTTTTTGTACCTCCTTGCAATCAGAAATCAGAAAATATTTTGGACAATGTTTTCAATGATACTTTCAATGCTAATAACAAAGATACCGCCTTCAAAAGAAAAATCCAGTTTTTGGTTTAATCTGCTGATAAAGAAGAAGAGTATTTTCCAAATTTTTTAAAAAGAAAAACTGGAGCTTGTGAATGTTGATTAATGAAATATGTGAACACCTTAAAAGTTTGGAAATGTTCTTTGAGCACTATTTCCCAACAACTCGACATACAATGCTCCAAGACCATGAATGGGTGGTCAAACCATTTTCTGTTCCGACAAGCCAACCAGCCTATCTTCAAATGAATATGAGTTTTGATAGACATTACTTCAGACTCGACCTTGAAATCTACTTTCGAATCTGATACCCCCATTTTTGACTCCGATTGAAAAACAAAAAATTTCAACCACTCGTTCAAAAAGCAAAACTTGTTCTTGTTCCATTCGCCATAACATGCGAATCCAGATTTTCTATCTATACTACCACCATAACTAAATACCGATGCTGCCCACACGCTGAACTGGGTATCCGTCTCCAGCTATGAAAAATTAAATTGTGCTGGCTAAAACAATGTCACTCTTCCAATTAATTCATTAATCACTCATGTTCAAATTATTACTTTTTAAATTGGATCAAGTTTTACATAAGTATTTATTCCGTTCTGTCCAGTTTGATTTTGGTGTTCCAAGTATGTCAATCAAGTTGGGGTGGGTATATAGATTCACTTTTTGTAAATGTTGGAACCATCATTTACAAAAAGTTCAAATAGTTTTGTTGAAATGCTTTTCCTAAATTTAAATATCACCAAAGCAAAGATTCCATCACAATTCTTGACATATGCCATTTAATTGGCAGAAATAAAATTATAATGAACAAGAGGTACAAAAAACTTCATAAAATGTCTGTACTTAAAGAAAAGAGAAAAAAAGACGTCTGTAAAATAAATAATTTGCTTGTTTATGTTTCAGGCCCATCTTGTAAAAGTAGGTGGAGCAACATAAGAGACAATTTCAGAAAATCTTTAAAGAAAACTGCGAGTGGTCAAAAAGCGAAAAATGTAAAGATCTACAAATATTCCGAACAGTTGGGCTTCTTAACAAAATACTTCTCAAAGTTTGAGGAGACCAAAAGTAATATAGATTATGTGACAAAAAAGGAGGATGAAGAATGTCATGATGAATTGTTACCATATGAAAGTGTCGAGAACAATGAAAGCACACAAAATTTAACAGAAGTTGATGGTCCTGCAACTGGGTGGGAACAAAGACAAACTTCGGCATTAAAATCAACACAGCATAAAAAACATAAAAGGTCATTAGTGAAAACTACACCTCCACAAATTGCCTCTTCCACTATGGAATATCCCGTCAAGGAACGAGAAAGTTTCTCAACACAAGATCCCGTTGACGCTTTTTTATCAGGAATAGCACCCGTATTGAGAAAATTACCCCCACATTACTGGCATTACGCCAAAGCAGATCTATTTGCTGTTGTACAAAAATATGAACTTAAATTGCTAATGGGACGGCAATGTGCAGATTCATCTCGCTTTTCAGATTGTTCCAGCTCGATGTCCTCAGAAGAAACTTCTCCTACATGAAGCTTCCTGAGTTCTACATGGAATGAACATTAAGAGAAATCTTATGGATCAAATACAAAATATATATTCATCACATACTTGTTATTTTATAGGATGTTTGACTAAAATATTCTTTTAGTTATTTTATTACCAATAAATTAAGTGTAAACAATTACTTTTGAATTAGCATACTTACCTCAAGCCATTCCTCAGCGAGATGTCTTTCTCCAGCGTGCATCTTGGCTTTTCAGACTTACTCCTAAATTTTTTAACAATTAATTAAAAGCATATTTGGTCATTCTAATATATTCATGGAACTTAACATTTTTTTAAAAAGTATATTTCAACTTTGAAATATGAACTCTTGTTTTTGCAGCAAAGAGCCCCTTATGTCAGGTTCAAACACCAAGCAGAAACTGTAATTAATTCTTTACTCATATTCTCAGTCCATTCTGTAATATTTCCACATCTGCTGGACCCTCACCCACATTTTCACTTCTTTTTATTGGTCTTGTTTGTTCAAAATTAGTACAATCATCAGCTCATTATTCAAAAAGTACGGCATTTCAGGTACAAAAGTTCACTTTGGTCTAAGCCCTTGCTGCTTAACAAGTTTTTTCTTTCTAATCTATGTTCCAAAAATTCACCCTTTTTTTAATTAGTTATTTCTATTCTTTAGGACTATTTTAAAGTTATGTACCAAATGGCAAATTATGAATATGATGTACCATGAAATAAATCAATTAAAATATTCATTGTTATTTAAAAATGTAAAAAAAAATAACATAATGTACTAGTAGGTTAATAAAAAATTAATTAAAATTTAAGTTATTGAGAGAGCTGTCATGAAGCAAGTTACAAAGCCCACCAACAATCTGATTGAGAGAGCTGTCATGAAGCAAGTTACAAAGCCCACCAACAATCTGGTCAGAAGTATCTCGATTCTTGTCTAATAGCTTTATCACAATGGTTTTGTTTTTATTTACTACATACTACAAACATTCTTGTAGGATTGGCTTTTTTATCTGTAGTAATTGAAAACCTCTGTCAGCCATTCTCAGCGGGTGAACTGTTTTTGAAAGATTTTTAGAGACCTGAGACCTTTATACTTTGTTATGAGCTGTTCTGCAAGGGTTTTTAAGTCAGTCCAGGGTATCTGACAAACCCCATTGTTGCTCTTTATAATGAAACTATTTCACACAGCCATTTCACTAAGCTGTAAAAGTATTTTCTTATAACTTTTCCCTTGTTTTCTAAGAATAGGATTGCATTATCTACCAGCAGTATGTGTAATTGTGAAGAACAATGAATTAGGCCAGGATAAAATCCCCGAAAAAATTTAACCTGAATTAACTCTTATTAAGTTAACTGAATTAAGTGCATTCTTTGAAAACAAGTACTACCTCGTGATAATAAGACATGGAGTTAAACGTAATAAAATTTACTTTTTGGCAGGATTTTTTGTTTTCCACCTATTAAATCAATTATGAAACTGACAGAATTAATTTCACAGTAACATTCATAAGAAACATTGACAAGTAGCAAAAAAATTATCTTTGACGTACATAATATATAAGCATAATTTTTACTTGACATTTATTTATTTCTCAATTAAGATTCGGTAAGAAAAAGTCACAAGAAATGTAGAAAAATACATTCAGCATAGTGAAAAAGAATTGTTTGTTTTATTAACAAATCAGACAGAGAGAGCCGGTTACAACTCAAGTTTTTAATATTTAACCCATATTGGCTATTAATAGTAATTAATTTACTTGGAGTTATTCAATGCATGACACATTGACATTGTTTCAAATGACTATTTAGGCAATTTTAGTTTAGCATTTTTTCTCACCTAATTTTGCCACTTTAATTAATAATAATTAATATAACAATGATAATATTTTAAATGAAAACTCGTTATATTACATTATCATCCATATAATAGTTACAAGTGTTTATAAAGAGGAATTTTAGGACTTACTGAATAAAATTGTAAATATTTACAAAACTGAAGATTATAAGTATAAAGGAAGGTAAGCAATTTTTTTTAATTATGTACACTTATCATGCTTACTTGGGGAATAAGAAAAAATAATGAAGCAATAAAAAAATAAATAAAAGCATTATCTAAAAAATTAATTTTTGATATTAAAATAAAGGTAAATTTGGACACTTTGTACTTCACTAATAGAAATTATTTTGTGCAAATTTGAATAAACAGGACCCCCCCTAAATTTCATATATAAGGTTTAAAAGTTAAAAAAAAAAAAAAAATGGTAGAAAGGTTGACAAACAAAAGAGAAAAAAAAAATTTCCTATGCTACTTTTTTAAAGTTATCGGGTAATCTGTCATTGGTAAAAGACGTAAAAATAACATATACACAAACAATAAGAGAGACATGACAGAGTCAACCGGAGAAATCATTATGATCGAATAATGCTTGATCATAAAGCTCCGCCTTAACTAGGCGACCACCGAAATATCTTCCGTTCAATGCATCTCTTGCTGACTCGGCCTCTGAAAAAAAATTAATTAATTAATGAAAAAATAAATAAAAATATCTAAGAAAATGGGAATGATGTTTAATACAAACCTCTCATTCGAGAAAATTCAACAAATATTTTAACAATAATATCTGCGTTTTCATCATCTTCAGATTGTTTTTCATTGTATATAATTACCCTATCAACAGTTCCATATCTAAAAAATAAAACAATAATTCAAAGATAAAAAAAACTTCATGAATTTTTAGAAGCATTAAGTCGACATACTTTGAACATTCCTCTTGAATTTCTTCCTGAAGAGATTCATCTACATCCTCTGGAGCTACCATATTTCTCAAAATAACTACTCGGCTCTATACAAAATAAAAAAAGTGAACATAATAATTTTATGAAATGAAAAAAAATGTAAATATGCTTCACAGTTTTCAATTGAATACCGCACCTCCACTTTTCTCATTAGTTTCTGCATGACTAAATGCCTAGCACTTTGTCCTTTTATTGACATGTTTTCCTGCTGCTGAAGGGTCTGGGGTTCCGTTTCTTCGAGCAGCTTTTTTTGAAGTTCTTCCTGTTGTAGCAACTGATACAGATTGAATTTACTTTAGCTATCAATAGGGACGTTTATACTATACCTGTGCTTGTTCTTGGGCTCGCCTTAATGCTTCTTGTTGTGAGCTAACCTGAGGAGCTGTCAATATCGTCGGAGCAACAACACCAGGTGCTGAAGATAAAATAATAATTAGTACACCAAAATTAAAACAATACAATTTAAAAATTACCTCCTGGGATTATTGGCTGTGGTGTCCTGAATTGGCCTACAGGCTGCGGTATTGCAATGCCAGGAGGTGGTAACACACCAGCCTGAGTTGGAACCAAGCCAGGTAATGTGGCAGGAATTACAGATGGTTGGGACAATGTCGAGGTTAATTTTGAAAGACCTGTAAAACATGTTTTTTAATAATTTGTTAATATATGATATGATGTGATATTTACCTAGAACGGCGTTGGTAGCAACAGCATCCATCGCCTGGATCTTGGCTGTGGCAGCAGCTGCTGCAACAGCTGCAGCTGTAGGCATTTGACTGGATGAAGATGAAGGACCCTAAAAATAATCAAATTAAATTATGTTTGCTGACATTTTATTTTATTTAGCTTACATGAAGTGCATTAGGTGGTGTAATCGCCCTCCCGACTCTTAAATACTGTCCTCCTAGATCAAACAGATTCATAGATGCGATTGCTTCTTGTGCTGCTTGTTTTGTTTCATACTCGATAAAACCGTAGCCTTTATGGCGATGAGGTGAACTTCCTTGCTGCAGTTTGCAATATTTAATGGCCCCAAATGCTTCAAATACGCTGTAAAAAAATATCGTAAATATCTCAATTTCAAGAAAATCAACAGCAAACTGACCTTTTAATGTCATCTTCGGCCAAGTCGGGATGGATAGATGCAACATATATTCTGTTATACTGCTTCGCCTCTTCTGTTATCTCATCGATGACAGATTGTGCTTGGGGCATGTTACTAGGTCGACCGACTACTTTGATGTTCCTTCCCCCGAGCATAATGCCGTTCATCTGTTCAAGGGCGAGCTGTGCGGCCTCAGGAATGTCATATTCAACAAATGCAAATCCCTTGTGCTTTTGGGTTACCGGATCCCAAGACATATTGATGGATTTGATAGGTCCAAAGGGTGAGAACGACATTCTAATGGTGTCCTCTTTCAATTCAAAACTTATAGACCCAACATACACTCTAAAAAAGGTATAAATAATATCTATGAACCATATTTTTTCAAAATAAGATAAAACATATTTAAATTCTAGGTAATTTGAAAAATCATTCTCTATTATCCCTGCCTGCCTATTCTCATTCTCTCATAATTTTGTCAATAATCTGATTGTGCATTTTACCATTTTCTGTGGTCTAATTAGACAGTCATCGAGAATAGGCTGACCTGTTGATAAATGAGATATGATCAAAATTGATTGTTTGATACATGAACAATAAAAATGAGGAATATTTAAGTGATTTTGTTCTCAATTGCAGTCATATCTTATCAGCTAGTCAAATTTTCACTGAGGAGAATCAAGCTGTAGCGACTCAATCACTCTCGACTTATTTTGTTCTAATCATCCTGCAAGAACTTAAAAAAAAAAAAAAAAAAAATAGTTATTTATTTACCTGCACATTAAGACCAGGGCTTGGTGTCTATGAAAAGATTTAGCTTGCTGAAAGATATGACGAATTAGTTACTTTTAAAAACAAAAGTTTAAAAAAAGAAAATTAAATCACCTGCTGTTGATGAGCAAGAGTTTGTTTCATTAAAACCATTTTTATACTTTGTTCCATTGCATATTTTTTAGCTCTGTTAACAGAATCGTGTTGGTCGGAAGTTAGTTTTGGCAAAGGAGAACCCAAGATTGCCATTATGCTTAATCGAGATCCGGGCCCTGCAAAAATAAACAAATTAGTAAACAATAGTAGGCCTAAGAAAGAACTGAACTGATTTGTAAGCTTACCCGGTGTTAATGTGCCAATCTGTGTAAAATTATGCATTTGAGGTACAAGTATGGGTCCTGCAACAACAGAATATGTTATTCCGGAAATTAAACCTTCTGACTCCCATGGCCTAAAGTATAGAAAGATTAAATATGAACAAACTTTAAGGCCATTAAAGAGATCAGAACATCTCCTACAAAATTATTTAAAACCGACTGACATATAAATTACAAATGAAAAAAAAAAAAATCTTTCAAATAAATAATATTTTTAAGTATTTTCCACAATCTCATCACACTTTGGTTGTGCTAATCTTCAGCCTTCTCTTGAATGTTGTACAATTGCAATAGAGTTGCATGCTAAAAATGTAATTTATTTTGAAATGGTTGATGACAGTGCAACCAAAGTACGTTAAGATAAATTGTGTAGTTCGACAACTCAAGAGCCTTTACCGATATTGTTTTGTGTCGGCAAAATTTAGCTGAGTAAAGACGAGTTAAGTACACACGAACAGCAGCCACCTAGCGTCACTCACCATCTATCCCCCATGTAACAACACATAAGAGCAAAAAAATAAACATATAGACCAATGTAATTAGGTATGTTAAAAAAAAGAAAAAAAAAAGAAAAGAAAAAAAGAAAAAAGGTGACTTTAATTCATTTAGAAATCGATTTGTGGTAAAAATCTTCGAGTGTTTGTCCAAGGCCCCGCCTTGGGGGGTCAACCGAAGTTGAATTAAATAAAATAACTACATCTGAAACAGTAAAACATCAAACATTTCTCAATAATTTTTGATTTTGATTGTTTGTTCTTTTACCACAGAAATCGCATATAACAGAAATTACTCTCGAGGTCTCTCAAGGTCCTGAAATCAAACAATAAAAAATTGGGGGCATTTAAATATTGTTTTTGTTTTGTTTCTTTAAATTCCTTTCCTCTTAAACAAACAACTCTGTTTTCCTAAATAATTAATTAAAAATTAATACAAAATAATATTTTAATGATTTAGGTATGTGATTTGAGAATACTTCAGACCCGGGTTGTAAAGCACTCTCAATCCACTATTTACTTTTATATTCCAAACAAAACCTATCGAATCACTTATCATTATTTTTTATAATAAATGTGATAGAAGAGTATACTAATAATAACGTTCTGGTGACAGGTTACAACAATTAGCAAAATTGAATATGAGTTGCCCAGCGAAAAAACTTTATTGCGATCGACTTGCTGAATCTTCATCGTAACAATGAGGGGGGAGTGTGAGACACATCTGTAAACATAACCAGAGGAGAATTCTCTTTGAGAATAATCTGTTTATAGTTAACAAACCCATTATTTGCTATTATAAAATTAAGTAATGAGCGTAATCAGTGTATGTGCAAATAATGGTGCATCTCTTGAAGCGCACTGTCAATAAAATCGCATAAAATCATTTAAAAATGAATGCTATATAATAAAATAATTAAGACATCGCACATACCGTTCTGTTTGCTTGGTGGATAAATAATGCCAATAAACACAAGTGAAATTACAAAATTATTTAAGATTCACGAGTCAATGATAAAATACAAGAAAGATCCGTTTTCATAATTTTGAAATTTCACACATTCTAAAAAATATTTTAAATAGATTAATAAAATTACTATATCAAAATGAAATACAGTTTAAACTAGCAAGCAATTAATATAACAATAGTCCGAACTATTTTCTTACATATTTAAACTCCTAACAGGCGAGGAGTTTATATAATCGATAATAAACTCAAAATACTAAAACTGCTATTATAAAATTTATGATACAAATGTATCAAAAATAATTCTCATATCTGTTCATAATTGTTGGTTATATTCATATCTCAGGTGTGTCAATATGTTTCATAATTTCATACAGATAAAATTTTGTCTGAATCTGATGATATTGTAATTTGTTAATAAGATATTTTTTCATGGTTTAGTTTTCTTTTTTGATATACTTATTTTGTGGTCTTTTTCATTATGTTGAAAAAGTTGTCATGTTCTATATGGCATTAGTTATTGGTTTGTTTGCCCACAATTTTTTTTACTTATTTTTTTATTTTATAAATTTACGATATGAAGTTTGGGTCAATTTTCCAAGTCTTTCCTGTTACGAGTAGGTTTATGATAGTATGTTTTATTTTTTAAAACCAAACATTCTACAAAAATAAATAAATAAAATATATTTAGGCACCAAGCAAACTAACTAGGAAAAAGTATTGCACTTGTCTAATTATTATTATTTTCTTTATAGATAATTTTTTCAATAGCTTAATATATAAAACGGTATAAACATTGGAAGCTACTCTAGTAAATTTTAATTATTTGAAAAATTATGCTAAATTGCTGTTTTATGCTTTTGAAAGCACGACAAATTTAAAATCAACAAATAAAAATATTATACAAAAGTTAAAAAGGAAAAAGAAAATAAAAAATATATATATGTATGTATATAAAATTAAAACAAATTCAATGTTTAATTTTCTTCATATGGGAGAGGGAATTCCCAATAGGTCGCACATGTGGCATGGCCATAGAATTCCTGGAACATCTCAGAAACAAACGAAAGCACTCTATTAGTTCCAAGCATATTCTTGCTCCAAGCACTTTCTATAATAGCTTTTTACAATATTTAAAGAAAACAAAATTCCGGTTTGATAAAGAAAACAATTTTAAGGTATAGAAAACCTGTAAAAGCCTAACTGTCAATGTTTAGATATGTTAGTTAATATAAAAAACAATCTATGTAGTGATATACAAATGAGCCAAAATTTATAAAAAAAATAAAAAATAAAAAAAATGAAAAATTCAAAATATAATCATAAAGCAAACAATAATGACCAAATAAAAATACTGTTAGGCACAAAACTGTTATGCATGTATGATATGTTTCCAAAGAAAAGGTTTTTTCTCTATATATAAAATGATGATTCATATACGTGTAAAATCACGAAGATAACTTACCGTCTCCACTACTTCCTTTGCCAGGAGAAGTTGCCGGTGGTGGTGGTGGTGGAGGAGGAGGCGTCGTCTGCGGCAGTGGAGGCATGGGAGGAGGTTGAACAGACACCTCAGGTGGCACTGTTGGTGAGTGGCTTGAAATCTGAAATTAAATAATGTTTAGAGCCCAACCAAAGTCATACTTAGTCCAACTGGACGTCAAACCACTTTTTACGATTTCCCTCCCAAAAATTAATCTCAAATGAAATTCCAGGGCTTTGCTGGGATCTGAACCCAGGAGCGTAAATGCGGCAAATATAAAGTAGGACGCCGTAATGACTCAGATGTCGGCCCCCTATCAGAGCTTAAATGATAATATATATTACATCATATTTCCTCCAAGCTCCTTTTCTTCTAAGTCATGTACAGGGTTATTTAAAATGGATTTCTGGCATTAGTTATCAACTAGATGAACTCCATACTGACATATGATATTTTGCAAAATGTATTAGTAGTAGTATATATTATTTATGTGCCAGCAAACATCTAGATGTCATTGCCAGTCCTCTGCACATGAAACACGAAGTTCTGTCTTTTTTTTCTTTCACACATATTTCTCACAGATTGTCATATTTTTTCTCAATTTAACCTATTGTTTACTTCGGGCTGACAAATTACTAGTGAAAGGACAAGAAGACACATATGCATATAATCTCATAAAGATTTTCATGCCCCACAGCCCTTCCTTGAAGCACCGTTAATGAGGAGAACCCTGCCCCTCAGTTGAAAATTGTGTCAATGTGTCAAGGAATGCAAACTATATTTAAAACCAGGAAATTATTAATTATTTTTACTTATTAAAAATGTCTACCTAAATATTTCCTCCTCTATTTGTTACTATCAAATAATTTAGATCACCATTACAATTATACCAAGAGATTTCTTTTTAATTTTATATCGTGTTCAATGATGAATATTGAATTTAAATTGACAAATATTTATTTGTGTAAATAGTAAATATTGACAATCGACCCTGAAGAAAATGATACATTATTTCAGGTTTAGTCATTTCCTAAATACAATAATTGGATGATTGGAGGACAACATTTGCATATTTTCAAATGCAGAGCTGTTACAACCAACTGTATTTTACAAAATTATTCATTGACGTTAATTTGTCTGACAGAAATAAATGGTTAACTTTTGACTTTTTGTCTTCTTTTTGACAGTTTGTCATCTCTTATCATTCCTAGCCAGTTTGGCGCGTGTTAGACATGTTTCCACATTAAACAGACAAAAACTAGAGAAAGGGGCTACATACTACCTAGGCTAAGAAAAAATTGTTCATTCAACAGAAACCATCAGCTTAATACAAAAATTACAACAGCATAAAAACCAATAAGCATCTCACAACCAATTGTCAGAAATGCCGAAACTTGATTGACCAAACTACAGGTTCGTTCATCAATCCACAGACCCCCCCCCCCAATGGAGAAATCACAATTACTGAAGATTAAAAATTATATTATTTCAATTAATTATTCTTTTTATCTGCGGTCTAATTAATTGAAATAATATGATCAATTATGACCGCTAAACATATATGGATTAATATTATTATTTTATTACGAGGGTATTTCAACTGCAAGGTTATATGAACCCTGATGGTGCTGATGTTTTTGGGGAAAAAAAAATCATTAGTATGACTGGTTTGAATTTGGCGATATTTACCTAGTGGGTACCTTACATTGATAAACGCAGTGTCAAAGCCTAAACCGTTGAGTCCACCCCAACGATATGCCAATGTTCTTTCTGTTGTGTTGAGGAATAATGACAAGCTGCACACAGCATAAATTTACTGAAAAGTTTGAATGGTCGAACCAAGGGTCTAGGTGTGTCAGAATTCTTTTCATCAACTTTACCGATCAAGTGTGTATAAGCCAAGGCATTCAATGATCATTTCACATACTGCACCAGTTTTGAAATTTAATTTTGTTAAATTCACTAATTTCGTGGTCCGCTTGACCAATTAATATATTACAATTAATTACAGTTTTTAGTTGAGATAAAAAAGTCAATGGCACGAGCGGGATTCGAACCAACGATCTTCGGCTAGATACGCCGCTGGTCTACCACTTGGTCTATCGTGAACTCGATCCACTCGGACACCAACTTCCTATCTCAACCCCACCTTTTGAGTTTTCCCTCCTTTTTGCCATTTTTCAACTGTCGTGTAATCGGATTGGATTCTTGGCAACAAATGAAATGAACACAGAGAGCTTTAGTGAAGTATACTTCATTTTCAATCATTAAATTCACTAATTTCGTGGTCCACTTGACCAATTAATATGTTACAATTAATTAAGGTTTTTTAATACAATTAATGAGATAAATTTTTGAGATAAAAGATTTAATTTTGTGTTGAAAATTAAAATCAGATATAATATACAATGATCAGCGAACCAAAAAGATACAATGACTCCTCAAATACCTATCCAAGCTATTTGATAAACCATTTAAAATGTAGTACCCTAAGCTAATAAACATAATTTTTTAATGCATTCAAACATGATGTACGATAATGGTGTATATTCTTCCTGCTGTGATCTGCAATAATGTGTTAACAGCATAAATTGACCAAATGGTTCGAGCGTTGGAACCACAGATTTAAGTCTTTGAGGAATGTTTCAGCATTACATCAACTTTACCGATCAATGAGTGTTAACCAAGGCATTTAACTTTCACTTTATAGATTACACCTATTTTTCAATTTAATTTTTGCGTGTTGAAAATTGTAAATTGGGTGTAATATACAATGATCAGTGAATCAAAAATGAGGCAAGGCCTGGTTAGGCAATTTGATAAAACATTCAATATTTAATACCAAGTCAATAATATTAATTAGCAATGAATACAAACATGATATACCATGCAATATAATTTTTTTTTTGACTGGGGCTTCCGACATCTAGGTCATTTCAGCCCCCAACTATGTCTATATTCTATTTACACTTTCAAACATCATCATTCATACAAATAAATACATTCATACAATACACTTATTGTTTGGTCAGTGGAGTTCTTGATATTCCTCCACCGACCTATACTCAAATTAATCTAGATTGGGGTTGATGGAGTACTTTTATAAATATTCCGCCATCGACCTCGAACATACACTCATACGCTCTCAACATTTGAGGGGCGATGATGACGTTATATTTCACCCTCACCCCTCGCCATTCACGCTAATAAATACATGCAATCAGACAAAACATATAGACAAACAACACATAAGACATATTATATAGAATAAAAACCCTCAATTTCCCCTAAAAAGCGGAACAGGGGACTCTGAAACTTGCTGCAGTGCTTGAGTACCATCTTCAGATTGGATGGCATGCCTACACGCTCCCTGTAGGGAGTCAAGGCATGAATGTTTCTAGTATGTGGGACACATCGAGCAACCTTTCTCTGCATAGGCTTTGGCCCAAGAGCAGGTGCCCATGTGTCAACTGCGTATGGCCTATTCTTAATTGCGTAAGGACAATTCCTTGTTTCTGGCTCAGGGTCTCGGGGGGCCATCTATGAATCGTGCTCTTGATGCGCAAAAGCCTCTCGAACGACCCGGCCCACTGACGCTGCCATCTTTTTTTTATCATGTTCTTTACTGCTAGCTTGGCTTCAGAGGGCCTGGTCGCAATGGTCCGGTCTGGCGGGTGGGACATCCCGGCCTTTGCCGCCTTGTCCACATGTTCGTTACCCTCCAGCCTGACGTGTCCGAGGATCCAGGCAACAACCACTGTTTTTTCCTAAGCGCTTCAACTCGGCGAATTTTTCCATCAACAGCACAATGAGAGGGTCTACAGAGAACCTCTCACAGGGCCCAAACAAGCACTCGGAGAGTCGGTGCATACGAGGAAGGCAGATCCTTCCTCGGTCCACACCGCCTCGAGAGCGTGCCAGATTGCGTACAGTTCTGCTGTGTATACGCTACAATGAAAAAAACTGCCAATACAAAACTGTCCAAAGCTTATAAACTGTCTCTATGATTGTGCCTTGCAAAAGGGCAAAAGGAAATATAATTTGTGAAACATCGTCTGAGAAAAAATAATTAACATTGTTTTTATACCTGACCAAACAACCCATTCAAACTTTTGATAAAACATTGAAAACAGTCATTTATTCATGAAGCATTATAACAACTTTACCTAGATCAGTCTACATAAGACAAGGCATTCAACATGCACTTCAGACTTCACCTGTTTTTTGATATTTAATTTTTATGTTGTAAAAATTGTAAATCAGGTCCAATATGGAACTGATTGAAAAATACATATTAAAAAAAAAAAGCGGGGCAAAGCCGTGAAATGGTTCGAACAGTGAACCAAGGGTTTAGGTCCGTTGGAAAGGTTTTGGCATTTTGACAACTTTACCGATCAGTGTACATAAGCCAAGGCATTCAACGTTCAATTCAGACTTCACCTGTTTTTGCAATTTAATTTTTAAGTTGTGAAAATTGTTAATTGTCCAATAGGCAACTGATTGAATAATGTACAAAAAAATGAGACAAAGCCTTGTTAGGCTATTTGATGCACCATGATTATTTAATACCCTAAATTAATAACATTAATTAGTAATGAATTCAACATGTCATGCTAAGTTCTTTCTATAGTGCTGAGTAATAACGACAAACAGAATACAACATAGACTTATCAAATGGTTAGAACGGTGGGTTTAGGTTTGTCAGATTTACTTCGGTATTAAGCCAAATCTAACAAGGCGTTCAAAGTTCTTGTCAGACATAGTCAGACTGATAATGTGAACTGCTGAATGGCCTGTTAATCTGTAGATTGTTCCAATTATCCTGATCCTCTTATACTGACATTGCCCTGTATAGTTCTGTGACTGTTATTTTACAGGAATACTGAAGACTACCACTTTTCGCTGAATTCATCTGAAAGAAATGCGAACCAAGATGGAACTCCTAACACATAGGACAAAGTTGTTTGTTAAAGAAATGTTGATACTTGTCACTTTCGCAATCGACCGTTTTGAACCTTTTCCCCCTCGGGGGGGTTTCCACGCCGGCCAAATTAGCACGAACCGAAAAAGGACAAACCGGATGAGGAACTCTACGTGAAAATTGTCTAGGTGCGATCATGTAGTAAAAAACAATGCTCACCATCCCTCCGTTCATCATGGAGTAGTTCTGCATCGTCGTCATCTTTTCACTTATGTTTCCGTATACCCAATAAAGTCTCAGAACCTATTAAAACAGTTTGGGAAATGAGATAATATCAAGCATTCAAGAATTTATATCCCAAAGGCCATCGGGTTCACGACGGAAATGCGCCTCGGATGACAATAACGTAGTTCTCTTAAAACAAAAATGTCCCGATTCGGCAAGGCAAGCCAAGTTACTAATGGAACTTCGACCGCGTCCTCTAGGAAGCGAATTGTACAATTAAAAGACACTGCCTTGACGATTAAAACATGTAAACATTCAAATAAATTAATATTTATAAAGAATAATGGATTTTTTATATAATATTTCCATTGTCTGCAATCTGCCACAATTAAATATCTAACACATCTGTTTCTATGATTTATATGTGTAAACCGTAAAGTTAAAGGCTACCTGAAAAAGGTTCCTAACCCTAAACCTTAAATTCAAACTCTGCAATTTAGCAAATTATGAAAAACAATACTTAAAAACTTGTCCCATATATAACAGGGCTAATTAGCCAAGTCAGCTTTAATGAACTGATATTTTGGTCATGTACAATTTGACCAATATATTAAATTTCCGCTACATATGTTCGAATCGATTTGTGGAGATGAATTCATTAAATCGTTAATCGTTTTCATTATTTATTGATACTTGTCGAGGGATCGAAATCCAATATAAAAAGACATTTTACAACAACAACAAAATAAAAATAAAATATATACAGGGTGAATTGCTACTCGTGCTACAAACTTCTCCAGTAGATTCTTCACCCTAAAATGAACAAAAAAGTTCATATTGTCCATGGNCTATAAATGATAAATATAAAAATACAATTCAAAGTGTAAAAACTGAACAATTACAAAAATAATAAGACATAATTATTAAGTAAATTAAGGCAAAGGAAACAAAATAAACCTGAAAGACAATTGAAAGTACAATATTTAGCTACATATTTAATGAAAATAATGCACTTTGTAGATATATACAATACGACTAGAGCGCAAGATTTAGGTAAACCAGCAAATGAAATAATTGTAATAAACTTTTAACAGTATGAAATATAAAAGCATTAAAAAAAATATAAATTGGTAAGAAAAATCAACTAGAGTGGGGTTGTAGGATATGGTTTTTCATAGACTGCACAGAACTATTGAAGAAGTCAATGCTATTGCAGATGTTGCTACTTTTGATCATCAAGCGATGTCGAGGAGAAGAGAGTTAACTACATGCTTTGGAATTCAATATAAAATAGTTTCTGGGTTTTGAGAGAGTGCGAAGGGATGTGTAGCTGTAGCTGAGAGAGGAAAAAAGGACTATAACTGAGATTGTTTAATAATTTAAATACAAAAACAATATCAAAGTAATCCCTTCTTAGTGCCAGTTTGAAAAGTTTATATTGAGAGTGGATTCCAGGGTAGGCAGAGTTCGGTGGAAGATTGAGTTTGAAAGTTTTTTTAAAAATTTGTTTTGTACAGATTGAAGAAATTTTTGATAATTTAGATAGTATGGGTTAGGTGTAGCGTATTTCTAAAATTTATACAATCTAAAAGCTATATAGATTACAAATTGACAGATCAGGCAAATAGGAACAACTAATTGATCCTAGTGTGCCCCATTTGTCAGTGAACCAAAAATGCGACAAAGCTGGTTAGGCTATTTGTTGAAACATTCAATGTTTAATACCCTAAGTTAATAGTATTAATTAGCAATTAATTCAAATATTAACATTCAATATTCTTTCTGTTCTTCTAAGGAATAATGCAAATACCATAAATTGACCAATTGATATACCATAGAATATTCTTTCTGTTGTGCTATGGAATAATAGTAAACAACATAAATTGACCGAAAAGAATCTAATAAATATATAGCAACTAATCTGAAAATATCAAGAACTAGCTAAACTTGTCTTTCTATGCTTGTATTCAAAAAGTCAATCAAAGCAGTTTTATAAGGAGAATCAGAAAAAGTGCTAATATCATTTAGCGCCATGTTAACATAGTGCCTTGCATTTTTTATAGAAAGCTCGATGGCATTGTGGTGACTAATATAGTGCAGCGCCTGGTCAAAATGATTCAAACGGTGAACAATGTGTTTAGGTCTGTCAGAATTGTTTTAATTACCGAACAGTGTGTAGAAGCCAAGGACTTCAACGTTCACTTCAGAGATCACCTGTTTTTGCAATTTAATTTTTATGTTGTGACAATTGTAAATCAGGTCCAATATGCAACTGATTGAAGAGCATTTAAAAACACGATACAGGCCTGGTTAGGCTATTTGATGAAACATTCAATACGTAATACCAACAACTAATTGATCCTAGTGTGCCCTATTTGTCATCACCCTTCAAATTCTGTACAATTACACCCAAAAGTCAAGTAGTTAATCACTTAAGTAACTGTCAATTTTGTTGCTTTTGTTTTTCTTCAAATCAAAGTAAATGCAAGAGTCAAATTATAAAGGATGTTTAATTAATTACTTTACAGCTATGCTTTGTTTCAGTACTTGCTCTATTCTGAACAAAACACAGTTCATTTTTCACATGTATTCAGTAACTTCCAATTAGAATTATCCATGTAAGAGTTTATGTATGTTCTTCAAAATTCCTTCATTGTATAAGAGCACAACATTGAATTTATCCTATGTCAGCAATCTGCCTAAATTAGACAGGTAACACATGTATTTTCTATCATCTATCTGCCTGAAAAGATTCCTAACCCTAAACCTTAAATTCTAAATGTGCAATTTAGCAAATTATGAAAAACAATTCTTAAAAATTAGACCCATATATGACAGGGCTAATTAGCCAAGTCAACTTCAATAAACTGATATTTTGGTCATGTACAATCTAATATATTAAATTTCCGTCACATCTGTTTGAATTGATTTGTGGAAATGAATTTCTTAAATTGTTAATAATTTTCTAAAATGTATATGATCTACAAACTTTATAGATTATAAATTGAAAGACCAGGCTAATAGTTGATCCTAATGTGCTCTGTTTTCATCATTAAAGCCCAAATTTATATGCAATAAAAATTTCAAAAGGGCTTATTGCGCAATAGACCCTTTTGCCATTTTCAGAAACTTCCCATTAAAATTGGAAATAATTCTGACCTGTGCCGGTACAAATCATTAGATCCATTGCTGTTCTCGGATCAGAAATTGTATTTTGAATAATTGTTTTAACTTGAATTTTACATTCTTGTACTGGTACACTTTAAAATCAACATCAAAATTATTGCAGACCAAGACCCACCATCAACTTTAACATCCAATGTCAGCATGTGTGTGGATTTAAAACATTTGTACCTTAAGCACCCCATCTAAGAACAATTTACTTTCTTTTACACAAGCTCTTCCATTAGTTTTTATTATTATTTTTTTTTAAAGAAAGTTTTCAGACTTGACCTGCTTCATTCTTCTGTCCAAAAAATAAAAAATGGTGAAAATTTGTGAAATAAAAAGAAGCATTTATCAAAAACAACACCACAACTTTCTGCTAAATATATAATTTTTTTTAAATTTTATACAAAAAAGGTTTATTATACATTAATATTAATTATCATAAGACAAAGTGCCAATGTAAATTAAATAATTTTAAATAATTATCTAATTTTAAGAACCTCAAATTGTATTTTAATAAACATTGTAATTATAGATTTTATCTTAGACATATGTATTTTATTTTTGAGTCCACAATTGTAAAACTTAGCTTAAATAAGAAAAAAATAAATGAGTATGTTTATGCGGTTTTCCACCTGATGTACAGTAAAATCATCTTGGTTTTTATTTTGTCCAAACATCCTAACAACTTAGATACTTTCATTGAGATTAGTCGGTCAAAGGCCATTCTCACGAGAGACATCCTGCATGCCAGTTTCATGTTAGTGCCCCATGTGCCTTCCATTAGATATGAACTAAAGTGAAATTTGTTAAAAAGAGTATAATTTTTTTGGAGCGCACTAACTTAGGATGGAAGGCGAGGCAATATTAAAAAAACAGAAGTGCATTACCAATCAACAAATTTTTGACTCAATTTCTACAGAACAAAATGGCAAGTAATTTTAGGATTTTGATTAACATTTTATCATTAAACATTTTTAATTTCTTTTACTCCAGGTGTAAAAGCTCATCTGAATTCAACTGCTGAAGAAAAGACGGGGAAAAAAGCATATTCACAGACACTATGGGCAACCTCTAATGAAAAATGGTTTGTTTCAACCTGTCATCTTGCTCTCAGGAATAAGCTTGCTTTACTTGTATTTCGTTTTCAGCTTTGGAAATGGGGAAAAAATCACTAACTCAGGAACAATTTCTACACTGCATACTAATTTTGGTAATAAAGAAAATTTATCATCCTTTGAACCGGTCAAGGATGAATTTTCATTTCCCTGGGACTGTTGTAAGGTCATTATTTTATTATAGCATTCTCACTTCCTAGGAAAGAAAACAAAACATTATTAACCAATTTTCTCACCTAGGAAAATTTTTAATTTGCATAAAATTAGAATTAAAAAATACTTTAATTTCAAAGCCAAGAGCTTTTTGCATGTAGAAAATATAACAACATTAATTAATTTTAAAATTATTAGTTTTTGCACTAACGCTAGACAATGGTAAAACTGTATAAAATTGATAAAAATTAAATTAATTTAAACAATATTTACAAAAATATTATCCATTGATATTTGTGGAATAATAAAAAACTAGCATCTGAGAAAATTTGGTTTTCACAAATTAGTTTACATATATTTAATCCTAGAATCTTATAATATTACAAGTTTTCTATTTTAATAATTGAATTAGATGAAGGATGGACAAGTTTTATCAGCAAAGAATGAAAATAGATTGTCGATTGAGAAAATATCAGAGCAAACCTCGGCATTTGAGCAATTCATGTCCCATCCAAATACAATGCATTGTATGTTTATTACAATTTTTATCCAATTTTTTAATATTTTAATTCATTTGGATTGTTTCTATCCTAGTCGAAAAGACATTTTCAGATTGGAACGATTCATCATCACACGTCAATATTTTTTCAAATGGACACTCAGATGAGAAAAGTTCGTTTGAGAACATATCGATCTCCAATTCAACTCTTTTGCCCAGCGGTAAAGTTTCAGAGGGTGTCTGGTCTGGTGCAAAAATAACGGTTTGTAATTCATAATGCAACCCTTATTGTGAGAAATTAAACTCAAGTTAAATTTGAAGGTTGTTCCCCCGAGAAAATGCAGAACCCCATCACCGTACATGTTCCAAAGCTCATTAAACAGTAGCCAAAGTTCTAGTAACTCTAAAAACCGCAGAACAACTTTCCCACTTGAAAGAACTGACAGTGAAGTAAGTATTTAATTAATTTTGAAAATTTTCAATTTTAATTTTTTTAATCGGTTTCAAACTGTATAGAAATATTTTAACCCAATTACTTCATCAAACGGAAATCAGCCCATCGAGCTTTTGGTTACAAATTTAGACCAAAATATAGATCCAACAGAAATAAAAAAAAATCTTCTTTTGTTGTTTCGAGAACATGTCATGGTTGGAATTTATATCTACTTGCATAAATTATTTCTTATAGTATTATTTTTTATTAAAAATATTTTTGTTTAAATAGGTCCTTCATATTTCAATTTTTATGCTATCTGACGGAAATTTCGCAGCAAGTGTAAAAGTGCCATCATTGCACGACGCTCAATACGCCATATCACGCTTGCACCGTCGTAAAGTTGGATATAAAAGGCTTATGATTTCCTATGCGCACTCTTCTCACAGTCAAAATCCTCAGTTTATTAGGTGCAAATTTACGATCTGCATGAAATGGTATGCTTATTAATTGCAAATTTTTTTCAGATGGCAAGTGGTTTCACTGTTGAGAGATGTCCCTCATAACAAGCTTCCGTTATTTTCATTTCTCGAGCTATTTGAATCGCGCTACTTAACTACTGTATCAGTTTCCGAACTGTATAGGCTTAAAGATATCTGCACAATTACAGATGAGAATGGACGCATGGTGTCCTTAAATTTGGAGTATAGAAAGTCACCTACTCCTTCTCCAAGCTTGCCATACTCTAACGTGAATACTGTTAAAGCAGACATACATGGACTTATATAGTAGTACAAATTATATGTTTTTAGGTAATTGAACTTCATTGTTCTAAGCATTATAAAGTGAAACAGGGCCCCGGCAAAGGGTGGGCAGAACAAGAAGTTCCTCCTTTACCTAACGTAATCGTAAATCTTAAGCAGTTTTCAGATCATATTTATACATTGCTTAAGACACATAATAATATCGTACCTCTAGCAAGGTAAAAAAACATTATTAGAAAATGAACAATTGCCATATTAAGTTTATTTTCATTTTAGTTTTTACGATTGTTATGAATGTGAATTCGGCCAGTTACCGATTAGTGAGGGAGGAGTGCCTTTGGAACATTTGGTGACTTGTGTTAATAATGTAAAACTGTCTTCATCCAGTGGTGTAAAGTATCTCGAACCTACTGTCACAAATCAAAGTGAAGAGACAACAATAGAACAAGGTATATTTACAAAATTAAACACTTTTGTAACCACCTTTAAATCAAGTTATATGCGTGCTTCTTAGTGACCGGTTGTTTCATAATTTGTTGAAGTAGTGAGGAGCGGTTAAGAATGAGATAGTTTAGAAAAACACCTTTTTTATTTTTTTGCCAATGTTTCAACCTTCATGCTTGTCATCTTCAGGGCTTGGGTATATTACAAAACATATGTTGTTTGGAAAAAATACCATTTAAGATGTAAATATAAATTTTTAACCAAGTATTTCATAAGTATTTCAATACGACAACACAAGAATAGCATGACACTTTATGTGAGTATATACTTGGTTCAAAATTTATATTTACATCTTAAATTGTATTTTTTCAAATCAACATATGTTTTGTAACTTACCCAGGCCCTGAAGATAACTCGAATAAAGGTTGAAACATCAGCAAAAAAATATTTAAAAAATATTTAAAAAATTTTTCTTTCTAAACTACCTTATTTTTGACCGCTCCTCAACAAATTAATTTAAAGTCATATGTAAAACGATTACAATGTTCACTTGTTAGTTGAAAAATCTTATTGAAATAATAAATAGTTTGATTTTTCTGAATTTGGATTAATTGTAATTTAGTAAAAAAAATTGATTTGTTTTTTTAATAATGTGAAAATATTTTAGACTAATTTATCTTTTTAATTTTTTAGTTTTTGTTATTATTTCCAAATAGTTTAAAAAAAATAAATTCATTACTTATTTAAACATTTATTTGGAAGTATTTGGAATTTACATTCCCCCATCAGCATATTTTTTTTTAATTTACTTTTTATTTAAGAATTTACTTTTTTTTTAAAACCCAAAAGGAAATAATGGTTTAAAAAAAAAAACAAAAAAATTGTTTGCTTTCTTACTATTTTATTCAGAAATTTAACATAATTGATTAATAGTAGCATGAAATTATTATTTTGATGGTACTGCAAATGAGCTATAATTTTATGCTTGATTTTCAGATGTCAAGTCATCAATTAGTCCAAAATTAACAAATGTATTAAATATATTTTCTCGAGAGCTTGTGGACTTGTTGAAATCGCAGCCTCATTCACAAGTCACATTCAGTAGATTTATTCCAGCCTATCATCATTATTTCGGTAGACAGTGCCGTGTTGCAGATTACGGCTTTACTCGGCTGATTGATTTACTTATAGCTTTGCCGAATGTTGTTCAAGTATGCTATATATATAAAGCCTTCGACTTTAGTGTTAAAGATAATTTTGTTTTTCCACTAGGTTCTAGGAGAAGGAAATCGAAGGATTGTGACACTATCACATCGCACACAAGTCAGAAGATTCACTTCAGATTTGTTGAGGGTATTAAAAGTTCAGCCTAGCAAGAAGATTTTGCTTTCAGAGCTGCCTGCAGCGTTTCATAGTGTTTTATCACGGCCATTTGACCCGATTGACTATGGTCTCTGCTATCTCAGTGATCTTATTGACCAAGTGTCTGAAAATATAGTATTGCTCAGTCAAGTAGGTGATGACCGGGTGATATATATACCAAAAAGGGAACAGACTCTCCAGGAAATAGAAAGGACCAAGGCATTTTCCTTGGAGGTAAAATTTAACCAATATTCGTGTAACATTTATTTTTTAATAAATTAATCAATCCTTCTACCACAGGTCATAGAGCTGTTAAGCCATGCACCTCAATGTGCGATCATGTTCAACAAATTTATACCAGCCTATCATCACCACTTTGGTCATCAGTGCAGAATGATGGACTTTGGCTTTTCAAAACTGGTGGAACTTTTTGAAGCCATTCCAGAGATTGTTAAGGTCATATCTAATTTTTATTTATTTTTTTTCTTAACAATTATTGTTTATTGTTACAAATATACATTAGTTTTTTTTATTCCAAAAACATGTAGTACTATTTAATTAACTGAACTAATTATCAATAAAATGTTTTTATAAAATAATTATGGTCGTTAGTTTTCAGTGTAGATTACTATATATANTCACTCTCTCTTTTTCCCAACCTCTCTCTCACAAACAAAAATTACTACTTGTATATCTTGCAGGTTTGATGCCCGAGTTTTATTATTACAAAAATTATTATAAAAATAACTGTAGCATTTACATTAATAAACTATTAACTTTATTTATTTTAAATTTCATATGGTTTTAATTATGCTTAGATGGAAGAAGATGGGAAAGGTGAACGCAAAGTGTGTCTCACTTACAGCCAAAAGCTCATTGTTTTGAGTGAACAAATATCTGGTTTAGTGACTCCTTATTATCCACCAGGCCTGCCATTGGAATATCTTCTAGATATCTACATTTGGAAATTTGGTTATGCACTTAAGACAGAAACATATCAAGCGTCAAGTCTAGAGGAATTAGTTAGCAATATAACAACTGTAAAAGTATGTAATTTTACTAATAATTCATTCAAAGACTAATAAGAAAAATTCATATTTCAGATTGTACACTCGGACAAAGGAAAGATAATAATCCCAGTGGAGGAAGCTTTGGTAAAACATTTAACAACGACAGTCATGAGAATACTTTTAGATACAGCAGAAGGAAAAATCACACATTCCATGTTAAAAACCCACTTTGATTCATTTCATTATGAACACATCAAACCAACCAATCTGGTCAAACTCAGCCCTGATATAATAAAGGTACTGGGGTCAAATAAAACTCAAAAGCACAATATTAAATCTATACTCAAATTTGTTTAGATACACGAAGAAAATTCGGAAACTATAATTGAGCTCATGCCGCTTTACCAGTTTGCAAGGAAGCTCTGCGATATATTGGTGCGCAACGAAGGCCGAATTTTGCTCTACATCTTGGAATCTGTGTATTTTAGAACATACCAAACTCAGTTGCAGCCGGCACATTATGGATTTTCAAACATTCAGAGCCTCCTGTCTGCAATACCTCAAGTGATCTCACTCAGAGGAAAAGGGATGAAAAGGCTCATCATCCTCAACAGGGAATTAATGGCTACAAGTGGGTACCTTTTTATAAATACAAAACAATCTTTATACTAGTGTTTAATATATTACTATAATCTCATAAGGAAAATTAATAATTATGTTGTCTCACCAATAATTTTACTTTAGTTTAGTTTGATTCAATTTAATTAGCCTCCCCTTACTGTAACTTTTGGGTACAAAATGTTTTGTACTAGTTGTGTTGAGGTGATGACAGTATCTTCATCCTCTTATATCATTTTGGCCGACACATCCTAACTGAATTTGTCAGACAGACATGTTTTGGAATTTTACCATCAGAATGGAATCACCGAAGATAATGAAATATCAAAACAGACAAAATCTTTGGCAGCAGATGAAGGTGAACATGTAGTTTGATCGTTTTCGATCACTTTGGTCTGCCTATTCTCACCATTTGGTCTGTCGGACATTTGTCAACTTAAGTAGTAGATAAAAATGATCAGAAACCACTATAATTGTAGTTATTATGGTAAATAGGAATTTTTCTGCTATAACTAAAACTTTCATATACCTAGTCCTGCCATAAGTTCTGTTACAAACATTCACCTTGAAAATAATCCCAAACAAACGCCTGGCGAACCTTGCTCTCTTGCCTATTGTTTACCTTTGATATAATGCTAAATTCTTTTACTCAGTTGTTATTGAGAATTAATAATGCCAAGATGGAACGCACCCTTGAACAAAACCGTCATGCCATCATCGCATCACAAGGCAGGTAAATCAAAATCAGAGATTTTCAAGACGCTGAAATCGTTAGGAATAAATCGAATGTTTGTGTGGTGCACCATAAATCGCTTCAAAGATACTCTATCTATTAAAGACAAACCAAGGTCGGCCATCCTTGCTCTGTGAGGACGAAAAATGCCATCAAAGCGGTTGAAAACCGAATTCGAAGAAATCCGCTATGAAAACAAAAAATATTGTCCAGAGAAATGGAGATTTCTTCCCGATCAATGTCGCGCATCATAAAAGACGATCTTTCGATGAGTGCTTACCGTAGAATGACAGGACAAAGGCTTACAGTATCTTTTAAAAAAATTAGAGTCGAAAGAGCCAAGGCATTGTTGACCCGGTAGGCCGATGGAGTTCATCGAAATATCTTGTTTACCGATGAAAAAATTTTTACCATCGAGGAAAACTTTAACCGTCAAAATGACAAGGTTTATGCTAGAAGTTCTCTAGAAGCTCAGGAAAAAAATTGGAAGGGTAGAAAGAGGCCATCATCTTGCTTCCGTAATAGTGTGGTGGGGAGTTTGCTACGATGGCACCACAAAACTCCATTTTTGTGAGCAAGGAGTCAAAACAAGGGCGAAAAATTACCAAGAAGACATCATTGAGAAAGTAGTAAAGCCCTTAAGTACTACTCTTTTTTCCGGAACTCATTGAGTCTTCCAACAGGACAGCTCCTGCGCACAAGGCCCAAACAACTCAGCAGTGGCTGGAGGAGAATGTTCCGGAATTCATTAAGGCTTCAGATTGGCCCTTGGGAAGCCAAGATTTGAATCCTCTGGACTACAAGGTGTGGTCCCATCTTGAGCTTATGGCTTGCCACAGGAAACACGCCAATTTAGAGAGCCCCAAGTCCGCTCTGCTAAAAGCAGTTGAGAAATTTCCTCAAGACGTGTTGCATACTGCCATAGATGATTGACCCCGAAGACTAAAAGCTTGTGTGAAGGCAAAAGGTGGTCATTTCGAGTAATATTATTTTATTTCAATCTTAAAAATATTGGATTTTTTAAAATAAATTTCTTTTTCAAATTATCAAGTTTTCTATTCCCTAATGGCCCTTTTTCTTGTAACAGAACTTATGGCAGGACTAGGAATTACAATAGATTGTAATTATGTTTTGTTCGAAACACCAAACAAAATAAATATAAATCTTAATGTTTATCTCTTGCTTATTAATTTAAGCATTTGACTCAAGCTGTTTAAGCATGGCCTTATTAACAATAAATTTTCATTTTGATTTGATAATTGATTTACAATTATTGTCTGCAGGAAATAAACACACAGATATGGATGCTATATCTTGCCCTCCTGTGCCAAAAGATTTCTCTTTCTCAAATGGCGAAGTGAGTATCATAAATTATAGAAACAAATAGCATTACAAGCTGTTGAAATTGTTAATTTCAGGATGAAGATAGTAAATTCAATGTAACTTCCCCTGTGAAATGGAATAACCCGACCCAGGTTTAAAAATTTTACCAGTAAAATATTATTAGATTGTCATATTAAAATAATTTTGTTAAATATTCTTGTGTATAGGATCCATTAATTATTTTACCTGATATGCCAGTGCCACCAATCGATGTGTCAATGTTTTCGCTGTTTTCGCCTTGTAAAAACTTATTGCCTCCTTCAGCTAGGCCTTGTATGCCAAAAGGCATTTCTTTCGGCCAAAATACTACAAGTTCAAAGCATACTTCAAATGGTCCGAAAGGAAATAATGTACTTTTTTGCTATACAAATTGAAGATATGGAATTTATTATGGAATCTAAGTAAAATATGCTTCGTTTTCAGTTTACAATGCCTAATCAGAATCACTGTTATGAGGGCGTGAATAAAAAACCTATTAACAACAATGTGGAGCAAACAGAACAAGTATCTGCTGGAGCAGACTACCATTTCCATATCTGATAGTCATAGTGTAAGATTTTTTTTGTACTTAACAACCAACCAACAATTTTTTTGTTATGAAATGTTCATGTAGATTTATTGTCATTATTCTAGGAACAATTTCTCTGGTGCAGATTTCAATTTTATAACATGTGGCAAATTCGTCTGGGATCGCAAGAACTCATTTTGGAGCATGGAAGTCAATTTACATCGTGAGTGTTAACGATTTGTCTTATTATGATAATTATTCCCTATGTTGAGGAAAATTTACACTTTTTAATACATATTGAATAACTTGTCTTTTTAAATTATTGTTTATTGAAGTGTGTTATGTAGATGTATATACAAATGTTAATATGAAATCTTATTATTGAAAAATATGTTGGATATGAACTAGTAAGTAAATTGTTAAATTGTGCTCTGATACTCTTAAATTTGGAAGTTTGTTTAACAAATATAAAAAATAATATGCTTTCATAATTCCATATATTTTTGATAATGAGATTATCATCTGTTGCCTTGCATAAACATTGTAAAGTTTTAACATTTCAACTTTGTTTTATTTTAAACGTTTTATTGAAATTGTAATTTTTAGCATGATCAAAATAAATGGAATAGTAATCATTGTTAATAATTGAAATGTTTCGAGATGAATCTATTGGAAGTGTCTTCCCATTGGATTCTTCTTGAATATTTTCAACCTTTGTAATAAGCTCGCCGAATTGTATGCAATTGTTATTTTTTTATATAAAAGTATGGAATTAATTTATATATTTTTATAGTGCTTTTATATATTATAAATGGTACCGGATAGGCAACCATTTGAAATATTATATATAACGGGTCGTAATATTATTACTATGTAACTAAACACACGTTAATAATTTGCAATTTGTTGTTAATTGATGTGGGTTTGCCCTACTCTTTATTTGCATATGTTACTTTATTTTTATTGTTGAAATACAACATTTTTCAAGTAAATGTATCTTTAATATACTACAACCTTATTTATTTGTCACATAAATATCTATGTAAAATTTAATTATACGTTATTTCATTTTTATCTTCTTCAGATCTAGCACTAGATGATTTTTTGCTTTATTTATAAAAAAGGACAAAGAAAAGTACGGTGAGGCCATGGCCTGTGGAGAATTTAGAAAAACAACAAAATAATATTAAAAAGGTTGCGAATAGGGTTCTCTTATAAGAAACAACCTTTTATTTATCTCTATACTCTCCATGATGCTCTCTTAACACGAGTTGAGGTCGTAAAGGATCTTGGTGTACTTTTTGATCAAAAGCTCAAGTTTAAAGAACATATTTCTTCAATAAAAAATAGATTTATGAAGATGCTTGGTTTCATCATCCGGAACACCTATGAATTTAAAAATCCTCTACGTTTTGTCCATCTTTATAAAGCTTTTGTACAACCCATACTAGAATATGCTACACCTGTTTGGAACCCATTCTATCTAAATTATCAAAAAATTCTTCAATCTGTACAAAACAAATTTTTAAAAAAACTTTCCTACAAACTCAATCTTCTTCCGAATTCTGCCTACCCTGGAATCCACTCTGAATTTAAACTTTTCGAACTGGCACTAAGAAGGGATTACTTTGATATTGTTTTTGTATTTAAATTATTAAACAATCTCATTGATAGTCCTTATCTCCTCTTTCAACTACAGCTACATGTCCCTTCGTACTCTCTTCTTACATAATTTCTGACTATGTTACATTTTTGCTAAGTCTGGTTGTCTGCTCTTGTAAGAATGCTATACTTTTGTTACTTTCTATCTCTTTGGTAAATTTTATTTTATTATGTCCTTTATTGCGTAGATAAAAAAAAATGTAACAGTCAGAAATTATGTAAGAAAATGCTTAAAAGTTTAATTCTTTATAGAAGGGTGTAATATATTCCCCTTTTCCTTTAATTCATAAATACATCAAACACAGGAGTTACTTAGTGCATTAATGGAGATATCATTAAACGCAAGGGAACAATAATCAAAATGAGGAAAAACAAAGTAGAAACAAATAGAAATAATAAAGTTGTGGGTGAGTATAGTAATTTATAAAAAGTGAAGTTGAAACAAGTTTTTTAAGGATGTAGGTTGAGGCTCAAAGGCTCGGAAAATGAGTTGTACCCTAAGACTACCTGCAGGGGGGGTCGAGAATACCACCCTTGGGCCTAGGAAGTAGGCCCCAAACTATGAACCGAAAAAAGACACTGGTCCTCAGATTCTTAAAAAAGCAAAACAAGGGCTTCCATGTAGGCACCAGGAAAGTTGTTAAGGGAAAGAGGAGGGCATCATGGTGATCCTTACTACGGTCTGTAGAGGCCATGAAAAAATGAACCGAATAAATTTCAAATTTGCCAAAGATAAGTTTATGTCAAATCCAAAAAGGACAAAATAGAGGATCTGGCTGATCCTCTGAAGAGGTTCAAATCAAAAAAAGGTCTTGAAACCGTAGGAGTATCAGGGGAGCAGAGGAAGGAAGTAGCTCTTAAATCTTGGTCTGGGAAATGAATAAGGATCGACAAAATAGCAATGAAGAGCACCTGAGGAAACAAGTATAGAAATACAAACTACTAGTAAGAACCTCAAGAACACTAACCTGTAATTATTTAGGATTTTTTTTGTAAGTATTTTTAATTTTTACAATGTGTGTTATAAGTAAAAACAAAAACTACTAAACCAATTTCGATGAAACTTTCACACTGTTTTTATTAGTGCTGGGCGGGTTTAGTTTAGAGACTATAAAATGGACATATAACAAATAATGAGCATCAGGTTTTAAAAAAAAGAGAAATAACTTTTTTTATCATACTGAGCAACACCAGATTAAATCTCCCTGGGCAACGCTGGGTTATAAAGCTAGTATTGTATAAAAATAAAACAATATTTTACTTGTTATAATAGAAAATAAAGATTAAAATCATGTGACATATTATAAATATTTTGACCGTTTTAAATAGTGAAGTTTAATTTTGAAGTTAAAATTCAAATCTATATATGAGTGCAAAAATTAAGGTATGAATTATAAGAATCGCTATCACTTAATACTCAATTACACTGTTGTAAATAATGAGTCTTGTTTTATAATTTATAATTTTTTCATTTTCAGAGCGAGGTTGAAGATCCCGTGGTGTGTTCACTAAAGGCAGACCACGAGGGGAAGCATGCGGTGAAAGGAGACGTATCCACTGTGTCGTTTGTGAAAGTGCCGAGCCAGCAGGAAGATGAATTTGATGCGGTCGGAAGGAATGTCGCCGCCAAACTAAGAGGGATGACGAAAATCCAACAAACCGTGGCTGAAAAGCTGATCTCTGAAATTCTCTTCTATGGAAAGATGGATAAGCTCACTGAGGAGACAGAGATCAACCTGGAAGAAGTTGATATCATGTCAGAAGCCAACTCGGGTGTCGAAGTGAGGGAAGCAGTCAGCCTGTAAACTACTTAAATGCTCTACTCTTATAAAATTTAAAATAAACAAATATATTAGACTTTTTTTCAAATGAGGAATTTTTGATTATTTATAAATAGAAATTTATAACATATGATCAATTTTATACAAATAAATAGAGGAAAAAATAAAACAATGTATTTTAATGATGGTATTATAATTTTTTCATACTTCTTATACACTAGATATCATTTAATTTTAAAAATCAAAATAAATCACAATTCTTTACTGCATTACAGATAGATTGGGCAAAGTTCAATAAATAAAGAAACATAAAATACTGATACAGAGGAAAAAATATAATTTTTGTTTATTTTTATTTATTCTGATCTTAATACCGACTATTGTTTTATTTCTTCAAAATTAAGCAGAGCAATATATTTCATTTCACCAAGAAATAGAAGTAATTAGATAAGTGAGAGAGAGTGTATTAAAGGTAAATAAATGAAAAACAAATATATTTAATGATATATTTCTTTAAGAAAAACTGATACATTTTCAGATTAAAATATAATTAAAACTACATCTTTTGTGTGAAAACTAACTTTATGACTCTTTGGAAAATGGATTTATCTTGGATAACCAAGACGACCTGGAAAAATAAAAGAAATTATTTACTTTTTAACTGGGGGAAAAAAAATTGTACCTTTTTTCCTCTTTATCCGAAGGATCAGTTTCTTCAGGAGGTGACATGAGTAACTGGATCAGTTTCATTCGAAATTCATGCTTTAAAGGTACTGGTGTAATTTTATTTTCCTTCTCGTATTTTTTAAGCGCTTCTGGCAGTGTCAGACCATACCATTTAATATCTTCTTCTGTGTACTAAACAAAATATAGTTTTTAAAAACTAAAAAAAAACTACTGAACTGGTTTTCAGTAACTATAAATCACATTACATCATTTAAGTAGTGTTTATATTTGTTATACACTTCTTTTCTTTTCTCTTCATCATCTGGGTAAAGCTCGTTGTAGTAAAGTACATGAAGAATCTTTCTTTTCAGTTTCAAAGCGAGGCTGGACTGTAAGTCACAAGCAGGTGTCTGAATATTAAAAATAAAAAATTAATACAAACAAATAGGGAAAAATATTTATTTTATTTATTTATTTTTTTGAGAGAAAACCTTTAGAATATAATGATCGAAGCCGAAGTTTTCAAAAATCAAGTCAATAGTCCTATTTGTCATTGTCATGTCCATTGTCTTGTTCAGGACCTCAGAATAGACGGCAGATTTTATCAAGATGGGGAACCAGAAGTGAGGAACTTTTTTCTTCAACCTCGTCCGTTTCTGAAAACCTTTTATTACAGCCTCGCCACCCCAAATTCCTTTATGCATTTCTGGAGGGTATAAGAGTGGAATCGGGAAATCGTCGACTCTTTTCCTAGAAAAAAAAAAAAAACAACAACAAAAAAAACAGTAGTAATAATATAATTTCATGTAAGAAGTATAGTTAACCCTTTGGGCATACCCTGTTATCTCTCTGTACAGAAATACTAAAAAAAGGGGCTCATTCCAATGTGATGCCACTACATCCAAAACAACTCTACCAACAACAAGTACAAGGTACTTATACCAGAAAGGGAAGAGTAAGCCAAAAGAATACCTCTGAAAGCCAATTCCTATGGCTATACTGACAGTCCAAAAATGGATATAGGCATACCTCGGCATCGGAGCCGAAGTCCTCAGGGTGAATTTGAACACTGAGCTGACTTTAAACTTAGGAACATATGTTACAGTTTTCCAGTTTGAAATCATAGCAATTGAACACTCAGACAGAGAAATAAAAAACCAGGAAGCCTACCCACATTTTTAACAGTCATTAAGTTTTTAACTTTTACTTGAATGGAAATCGGTATCTCTTTGTTGTGGCTGCAAGTGGAAGGCAAGATGGTTTTTTCAATGTGAATGTTCACTAAGTACATTTTTATAATTCAGTTTTGTCCTACACTTTTTGCACCAGTATTCAATGAGCCCAAGATATTCTTAAATGTTGGAGGTAACTTAGGCTATGGTTACTTTGGATGCGAATTTTGTTCTGACGAATACGTCCGAAATTTTCTTCAGAACAAGGTGGTTACAGTGTACACGTTTTCTGATAGTCAGTACGTTTCTACCTCCCAGCAAAATGGACGAACTTAATGAGTTTTATTTTCTTGAAAGTCCATTGATTAAGGTATTGATAATAGCTGGAGGAAAAACAGTATTAACCACTAATTTTCCACAAGAGACGAGAAGGGAGAGTTTCAAACTCATTGCTAGTCCCTTAAAAAATGCATATTAATCCATGTACATTTAACGATCATCATTGACCATATTAATTTAAATTTGAAAAATGGCAAAAAGAGGAAAAATTTGAACAGTAATAGGTTAAGATGAATTGGTATCCGAGGGGATCGAAGTCATGATAGCGTCAAGTGTTAGAGGAGCAGTATATTGAGCCTAAGGTTGTGAGTTCGAATCCAGCTCGTTGCATTAATTTTTCGTCTCAACCAAAAACCTTGGATAAAAAGAATTATTCATTAGAATAATTAATATGGTTAATTATGATCACTAATCAATTGTGGCTTATTGGTAGTGTTGATTTCTTGAGAAACTTTCTCCCCATCTCTGTTGTGATATTTTTTGTTGTTCATGTCCCACAAACACCGATTCTCAAATAAGACTAATCAGTTTATCTATATCCACAGTAAAATACCAAAACTGTCAAATTGATCGTCAGAACGCACGAAAAAATCAAACTGGTTTGAATGCTCGAATGGTTCTGATGACATCCTGCATGTTCTGACATGCAATTTGCTGCATTGATTCGAAATCATCAGAACTCGTCAGAACAAAATTTCGTCAGAATTCGCATCCATAGTAACTGTAGCCTTAGATAGGATTTGAGGTACAGGAGAAAAATGCAGTATTATCAGTGGTATAGGTAGGTCAGTACTAAAAATGATACAAAGGATGGATCCAAGCTCCTTTGTGGGACGCTAGCTTGTATCTGTCTGACTTGTGAGAATTATTTGCTGCACCTCACACTGAAGCAGCTGTCGGTTAGATAGGATTTCGGGTTAATGTAATAAGGAGGGGGTGGGAAGTGTTTAAGTAAAAATTAAATAGTGCGTTATTCAATGTCTAAGTATACTACTGTTTAAAAAACTCGTGAATTACATTTCTCCGTATTTATTCCTGACCCAAGTAAGGTCCGTTTTGTGTCTGTAGTGGACAGGTGACGGCTCCATCTTTTTCCATTCTGTGTAGAACTTCTTGTACGACTCCGGGAGGTGGGAACCCTCTTCGACCAGGGCGTCGTACTTGAATTTCGAGAACACCCTCCCAGCCTGAAACAGATCAGGTTTTTTAACTTCGGCCAAGCCGATTTTGTATGTTTTTATTTATTTATTTTACCTGCACGGCTCTCGAGGCAGACATAGTGCACACTTTAAGGGCTTTCGAAGGGGGAAATATCACATAATGTTAATAATAAACAGATAAAACCTGAGTATTGCGGCGAGATTTTCACCGGTTACAGATAACAACGCACGTGTCGCATTTGGTTCTGTGAGAAATCGTTAACTTACCGAGTGACTTCACAGTCAGTAATGGAGTACTTATTTATTTAAAGGTACAAATGGGGATTTAAGCCCCTTACATACCTTAGAAATAAATTTAGTTTTATAAACACAATAAATTAATAATTGAAATAATTATAGTGAAATATACAAAACAATAATGACATATTTTTTTTTTAAATATTAGAAGTAGAAGAAATATTTTAGTTATACTTATATTCTAATAACAAACCACTCAAATTTGTTGTGAACTAATAAAAGCTTAAAGATAAAGTTAAAAATTAAAAAAAAAGTTAAAACAATTTAAATTAAAAATATGTATCAGTTTTGTCAAAGAAAAAATGAAAGTTCCTTGTAGACAAAAGTATTTTATAACATGGAAAGACCTATCAGAAGTCTGTTTCTTGTTTAATTCTTATTTTATTATTTATCTATTATTGATATGTAGTTTCTTAATTAATCAGCTTTTATCAGTTAAATTCACTTAAATCATGTCGGTATTGCCATGTCTGATAGGAAAGTTTTATATTATTTTTACAATTCTGTATATTTTAATCTAAGGTGTTACTTTAGTTGTACTTTTGATCTGAAGTCTTAATTAGTCCTAATAAAGCAAGAGTCATGAGCGGGATTCGAACCCTTGACCTTCAGCTCAATACGCCGCTAGCTAGCTTAAGTTAGAGTTAGAGTTAGAGTAAAGCGATGGATCTTTCCATGTTGCAAAATCCTTTGTTTCCAAGCAACTTTCCTTTTTTCTTTGCTAAAACTGTCTTATCTTTTTAATTTAAATTGTTTTAACTTAACAATTTTAGTTGTTTATTATTAGAATATATAAATAAAACATTTATTTTTAATATTTTGAAGAATTTCTGTGAAAAAACAAGTGCCATGAGCGGGATTTGAACCCATAACCTTCGGCTCAATACGCCATTAGCTAGGGACAAAAACTTTACATGTGGTCCTAGTAAAAGGGGCTGGATAACTCCTATTAGGACCACATGTCCGGACCAATTGTAAAGTTTTTTAGTTTTTCAAAGCCCTGAGGAAGGCGTCAAAAACTAGAAAAAAAGTAGAAAAGTAGAAAAAAACATGTTGGTTCTTTCACCTGCATGGCTTCATCTCATACATTAGACAGGGCTTGCATTAATTAAAAAGTTCAATGCGTTATGTACAGTTTGGTCACCTAAGCATATAACATTTCTACTTTCATACAAAAGGACCAGACAAATTTTTGACGGAGGGATTTTCTTTTGGGACGTTAAATATGACAAATGACTCTCACTGGGAACTTGCTTAAGTCAGCACCAGCAACGTGATCAGATACCACTGGGTATATGTAGCTATAGACATTATAAATACAAAATAAAATTTATCGGATGATCCGATTATCGGAAAAAAGCGACCAGTGTATCGTTGGTATCGAATCGTTTTTACCGGTGAAGGTGGTACGCTCACACGATCAATTTGGCAAAGATGTCTTCCAGGTTCCAGGTCCCAATCGTGTTTGTCTAGTTGGATTTTCAATTGTTCAATAGAATAAGAAGAATAAAAAATTAAAATAAAATAATTAAATTGTAAAATGAACGGCTGAATATAATAAAAAAGTGACCTGGCTTAGAGGAAAACAGGACAAAAATGTATAATGTAGTTCAGCAATTAGGACTAATGCAAACTTCATTATTTTTTAATAATTGCTTAATTAACAAATAAGTTTGTTTTTGAAAACGCTGACGTAGGCTGTATGTTATATGTACTAGAGGCATACTAAAAATATAATGTACTAATATAATCGTCAATTTGTCTGTATAATATGATATAATTTTCTTCTTCGTAGAAAAAAAAATGAAAATTCCTTTTCGTCGATGAAATCACAGATTTTGGGAATATTTTTCTGGCGTACGAATCTGCTGTCACCGTTTCCAAGCGGGCGCGTCTTGCAACCGGTTGCCATCTTTAAGTTCTCTCGTCGCCGTACAGCGTTGAGCGTCCATTTCTCTCTGCTTTCTACGTTGTCAAACAACTACCCAATAATATCAACAACAACTATTTGAACTTTCGTTATATTTGATAGTTCGACGATAATTTTGCTTATTTCGGTGTGAATATATACCATAAATTCATATATATAAATAAAAATGGGAAGGAAGAGTGAGGTAATTTGTTTTGTTATTTTGTTATTATGTTTGCTCTGACTTTGTTTACCATATTTAATCTAATAATTTTCGTTTCATTTCTAACCTTCGTTTCATTTGACCACCATCAAAATAAAAATGAAAAAATACCGATGTATTTAAATACATTAAACAAAAAGTACCACTCAGGTTTTATACGAGAAAAGCTCATTTTTCTAGGCAAAGCTTCACTGTTTTAGAAAGGAATATTTATTTATTCAATAATGAATTTTTAATTATTTTACCCCCTTCCAAATAGTTTTTAAATTATTGAACCAAAACAAAAGTCGATGAAATTCTTTTTAGCAGATAAATATTAATATTAAAAAGTTGGTGCACAAGATTGGGATTGAATGTTGCTGACTTAAGCAAGTTTCCAGTGAGAGTCATTTGTCATATTTAACGTCCCAAAAGAAAATCCCTTCGTCAAAAATTTGTCTGGTCCTTTTGTATGAAAGTAGAAATGTTATATGCTTAGGTGACCAAACTGTACATAACGCATTGAACTTTTTAATTAATGCAAGCCCAGGTCATCTGCCATGCCTGATTCAATTATCAGGCAAATCTAAAAGCTTAGAAATGTAACTTGTTTATGTGACTGTACCGACAGTATTTCAGATTTAACTTATGTAGTAGTAATGTGTAGAGATTAGTGACCGTTAATCGATAGTTATTCAGATACCTGAAACCTACATCACACCCGACCGCATCTCACGATATCTGAATAATTATGTAGTAGGAAACAATCTAAGGGCATCTGACTCTCCAACTCTCAGTAACAATTGTCAAATCAGTGGTTTGAAATATTGTGATCACAAACATACTCCCACTTCACATTCCTATATACATCTGGCATCCAAGTGTAACAATCATTTTAGAAATCACATTGTATTAAATAGTTGTTCTTTTCAGAAATTTGAAATGGTATATGTTTATATGAATTATATGGGATAACGCATCTGACTAAGAAGCAATCTGCAAATTTTTTCAATCAGACCCAATAGGGAATATGGGGCAGAAAGCTGGGATCTGATTGTCATGATTGAGAACTTGTGAAAACAAAAATAAATTGGTTGGGCTGGGTTTGAAACTAATCACCTCATGTATGCAGTGGATACAGTATTTATAAAGGATTTTCTGTCTACCCACACTTACCTACAGTGAATTTACATACTGTTGTGTGTTTACATCACATTATTTTACTGTTGGAGGGAAAGATTAATACAAAAAAAAAAAAAACAGCCATCGTGGCCAAATTATGGTAGGGAGTTCTTTACTCTCCTGTCATCTTAACTATAATAACTTATTTGGCAGTAGATTGTACTGGTATTAGCCTCGCATTTCTTAAAAAATTTAATCGTTACACCTGTTTGTCACAATGGGCAATTCCGATATGCTTGTTTATCAGGGGGAGTCTGTCACAAGCCTAAGAAACGTATACTGCACAGTCTGCAGTCTGGTGATATTAGGCCTGCATGTGTGACTCAAGGAAGCTCGCATACAGGAGCATTGACCTGACAACCCTGTAAGCAGTAGTTTATTGACCAGTGATCGATTGAATTGTGACAATGGAGGGAAAACTACTCGAATATCCACTTTGCCTGTATTAACTTTTCTAAATGGGGAATAAAATAGAATTTTCAGTCCTTTTATCACCCCAAGATTAGTGACAGACTTGGAACATCACACGTTTTCAATTTGGACTTTCTTGTACGACAAAGGTCTATACTCGCTGAAAACTATTTCTTGTTTTATTATGGTTAATTTTAATTTTCTGAAGGTTGCAGAAACTTTCTTTGCTGCCCATTGCGTTTTTAACCGGTTCGATATTGTATATTTCAATACAGGAACCCTTCCAACACTTCAATAATAACAAATGCATTAGTTTCTAGAAGATTCTTTATGATTACGAGGAGCAAAAATTGTTAAACATGATAACTGGAATACCGGTGAACGAAATCAAGCAAGCTTAGTCAAAATGACTTGTGATATTAAAATAAAACGCATGGTTTCTAATCAAATTGTTTTTAAACGTATATGTTCTAAAAAAAATTGTACTTTTTTTTTATTACAAAATATGGAGCCATTTGATCAGTACCTAAAATTTTTTAAAATGAAATAACTAATCTACAAGGTAGATCTAAATAAATAATCTCCAGCAGGTAGATCCCACCACTGAAGATAGCGAGAAGACAAAATGTGTCTGACAGACCAAAGAAGGGTGGATGGGCAGATCAAAATGATTAAAAATGACCACACTAAAGGTTTATAACACCTTCGACCCCATTGAGAAATTTCACAGTATTAAAATATCACTGATATAAAATCAACCAGAGCTTTATTGATAGTTGAGCAGATTTAAATGCAAATTTAGCAATATTTCATTCAATGCTCTGTTTAGGAGGTTGATGATATAAGGCCGATGGTTGGATTGGATGATATCATCAACCTCCTAAACAGAGTATTAAAGCTGAGGACCACAACATCCCACCGTTATATCGTATTAGCAATATTTTTTATCATTTGATTGATATTGATCTTCAAGCCTTTCCTTCATAGCAAATTTAAATAGAACTAGGAAAAATAGATGACAATGTCCAAAACATTTTTTAGCAATGTTGTTTTATTTCAATATTTTTGGACAAGTATTTGTTATTCAGTAATAAATTAATCCCAATTTATCGAAGAGGTTAAACAGTAAGGTATTAAATCCAAAAGAAATTTATAAACTAAAATTACAAACAGAACCAAGCAATGAGGGTTTATGTAGGAAATGATAGTTCTGAAACAAATAGGGTAAGTCATGACTCGTTTCACTGGTTAGCCTATTTCTTTCTTTCTTTTTCTTTTGATTTTGTCTCATTTTATGAGATAATTAAATTTAATTGAATATCTCTGTGTAATGTACGCTTTTAAAATGTAAATTATATTTTGATTCCAGTTGAAAAACTGATGCCCTGTTTTTGGCATTGCTTCTTGTTTTTATTTACACTTATTTAGTTATATTTATTAAAAGAATTTACCCTATGCTAGAGGGTGAATTGAGTTAGGAAGACCTATTCATTTCCCACTTAGAATTCTTGGCATAAAATCCTAAATGTTTTGTGTAAAATGGGTTCATGTGTTCCGATATACATATGAAGAGTAGGATTTTTTTATAAGCATTGTTTGATGTTTGAAGAATGTGTAGATAATTAAATGTGACTTAAAAAAAAGAAGATAAAGTACCCCTAAATAGGTATAAATTTGATTTTGCAGAAAACGACAAGAAAACCGATTGAGCCTGAAATGTCTGAGGATGTAAGTAAAACATTGCATTTATTTTTCTCTGCAATCAAAATGGGATATTTTTATAGTAAATTTTTACAGGATTCACAAGAAGAAGTCAAGATGCCAAAAACAACCAGAAGGACTTCCAAGAAGCTGTCCGAACCTGAGGAAGTACTTGTAAACAAAACCATACAAAACAAGTTATAATATTATGGCTTAACAAAAGTCTGCCTTGACAATTCTATGTCAGTGTAGCTGGCAATTGGTAATTACAATTTTGGTTATTTTAACACCAAGAGTAAAATTTTCAATGCTCATCGTAAACAAATTGTACACCACGAGTATATTTTTTTACCTCAGTAAAGTTCAATTCATGGTTTGGAGGCAACAACAAAGTTGATATGACTTGAAACATATAATGACAAAATATTTAAAAAGTAGAGCAAGGAAGAAAATCTCAGACTTTTGTTAAACCTTAGTTATAAGGTATATAAGGTATATAGTTATAAAAACTTAATAAATAACGGTTTTGATATTTTTTTAAATTTTTTATACAATGAATATGGTTTTATTGTTTAAACACACTAGTTATAATTTAATACTCACAAAAGAGTCAGTGAACACACCCTACATTAGAGGGTGAATTGAGTTAGGAAGACCTCTTCACTTCCTACCTAGAATTCTTGGCATAAAATCCTAAATATTTTGTGTAAAATGGGTTCATGTGTCACAAAACAAAACTGTGCTGATTACAACTCTGGTGTTATAAGAACCTGATGTTTTATTCACTTTTATTTATTTGCAATCAGATACTTGCTTGGCTTCTGATGACGATAAAGCATCTCTTTTTCAATCCTACTTTTCCGACATCTTTACAACCTCACCCAGACATAAGCAATCCTAGACCCAATGAGCACATTCAACAGGACCTAAACTGCACTATACTACTTTCTCCTTCAGAGGTCAAATTCATCAACAGTCACCTACTTTAAAAAAATCCCCTGGTCCTTATCACAAACATCTTTCTAAATCTGCCAAAAATGCTATAATTTTCCTTATCACCATTTACAATTCAATCTGTAATAACATATTTCTCAATCCAATGGAAATCAAACGTCTCAGCATCTCACTGTCATATTGTCTCATCAACTTGCTGCCTATTTAGCAAATTTCATGAAAAATGCTTCGTGAAACACCTATATTGTCCTTTTTTCCCCACTGTTGTTTCATCCCATCTGGAAACTCAATCCTTACATTTACAACCTTATCCAAAAATCCTATCTGTCTGAAAAGTACTTTCAAGTAAGAATAGGAAAATCCTTCTCTCCTAATCCATTATGCAAGAGTGGGTGTTCTGCAAGGCAGCATCCTTGGTCCTGCTCTCTTTCAGTATACACTAAAGATAATACCGTCATCCTTTCAGCAAACCCAGACCCAGTAGTGGCCTTAAAAAACGTACAGGTCCGTCTCTCCTGTTGGAACGATTGTTTCAATAAAGGAAGGATCAGACACAACAAAACAAAATTCCATCGACCACTCCTCCAATCTACTACAACTTGGTTACCTTCAACCAGTAACCGATATGATCTGCTATTTGGGACTTTATATCGACAAAAGTCTACTTCTTAAGACCCTCCTGGGGGGGGGGGATAAACTACACAAAAGACTACTTGACAACAGTTGGAAACTCTCATTACCGTGTTTTAATTTCCACAGAATTAAANAAAAATAATATTAAGTAAATAATGAAATTCTATGGTGCACTTTTATTGATATATATACTTAATATTATTTTTTTTAAATTGTAACAAAAGTTACTAAGAGGTAGTAAAATCCATAATTTATTGTTTACAAAAAAATCACAATCCATAATTCACTTTGCATTTGTATTGTGTATGTTTAGCCTAAAGTGGCCACATCAGGGAAAAGAAGAGGTCGACAATCTCAAAATGATGATGATCTTGAAGTAAGCTCCCTTCAAGATTAAATATCATAATGTTTCATTTATACTGATATAATAAAACAGTCGATTGACAATTATAGGTAGAATCTTCTAAGAAATCGACTTCATTTAAAAAGTCTAAAACAACATCTGAAGCAACCGATGGAGAAGAAGACAAGGTAGGCCATTTTTAACAATATCACACCCACCAGTTGTTCATAGTAAAAAATTATCTTTAACATTATTTCTCAGGACAGTGCCAGTGATGAAGAAAGTGAAAATGACGGAGATAATGAAGTAAGTCAAAGTGAATCAGTTTATATTTAGTGTCAATAATAAGTATTAATTAGTTAATTATTTTCATTTGAGCTGCTTATTTTCCATGGTCTCATGATGAGTGTCAGTTCAATATTTTGATATTATTTGAAGGGAAAAAATGGACGGCCTGTGAAATTGGTTTGCAAATTTGAAAAGGAACAGGACTCAAGAGTAGAAAAGAGTGGCAGCTTTTATCAGTAAAAGGTTGAACCTAATCTTTGTCAACTATGATTTGTCGCTTACACAGGGTATAGAATTGAAAATGAAAAAAGTTTCATAAAAGTCCCCAATTTGCAAGTGGCTTTGTTGAATACGAAGTACGTTCATCAGCTAAATCATCCCCTGCAGTCCTGAGCGTGACCCTTCAGACTATCTCTTTTATTGAGTAATGGCCGACTTTCATAATGTAAAACATTGAGAAAACTTTTTTTTGCAAAATAAATTCATGGAGAGGTACTTTCAGGGATTGAGCAGCTTGTCTCTCAAATATTGTAATTTAATTATTTAATCCTTACTCATTCTGTTATAACTGAAACACCTTGTTAGATTATTGGATAAAAAAAATGCTCTAGTGTAGTAAAGTTTATATTTTTCTTGTTTGAAGGATGAGAACATGGCTAACGGTGAAGACATGGATTCAAAGGATTTAAAAGATGCTGCCAAAGAAAACTATGAGGTATGCCACAATGTAGTTTAAAAGAACCAACTGTCTTAACTTTTTCTCCTGGACAGGTCGAAAAATTAGTCAGCAGCAGGGTAAAAAATGGAAAAACTCAGTACAAAGTCCATTGGAAGGGATACAATTCAAGTCAAGACACTTGGGAAAATGAATCCAACCTCAGTTGCGATGAACTCATTGAACAATATTTGAATACACAGAAAAAGAAAAAGGTGCCTGGCTCCATGCAACAAAATGGGGAATGGGAGGTAAAAAGGATTTTTTAAATAAATTTTATAATTCTTTGATATTTTAACCCTTTCAGGACGGTCACTGCTCTTTGATCCCAATGTGAATACTAAGAGCATGAAAGCACAGAACTCTCTTCACTTTTAGATTAAAGATCATAGAAGCTGTGTGCTGTTTTAAGTTATTATTTTTAGCGTTAATGAGAGTGGAAAGTTTAACAAACACCACTGTTTACTGTTTTAAACAACACACTATTTCTTTGAACTTCAGTCTAAAAGTGAAGAGCTAGAGCGCAATATCACGCTCTCAGTACCTCACTAGGGGTAGCAAGAGATACTTGTCACACATTAAAAACAGATATTTACCCCAACCCTTGTTTAATCCAGTAATTATTTTATTTTCAAGGTTCTGAAAATAGTTGACATGCATATATTCAAAACTGGCAAAAGGGAGTTTCTGGTCCGTTGGAAGGGTTTTGGTCCCAAGGACGACACATGGGAACCTGAAGACAACCTTAAGCACACAAATCTTCTCAACAGATACTTGGCCAAGTTGGAAGAAGTAAGTGTCAAAGACATATTTAATTATTTAACATTTTCAAAATGTTAAACGTTCTGTTCTTTTTTTTAAAAGGTCAAATCAATTCCCTTGAAGGATCTTCGAATCAAAAGGCAACAAACCGACAGGCTTACATACATGCCACAAGGGGTCCAGAGGAGGGAAAGCAAGCGTTACAGGAATAAACAAAGGTTATTTTTGTTTTACTGTTGCAAATTTGATAAATATTTATCCGAAACTTAAAACATTTGATGACATTTTACAACTTAAACTAAAATTTTAACCCAATTTATTAGTATTAAATTCTGATAAATTTTATGTTTTCAGAATCCGTTATTATGATGACTGAACGCCCAGGGTTCTCTGCTGTAATTTATTTATATTTTGTGTGCAATTTACAGTCTACCATGAGTTTGTAATAATTGCATAAATTTTACAACAAATTACACAAAACCTTACATTTTGTAAAAATGATAACATAATTAGGAATTCATATTATTTTGTATACATTTTTTTTTCTTTGTTTGACATAATGTATTTTATAAGTAAAAATTTATTTACTCTGTTTCCCAGCCTACATCCGTTGAACCTTTGTCATTAATCTAATTGTCTGAATTCCAAGTTGAAACACATACAGTTGAACTTCCCCAAACAGACTTCTAATATCCGTGCAATTTTATTTTGTCCGGTATTATTACATTTACTTTACTGAAAAAAGGACTTGTAATAAGTTTTCAATGAAAAAGTCTCTTATAAGCAGACAGCAGATGACTTGTTACTTGCAAAAAGTAATTTTTGGGAATTTTCAACCCTCTCGAACTGGGGTTTGTTTCTCCAGTCAGTACTCAGATTGTGATTTGGAGTTCGAGCATGTGAACAAAATTCAAACTGTCAGGGAAAAGGTCTAATTGTAAGTCCACGAGAATTCATTCGAATTAAATTAATTTTTATCTTATGTACCTAACAATTTTTCAGTATGTGTAAGAGCTTAAGAACACAATCACATTGCAAATTGTTGTTCACTTATAGGAAGTTTGACTCTGTATGTTTATATTAAGAAGTATGGTGTAGATAGAACATTGTAGCACACTTGATATATCAGCAGAATGGTTTCATTCCCATTTGAACTGTTGAGGATTTGTGAGATTTCTCCATGTTACAATTTCTGCCAGAAGTGATGAACCTGTAATTTTGTCATTACCGATCATTTTGGTGTAGACAGACCAAATATTCAGGAGAGATAAATAAGAAACGTCACAAATCCACAATGCACACAAAAGAAGAAAATTAGAAAGAAAACAGAAATTGTTAAAACAACAATGCTACTCATACAAAATCAAGATGACTAACACTGCAACAAATAACCTTTAAAGAAAAACAATAATGGCAAAAAAAAATTCCAATATAAAAACCAACAACAAAACCACCAGATAATGGACAGTAACACAAACACTGAAAATCAATGATATTAAAGTTAAAGTATAACAGATGACCAAACAAAGGTGACTAACACTGCAACTATAACAAAAGAATCTAAAAAAAATGTGAATAAAATTCCAAGAATACAAACCAGCAATACCACCAGATAATGGACAAACAGTGAAAATCAGTGATGTTAAAGAAATATGATTGGAGTCAACCAAACATGGTGAAACACTCATCCAGCTAAATATAATTATGTTTATTTTTTTATTTATTTATTTTTTTAACAAAAACATTCTAAAATTTCTGTAATATTTCATTACCCATATAGGCATCATTTAGTAAATACAACTGAAACAGTGTAAGACATGTCTGTGGTTCCTTTACAAAAATGATAAGGACCAAAAATGGACTTTGTTAATTATTTTACAAACAAATAGTTTGATTTATAAAAACAATCTTATTAAAAAAAAAAAAAAAAAAAATGAAAGGCAACTTTAAAATTGTAAAGAAATGTAACTTTAATAATAATAAATGAATGAAAGAGATTTGGGCAATTTTGTGAAAATTCAATGCATCCTTCAAATATTTATATCTATTATCTGTGTATAAGGATTCTCTTTTTATATAAAGTATTCAAACTGCTCTCAACTCTGTAAAAACTGATGTAACATAATTGTAACAGAGTCAGGTAAAATAGTAGCTTTTTTGTTGAAACAATGTAAAATTCATATCAAATGATTCCACATAAAACCAAAATTATTAAGATTCTAAGTGATAAAAGATTTTAAACTTTTACAAATAAGATTTTCTTTTCATTGTACTTTCATTCTTCTGCTGCCATTTCTTTGAGTTTTGCTTCTTTCCTTGCTTTATTCTGAAATAATAACAATCGAGTCAAACATAATGAAGGGGATTTGCAAAACAGCGAATTGTTAAATTTAAATTATGCTTACTTCTTTTTCTTTAATTAGGAACTTTTCATGTACAGGTGTATTAAGCATACTTTCTTCTGGCTCCCAACTGTCTTCACTTTCTGGTAAGTTTTTCCAACGGACCAACAATTCTCTCTTTCCACTTTTTAATGTATGAAGACCAACTATCTTTTCAGGCTAGAAATAAACAGTTTTGATTATATTGACTCAATCAAATTATTATGTATCCTATTGACTTGACAGAAATACTATTTTGAAATAATACCTCTCGCTCTTCAACAGGAAGAGACGATTTCTTCTTAGCCACTTCTGAGTCCCTGTCTGCACCTTTCTTTTTAGGGCCAGGCTTCCCTTTGGGTTTTTTCCCTGGCTTTGCACTACCCTTTTTGGCGTTATACTCTTCGATGATATCTGGGCAGTCAAGGTTGGATTCGTTCTCCCATGTATCTTGATCTGAATCGTACCCCCTCCAACGAACTTTATACTGCACTTTTCCCTCTTCTGTCATCCTGTCAGATACAAGGCATTCAACCTATAATAAAGGAAGGAAAATATAAAAAAACTCAATATTCAAATGAAATACAATAAAGCATCATACTTCAAATTCCTCATCAGGATCTTCCTCTTCGGCAGATTCTTCAGGCTCTAATTTAGGCTTTTTGGCAGGCGTTTCTTCACCTTCTGACTCGTTATTGTCTTCTTCTGATTCGACATCACCGTTTTTAGTCTCTAAATATTGCTGCATCTCCTCTTCACAATCTAATTTGTCCTCATCCACCCATGTGGGTTCGACTTTCCCAGCATATTTAACTTTATATTGCACTGTTCCATTTTCAGTTCGTTCATCCAAGATCTTTTCAACACTCTTTAATAAAAGAAGGTAAAAATTAAAAAAAGTACTGTGAATTCAATCAAATAATTCATAATGTCCACTACGTTAGAATTCTTGTAAAAATTATTTTTTAACAAAACCAATTTTTTTTTGGAGAATGTATCCTCAAATGATTATGAGATCTTATACTAGCGTCATGTCATCTATTTGTATATGAACCACTAGCGTAGCATATACGAGCCTTACGACATCTTAACCACATGGCCTCAAAAAGAAACAGGTCTGCAGTAATTTGGTCTGCTGATCATTTTGACAAATAACTCAATATTTTTCTCAAGTGACAGACAGGCATCAACCAAGAACAAAGCAGTGAAAATCTAGTGCTGGGATAGGGCAGAATATGCTCTTGTGTGTATGGATCTTTACTGGTGAGTCCCGATACTGTAGAAGTTTCCTTTGGGGCTAAACAAACAGTGGCTGATGTATCGGTCGTTTTGGTAGAGTGTAATTTAACAAAAATGTAATTAAGTGTGTAATTGTAAATATGTAGAATTAAGTTAGATGTAACTGTTAAAAGTGTGTGTAAAGTTGAATGTAATTAATTTGGTCAATAATGATTATTAGTCTGCCTATCATCGCTGGGTTAGCCAGTCATATGTGTTTCAACTTTTTGCGGTTTTCAGAGCTGGGTCAGTCCCACAGACCAAAATGATATGAAATGACCAAACTATGGGTTAAATTATCAAATTTATGGTTATTGGAATATGTCATGAAACCTTTTACTTTTTTGTGGAGGTCCTGCAGATGGCGATATGTTTAAACAGGTGATCAAGATGATCAGTAAGGATCAAATTACAGGTTCATTACACTCCAGGATTAAATCTCACGATGTAAATGTAAGTGTAAAAGTGTGTAAAAGTATGTAGAAGTGAGTTAAATACGAGTCATTTGGATGTTACTGATCATTTTGGTCTGCTTATTCTCACTATGTTAGTGATGTGATGGTTTAAACTTTTATACTTACAGGTTTATCACCGTACAGATGACAGGAGGAAATCTCACGATTTAAATGTAATGTTAAACGGTGTGTAAAAGTAAATTTTAAACTGTAAATAGATGTAAGGTAAATTGTCTTGGATTAGATATGAAATAAGTGAAATTGTTCGGTTGACATTTTGATTCCCATGCACAATAGGCTTGAATATTATTTTCTACTAACAATTTTATTACAAAACAAACATTTTAGTTTTGTTGTCCTATTTTTTCTTCCTATGAATAGTTTCATTCTTTCCAGTTTCCCTTCAAAATAGGACTATGGGACCCAACAAAGCACTGTTGTGCCCAAGGACTGTCTTAATGTCGGGAGGCACCCTTTAAGGTATGGTGCAGCACTCCACGACCAAGTGTAACACATTGTGCAACATTTCTCGACAAGCAGGACACCTGCACAGTGTTTCCCCTAAAAGCTGGTGTCTGTGTGTCAATCGAGTATGACCTATCCTCAATCCCTTCCTTGTGTTTTAGATCCTCAACGGGCCATCTCTCACTTGTGCTATTGACAAGCAAGTGCTTCTCGGGCGATCTGTACCATCGCTGCCAGCGTTCTTTACTGCTCATACAGCATCACAGGACCGGACCATGTTGGTTCTATCTGGAGGGCAAGATGTCCCAGCTTTCGCAGCTTCGTTTGCACGTTTGTTGCCCTCCAGCCCGTGTCTGGGTACCCAGACGAACACCACCGTTTTTCCAAGATGCACCAACTCAGCATATTGCTCTAATAAGAGAACGATAAGAAGGTCCACCGGAAATATGACGAATAGCCAAAACCACGCTCAAGGAATCTGTACAGACAAGATAGCCAGAGCTCTCGTCTCAAATCACCCCAAGCGCAAGCCAAATTGCATACAGCTCTGTCAAGTATCCACTGTACTGTTTAATTAATTTATTTATGTGATGTGTTCTTAAGTATTTATTACATAGTGTTATATGAGTGTACTATTGCTGTATGCTTAAAGCAAAGCAATAAAATAATAAAGGAAAAAAATTTGTAAGGGTAAGTTTTGAAGTTTAGGTGAATGCTAATTTTGTTGTCTTTGAACGTTATAAGATTGTGTTAACAAATAAGCCTTTCATGTTTAATTTTAATCATGGGGAATTGGATCGTTAACCTCCTTAGTTAACTATGTTGTACTATTTTCCCCAAGTTTAATAAATAATAATAATGATAATAATAAATTGCCAAGAAGCGGCGTCCGTTAAGCGAACGGCGTCGAAGGCGCTAAGCCTCCTCAAAGGACCCACCTCGGTCGATTTCTTCTTCACCATGGCTGGCGTTCCGGTTTGACTCACAAACGGCCGAAAAATAACTCGACGGGCGGCCTGGATCGCTCGAGCTGCAGGGTTTGAAGATGTAACTGATCGATCTCACGCTGATAACTGATGAGTGATGATACTGCCGACTGCGATGAGATCCGACTTCCGAGACGAAGTGGCAAGTGCGGACCAAAATGGCCAAGTTGTCTCCATACGACACCAGGGCCCGGCGGCCAATTCAAAACCGCCGGTCAGAACACAAAACTCATTTTTGTAGAAATTACGATTAAAAAAATAAATAAAAAATAAACAAACGGACAGTCTCTTTTCGATTGATTCACTGAGTTTCAAATGTTGACCTGGAACAGTCTGAAATTTGAAAGACAATGCGAAATTTAACTTCCATAGACTAGGGTTAACAACTAATAATAATCAAATGTACAATCTTAATTTAAAAAAAAAGAAAAAATTTTATTACATCTCATATCATACCAGCATATAAAAGAAAAAAAAACTCCTTGCATAAAGATACACCTAAATAACCAATAAAATGCATATTTAATCAATATACATGTGCACAGTTTATTTTAAAAAATTGAAAACTGTATTTTATTAAGTAGGCAATACTGAGGCCTGATGCAGGTATCATTAACATACACTAACCGAAATTAGCACCTATTTATTTATTTATTCACATATAAAGGCCTAATTTAGTACTTAAAAGTTACGGCTTTCTGATCTTCAATTTGGTTTACATTAAAATAAATATGTTGTAATTAATATAACAACAAAAAATATATAGTTTGAAATAAATAAAAAATGGCCAGTGTCCGTTTTTTTGTCTTCGAGCAAATATGAATATTATTTACAATATTATAAAACTTTAAATGTTTTAATCATGTAAATTAAATTTATTTTTTAACTCTTTTTTTTTTTTTAATATTTTCCGTCAATTAATTCTATTAATGAAAGAGTGGAACTGGTAGTTAGTGGAGCAGTGGGGGACTCGAGTAATAATAAACAATGAGTTTTGAATTTAGGGACATTGGACCTTATATAGGAAAGTAGTTCAGGACTTAAGATCAAGTTATTTAAAAATTTGTAGAGAAAAACAGTCAAACCTAGATCTTTAAGCCTCTAGAGCATCTATGTTCAGAATAGACTTTAGATTGACATAGTTGCAATCAAAATTGTTGCTCAAAAACCTAACGAGTACCTAAGAAAGCAGTGTTGAATCATTTTGATACTTGAGAGGGGAAGTGAGGAGACCAGACAAAGAAAATTCAAGTATTGGTCAAACNCTATTTATTTATTTATTCACATATAAAGGCCTAATTTAGTACTTAAAAGTTACGGCTTTCTGATCTTCAATTTGGTTTACATTAAAATAAATATGTTAATGAAAAAAAAAAAAAATCTAACACCCAAAACAACTGAAAAGTTGGAAAAATAATAAAATAATTAAGGGAAAAATTAAAAAAGCCAATCAAAAGCAAAACATGAACATGTAACAATTATTTTATATTAATATGTAGCATTTAAGTTTAAAGCTATTTATCAGCATTCTCTTCTTTTTGATTAACATTCCTGGTGCCAAAGATGGCAGTTCCCACTCGTACACTTGTACTTCCTAGCTCAATCTACAGACAAATTGAAAAAAAAAAATTATATATCATTTTTTTATTACATAAGTAAAAAGAAGATACTTACAGCATGTTCAAAGTCATGTGACATGCCCATTGATAGTTCAATATTTTCAACGCTTAGGTTTAATTTTTCTGCGACTTCTTCTCTACATTTTTTAAGACACTAAATAAACAAAAATGTTAAAATATGTATGGGAATTATTTGGATGGTTTGAGCCATACCAGGAAATCTTTATTCGGCCCTTTAAGGGACTCTTCAATATATTGTCCAATTGTCATAAGTCCGATGAATTTCAATGATGGGCATTTCTCCAAGACATGCTTAACTAAATCAACACTCTCTACAGGTGTACAGCCATTTTTGCCTGTTGTGTGAAGGTACAAATTAATATTTTGTCATTTCAATATTTATCGATACCCACTTTCTTCTCCACTCGTATTAACTTGAACCATTACATTTAAGAGTTCTTTTTTGTCTGATTTGGACCACGCCTTGTCAAGCACTGTTGCAAGCTTTTCAGAATCCACAGTCTCCACTGCATACAAACCCGGTACACCGATGAGCTTGTTGACTTTGTTTTTTTGAAGATTGCCAATAAAGTGCCATCTGATGTCTTTACACCTTTCCAAGATCTAAAATGCATTATCCAAACTTAATTTAAAAGCAACTGACTTCTTTTTTTTTAAATAAATGGGAAGGGGTGTTGTTTGAACCTGTGATTCGTTGCTCTTGTCAAACAATTCTTGTATGTAGTTTTCGCCAAAATTTCTTTGACCGTGTTCATAAGCCTCAATTACAAGTTCTTTTGGCTTAGTTTTGCTCACAGCCACTAGCCGGGGTTTAAAAGTCTTGAACAAACACAAATCAGTTGAATAAAAAAAAGTTAATTTAAAAATTATAAAATGTACTTCAGCAGTTTTCAGCAGTCTTTTCACAGCCAGCTTTCCCAATTTATACAGCGTTAACCAATCGCATAAGAAAAATTGTATTTTTATTTAAATTAACTTATGTATACTTGATAAATATGACTTTATAATTGTACAATTACATGATATATCCATAAAATATATATAAATAAATCCTATTATATCTATACATGTCAAGCCTTTTACAATTGAAAAGGTGCTTGACTTTTATTGTATCTTTGCATAACCCGGCATATGCACAGTTGCTTTCCAGCCAGAATGTGCCTGTGTGTTAATCTTATATGACCTATGCGCAGTCTTGTCAGAATGGCCTTTTTCCCTTTGTGAACCGTTTTCCATGGACCAGGGAAATCTTTCTTAACCAGATACAGTTTGGCAGGAATCAATATGTAAACATTTAAAATGGAACAAACAGTTGAAAATACAATACTAGGCCGGTTTTTAAAAAGTTAGATTTTGTGAATATGGCACAAATTTTGAAAAAAAAAGACAAGTTTACCAGTCCAGTTTTCAAACAGGCTGCATCTATCCTCGAGTAAATATCAGTCAGCCCTTTGACAACTGTGCTCTCGGCCATCATAGAGCGCCACAGTTTAGAAAATTAACGTGCTGTTGAGGTAAAATCACTATTCCTTGTGAAATAATTACAATCCTCTTAGAGAAACGTACTTAAAATTCTAGTTTTACGTAACAATCAAAAGAATAGAAAAAGAAACATTCTTATCAAACATGATTATTTGGGGAGGTAGTAAATTGTCTATCCCTTATCAAATAACTGTTAAGATAAGGTATCAAGGTTGAAATCTCTAGATAAATATGAATTTGAAATTTAAATTCTTATGAAAGGATCTGACTAATAATGAATAATTTAAACTGGAAATATATTTGTTTTAGAATGACAGTATATAAGAAAAAAATAATTCGATAATATAATAATGTATTAAATATAATTAAAGTTTGTAAATGAAGTCAATAGTGATTACACTTTTAATAAATACTTACAAACTTCTTACATACTATTATGTTTATTTATTTCCGCCCTGCTATCAATTTTTGTAAGGACAAAGTTCGTGTTCAATTTTATTCAATTGGGGGAGAATTGGCAAAGGGAGTTGGCAAGATTGAATGAAACCGACCAATTTTCTGTCAGTCTTGCACTGTGCTTCGGCTGGATTGTTACTCCGAGGCCTGGTCCGGCGTTGACGAACTTTTTGTTTTTCCTTTCGATTTTCAGTTTTTCCCGTATCCTGGCCACAGAAAAGCTTCAGTTTGGCGAAAGCGGCCCGCAGGCGTATCGTCGATATGCAAGACTGACAGGACTGCTGGCGAAACATATTTTAAAAAGTAAGTTTATATATTTTTTTTAGAAAAATAAAATTTCCAGATGAAATGATGCTGTGCTCTGCAACATTTTATTTATTTAAAAATGGAACAATTACAGGAAGAGATCATTTTATTCAAAATAACCCAATAGCATGTGCAGAGACAGGTTTAAAAATTCATTTCCATCATTAAGCCTTGTCACTTAGATTGGCTCATTATAAATTTATTATTCTTAACAAAATCAGATTATTTGCATATTCTACATTTCAACCCTAACAAGTAAAAAATCGTAAATATTACACTTTAGTCCGCTTAGTTTCGCTTGGTTCATTCATCATATGTCCTCCGTGGAACTGTGGTTCAGTTCTTCAGTTCGTTTTTATCGTTTGAAAGGCAAAAAGCTTGACCAAGCGGACCCAGTTGAAAGCCAGCTGTTCTTTGATTAAACATCACAAACGAAAGTAAAAAGAAATTAATGCCAGATTTTATTGAAAAAATGAACATTTGGTACGTTGTTTCACTGACAACAGCATCTTGTCACCACCGCATCATCTCTACTCCGTGGCTCAGTTCCGTTTTCACGTTGTAAAGGCAAAAAGCTTGACCAAGTGGCCTCATCAGTTGAAAGCCAGATGTTCTTTGATTAAAAACATCACAAATGATAGTAAAAAGAAATTAAGGTCAGTTTTATTAAAAAAAGGAACATTTGGTACGTTGTTTCATTGACAACCGCATCTTGTCATCACGCATCATCTCTACTCCGTGGCTTAGTTCCGTTTTCCCGCTGGAATGGCAAAAAGCTTATTCAAACGGACCAAGGTCAATTGCAAGCAAGTTGTTCTTTGATTTTTCTGTTCTTTAATCGAACAACACAAACACAAGTAAAACGAAATTAAGGTCAGATTTTATTGAAAAAGCGAACATTTGGAACGCTTGTTTCACTAACAACCGCATCTTGTTACCACAGCATCATTCCTACTCCGTGGCTCAGTTCCGTTTCACGTTGGAAAGGCAAAAAGCTGGACCAATCGGACTCATGTCAAAAATTAAAGTTAGATTTTTTGAAAAAATGATCATTTGTTCCGTTTGGTTTCCTTTGGTTCAGTGACAACCGCGTCTTTTAGTACTGCATCATCCTACTTAGCTCAGTTCCGTTTTCACGCTGGAAAGGAATACAGCTAGATTAAACGGACCCATGCCAGTTCCACGCCAACGTTCTTTGATGAAATAATACACACCAAAGTACAAAAAAATGAATTTTCAGATTTATAGAAAAAAAAAGAAAGTCTGGAGAAGCCAGTCCAGAAGCTTTTACTCACCTTGCATTTGTCGATGTATTTGGTTAGCAAATTTTTTTATATTTTGTAAGCTCTATGCCTGCAAGACTTAATCGTAAATATTACACATTGGTCTGCTTAGTTTCACATGGTTCATGGACAATCTTGTTTTGTTACCACTGCATCATCCGCACAGTTCCGTTTTCATGTTGAAAAAGCGAATAGCTTGATTAAGAGGACCCATGGTAGTTTTAAGCAAGCTGCTCTTTAACGAATAATAAAAGAACTCGGAATTAACAGAAAAAATGTATTATAATATAAAACTATTAAAACTTAAAAATAATTCAATAATAATAAATAATAAGGTTATAATTTTTTTTGAACATATTTGTCAAGTATTTTTTTGAGACATTGTTTCATATTCTGCATTTATGTAAGACTTAAATTGTTATTAATGGATTAATGGATTAATTTAGTCCGCTTCGTTTGGCTTAGAACAAACACGCGAATGTGATTACAAACTAACACAAACGGACACTAACGCCCAAATATGAGACCAAGCAGAAACGAACACAGGAACGCGAATACAAACACTCCAACATAGAAAACAAAAAGAAACTCTTTCGGACATGGACAAAAAAACAAACACTTGAACTCAAACACAAATAGGAGAAAATTCATACAACTCAAATACACGGCCACAAATATGCTAAAACGAACTCATCCACAAATAAAAGAACACAGTATACGTCCGCTGGGAAAACTAACTCAAACAAATACACGAACGCACAAATAAGAGAACACGCAAACACAAGCTCAAAAACGATCACAAATACAAGAACACGAACTCAAACACGCGACCACTAACACGAGATAGAACACGAACTTACATACATTAACACTGACACATGAAACCAAAAAACATACGAGCACATAAAATCACGAACTGGAAAATACGAACAGCGTGTGAACACAAAGACAAACACGAGCATGAACAGCGAACAAATCGATGTATTAACCTCAGTATATATAACATGCAAAACACTAAAACATACACACACGGAGTTATAAATTTAAAAACAAAATTACTTTCAGTTATAATTTAATAGATAAAGCTGCTTTAAAACAAGCCAATGTAAAAATGCGACCTCAAGTAATTTCAACAGAGAGAAATGACTTTCTGTGCTTTGGCGCTTAACAAAATCGGCTTAAGTTATTGGTCATAGCAGCCAGAAGGGTTTTGTATTTTGTTTTCACGAACATTTTCGCAGTATGAAAATTTCTAGGAACGATTCTGGTTATATTTTAAAAGACAAGAATCATGAAAAATCACCTTTACTTTTATGATTTTACGTTTAAGAATTAATTTCATTATTTAAAACCCGAGGTTTACGAATGCCTTACTAGAATTGCATGTGCAAGATGGAAATTGCCGCTCATCACCCGGTCCGGATAGACTCGCTTGTTTCCCATTGAACGCGCGTTGTGCTGTCCAATAAACACCATTTATTAGTTATTGATGGAAAACACGGATCCGGAAACTGTACAAGTTTCCGTCGACGAGATTATACGGAATTTCTGCTGGATCAATGGAAAATTCAGGCTTTGGTCGAGATTCTCCTTCATTACTTTCTTTATAATATAAGGATAATTATTTATTCATGGTAGCTGTTGTCCTACTGTGAAAATTTGTTCTTTTACAATGTATATTTGCATCGAAGTTTCAGTCTTGAGATTGAGACTAGTGACAGCCATAGCATATTTATTAACAACCTTTATTTCTTCAGTTTAGTATTTAATTTGTCATTGTGACCCTTAAAATTTACCCAAAGAGAAATATGTTCCACCTGATACTGACGCAGCTTTCAGTCAGCCGAGAACATTTGATAAAATTCAAAGGAACTTCTGTAATAATTCTGTTCTATCTGAAGTTTATGTTGTTATCGGCTGGACAGTACATGCTGTCATTGTAAACAACCTATAAACACAACCATTTCTTGTTCCCCGTCCTGATTGCTGTTTAACCTTTGTACACCAGTATTTGCTCATGTTTAATTTTTGGTCAAGAGTCAAACCGAGATAAGTCTCCGGCCATCCAAAAAGAGTTTCCATCTATTGATTTTTCGTTGGAGATCAACGTCCTTTGGTTTGTAAACAGGATAGAGTTAGTTTTGGATAAGTTAATTTGGATTTCTAATTGATGTAAAGCTTTGTTCTTTGTTTTTCAAGTCTCGCGTGTGATAATGTTTACAGTGATATTGAAGATGGAATTTTTGGTAATCAATGAAAGTAAAGTTTTTAACGTTTGTTGGAATTTTTTCAAGTTGTTTTGAATCATGTCTTTTGACACGATAAAACAAAAGCGTTATTAAAGTTTATGTTCAGGTAATGAATTTAAATAATTTTATAAGGATTTTTTGAAATAACGTTAAAATACATTTAAAATATAGTAAAATTTGGTTTGTGATTTGAACTTCATTCGTTAGGTAATTTTCTTTGAGGTATTTGATGATGTGGAAGTCAAATAGTCTTTTTTTAAATTTTATTTGTACAAATCGTGGAAAGACAAATAAAAAAAGACTATGTTACGGGTAATGTTTCTTTTCTTTCATTATTCGTGTCTGGAAACCAGATTAGATAGATTAGCCGAGTGGTAAACGAGGAAGTTTACGAAGTCCTATTTAGTTCTAAGTCAAGTGTAAAATCTGAAAGCCTTCAGGCTAACGGTCAAATAGTTACGCATGTAGTCTAGGTTGTGTTAACACCGATCTGCATGTATTTCTGCTTGGATGATTTTATCGACTGTTTGATGAGTTTACAACCGTCAGTCTTTTTGAAGATTAGAACGACTTTGTAAACTAGAAGGGGGTCAGAATTTAAATATCAATAAATTCTGTAGACAACTGTATCACTCATTTTAATTTTAGTTTTTTGGTTATATGGTACAAATGAATTTATCGAGAACTACCAAGAATTAAGAGATTTCAATTCATTTCATGAGTTAGTTAAATATTGAGCAGAGATCTGTGACATGTTAAACCTGTAGTTGGACGTCTTTGGTCCTCCTGTTTTTACTGTGTTTTTATCTCATACTTCAATGATTGGTTTGTGCTTATGCCATATTGTGAAGCATTGTGCTGAGGTCGGCAATCCGATGATAGATCGTCTGTTTGTTAGTCTATTCTTACTGGTTTTGTTTCATACTTTAATAATTTGTCTGAGCCTACAATTTATTGTGAATCATTGTGCTGAAGTGTACAATGTAATGAACCAATAGATCCTAACTATAGTGATCGTCCCTCACTCCACATATATAATATAACTAATCTAATTAAAGGTCGATGAATATTCAATATTCCACCATCGGGCCTCTCACTACACATTCGCGCTAATAAATACATTCAATACAAAGAAATACAACGAGATACCTACATAGTACTATATACAGTAAAACATACCCGTTTCCTCCAAAAATCGGAACAGGGGATCCAAATGCTGAAGCCCAATTCTCGTATCTGGTGGCATTCCTATACGCTTCCTATTTGGAGCCAAGGAGTGGCCAAGATGAACCTTGAATCAGATGGTACACATCTAGCAACATTTTTGTACATACAGGACAAATACGCGGGCTTTGGCAACATAGCATGATCCTTAATCGGGTAATGATGACCCTTCTTCTACGAGTCAGATCCTCCGAGGCCTCCTTTGAACATTGCTCTTCGTATGTGAGAGACTATCATAAATAAGTTCAATGTTAGTTAAGTTTAATGTTTATTATGGTGTAAGTTGAGCAAATTTGACATGGCCAACGGTACGTTCCATTGAATAACCCTTGAGAGTTAAATAAGTTCGTGATGAAAATGAAAATGTTATGTATTATTTAACTTTGCACAGTTTTACCTCTTTTGCTTCTGTTGTGGCAGAATTGCTGATTCTTGAGCGACAATTCTTTGATTTTGGTTGGAGTCGATCTGGCATCTTTACCCTGTTAGTTTACCAATTTTTCTATTGAATGTCAAAATTCGCTTTATCCGGGCAGGATTTTTTTTGCCGATTCTGACCATTCAGTCGAAACGCGAATTCGTCGTCGCCGTTTTTGAAACTGGCGATAAACTTGCAGAGTTCGACGGACGAGAGAAAAAGCCGTCCTTGTGCTTCGTGTGTACCGATACATTATCGAATTTCCGTCTGAACGAAGTGACATCCAGAGGGGACAACTTTATTTAGCACAAACACATAAACCGCCCCGGGAGAAGGAAGCAATAGGCTTAATGTCGAGTGGCGATAAAATTCGACGATACGTATCCTCCCTCGCCCACTACAATCACATTCTTTAAAAAAAATTAAATATTTAAAATGCAAATTTTAAAAATTGTTGGTTTTGTGGAGCTTATATTGGCTTTTTAACCGTCTGCAGTTTTGTTTGAAGGGATTAAAAATAGACGAGTCGATAGCTGTGTTAAATCTAAAATCTCTGAACAAATTTTACCAGAGGTGGATTATCACAGCAAAGGGTGGATAATCTCTTTGACTTCAGATTCAATTAAACCTTGATTTCCGTAAATTTACTTAAGGTAAAAAGCTTATATGTATTGTGATTTAGACAACTTTTTGTTTTCCCCTTTTACAAAGTCGGACGGAATTTAAGGTTTAAAACATCCCGAGGAAATTTTTTTTTACAATCTCAGTAAATAAATAAAAAAGGAACTGAACAATATTTTTGTCGCAGCAAGACGGAGCGGTGGTAATTTTCCAATGGACGGTTTGCATGACTTAACTCTGCAATGAACTAGTCAAAATATTTCTAAACTAAGAACGGAAAAAATCAATATTCCCTTAAGAAAACAAGTGTCACTTTGAAAATAAAGTAAATTTCATTGCTTAGTTTATATTTTTTAATACTAGATGTCTTAAAGGTCTTTGGTTCATATTTATCTTAAAGTGGAGGTGTTTAATTTCCGGGTCGATGGTGAAATTAAATTATATTGATTTTTGCTACCCCCTAGGCAAATTTAACTTATGTTCTTGGTATGTTTTATTTTTTTCGCTAAAAAATTAGAAACAAAACAATATTTCGCTGGTTTTATTTTAGAAATTTCTATTTTAGCTTTATGAAATACGTTTCCCCCTTAAACTCCGTGTTATTGGCGTGTCCCTAATAAATGTCATTTTTGCCTCTTGCATGTATATTCAGTAGAAACGGCAATCAGTCTGATTACAATAATTGATTTCTTAGAGCACCAACCAATATTTAAAATGGTATTGACCATTAAAAAACCCATAAAAAACTCCTCTTTGGATAAATTGATACATTTTGACATGGTTTAAAATAATTTTATTTTACATAAATCATTCTCTTGGAAAGGGAAAAAACTTTCGACCACCATACATTGATTTATTATTTATTAACATGTACTTTCACATCTTTTTTCACATACACAATGAAGTCCATCAGGATTTGTGACATTATGCCCAAGGTTCAAAATATAAAAAAATAAATAATATGGATGGCTTCAACCAAGAAAACCGCTCGCCAAAATGTCATTATGGGAAAAAAGCTAGCTTTTCGTAGTAGGACACACCCATGACCAAAAGTGGTTTGAGCTTTTGCACGTAAATTTTTAAAAAATTAAGACACAAAAACGATTAAGGTACACTTCGCAAGAAACAGCGAAACATGCAAACTAAAGGAGAAGGAGAAAAGAAAACGATTTATTTTAAAATTCTTAGTACAAAATTTGAGTTAAATATCGATATACAATAAACAAACAAAGGAAAATTAATTCATATCATTTTCTTCTGGACCTATTCTGTCGACCGTTGAATTAACGAATTGAAGAAAGGCATGTGTTTTTGTAGAACTTAGCTTGAAGAATTCATCGATATTTTTTTGAGGGGGTCTTCTCGATGTGTACGACACTGCAGTTCATTTGACTTTTGTATGCTGAGTGTACGTTTCATAAGTTCGTCTTTAAAAGGATAGTCTACAATAACCCCTGGAGTTTCAGAACAGTAATGAAATTGGTGAAAACTGCTGATTCCAAACATTACGTACAGCGCATTCTTGCATTCTTGGTATGGCCACGGTAGAAGTGCAAGGCTTTCACCGATTTTGGAATTTAAGTTGAAAAATAATCCCGTCACAAGGTCTTTGGTGACCAGTCTTCCTTTCTTCCACTGCTACCTTAAAGATCCATTATTTAATTGACCCTTCTTTATTTTCAAGCCTCGGAAAGTGCACAATCTTTAAGGTAGTTTAGGACTTCGTGCACCTAGATCACATTTACATGTACAACGTGTTTTGTACCGGAATTTTCCTGTCCTTGCGTAAAGTCAAATGCTATGGCAGTAACAGCCTCTTTTCTTTCTATTTGCCCTTTTTCCTCCTTTAGTTTTTAAGTAGAACATATTTCCCTTCCTTCAATGCACCTAAGTCTGTCTCTTTTAACCACTTCACTGTTATCACACTTTATAGCAGCAACAAGATGCATCACCTTGTACTTAGTTCACTTGTTTTTTTTATGACAATGACGTGCCATAGGTTCAAGTAACAAGGACCTTAAAATTCAAATTAAGGTCCATTTTCGCATGAATCATAAAATCATAGAACGATTCTTTACTTTGTGCGATGGGGGTTTAATGGTTCTGAAAACCTGAAACTCTTCGCTTTTAAGTGCCCCTAGCTCCTTCTTGCATAAAGGAATTCATTATGAAACGTAAAGGAAGTTTGACAAGAAGAACGAAGAATTTGAAAGTTGCATTAGATGGGTCCAGTGAACAGGCGGACTTTTTTTCCGGTAAAAGAGATTAATAGTCCGTGTTAATACGATTAACGTCCATTTTCGCCGTTTTCCCTCCTGTGAACGTTGTGAAAAATGTGTGTTTGTGCGTTTAATGAAGAATGATGATTTAATGAGTTTCTAGAGTTGGATAAACAAAAAGGCAAAATTGTTTAATAAATATAAAAATTTATGAAATTATTTAAAAAAATATATATATATGTTTAACACTCTACAGTCGTAATTTGAAATGTTCGTGGTAGATTCTTAAGGAGGACAGCGAGGCTAAGCGGATGAGTGATGAGCGAAAATGATCAGTAATGGTCGAAATGCTGAAGACGATTCATCAACCCTTAAACCACTAGACTAGTGATGTGAGTTTAAACATCTGGCCTTAATCATTTACACTAGTAGATTTAACTATTTTCTTCATTTGTTTAAATTAATTTCTTTAACACTTCAACTAAGGAAAAAGTTCCATTTTATTTGTGAATTTGTGTGGAATGTTTATTCGACCTTGTATGCTTTTCTGATCGCACACGTCGTTTTTGTGATCACGCGAGCTTTCATTTCAAACGTTGGCACTTATTTCAATATTCCATTAATCAAGAAATTCAATTCAAAGGCCACGTTTACTCATTCAATATCGCCAGGACGGTGTTTTCCTTAAAAAAAAATCAATTTTCCCTATTTGTGAAATCTGCACGTGCCGTTGTCTGCGTTAATGCGGCTTGGAGTGGGGTTTCTCTCCAAGTGGAAACATTTTGGCGTAGAATTAGGGTAATCACGCTGAATGGCATTCTCTCAACTACCGCTTGCACTACCGAAGCGAGGGAAGGTTAAGAACTTTCTTTTCAATATGTCGCACCCGCGAGATTATTTGCGAGGCACGCGATTAATAAAGGGTTATTTAAACGCTTTGATGCCCCAAAAAATAACACAAAAAAACGGCATTTGTCAAAGATGACAGCCCCGTAGATAGGGTAAAAAGCACGTCTAGGCTCTTTCATAGTAAAGTTATGAACTGCACCATTTTTAAAACGCGTGAACATTGATTACAGATTTATTTTTATCCGCATCATGACGTATTTTTTTTCCATGCCACTAACGACATGTACAACCCGATATCACGGGGTAATAATACATATATACTTTTTCTCTGTGTTTTTATAGACACGGTTAAAAAATATCCGAAAATGTAAGAGAGTAAATTTTAATAGGGACGAGAGCAAAACAAAAAAAAATTATCATAAGCGTATAAATTAAAAACAACACAATTCCTCCCTATCACGGAACGCCGCCGATGAGTTCTGGTCAGCTGTGGATAAATAAACGAAAGATCTAAAAGAAATAGGCAAAAAAGATTTTCTTTTTAAATGTCTTATTTTTCAACTAAATCTATTTTTGGTATTCAAAGTATAAAATAGACCTAAATACATTAAAATTTAAGGGTAATACTTTTTTTATTTTATCTATCACTGTAGTTGAATTTTCTTTTTCAGTCCTTCTACACCCAGAAAAAATCCTTTTGTAAATAAATGTTAATACTATCTAATGTGAAATATGTTGATTTTTTAAAAATCTCCGTAGATATTTAGAAAAGTATCCAAAGTTGGCAATGATGATAGGTTGGGGCATAAAGCTGATGGGGGGAAAATAAATTTCAGTCCTTCTACACCCAGAAAAACTCTCTTTATAAAAATATGTTAACACGATCAAACGTGAATTATGTTGATTTTTTTAAAATGTCCGTAGATATTTATTAGAAAAAATATCCAAAGTTTGCAGCGATGATAGGTTGGGGCAGAAAGCTGATGGGGAAAGATAAATTTCAGTCATTCTACACCCAGAAAAATCCTGTTTATAAGTAAATGTTAACACGGTCAAATGTGAAATATGTTGATTTTTTTAAAGATATTTATTAGAAAAAATATTCAAAGTTTGCAACGATGGGGATAAAGCTGATGGGGATAAAGCTGATGGGGAAAAATAAATTTCAGTCCTTCTACATCCAGAAAAACTCTCTTTATAAAAATATGTTAACACGATCAAACGTGAAATATGTTGATTTTTTAAATGTCCTCCAGAGCCGGTTGATATTTTGGAATGTATAAGTATATTTTGCAATGAAAAGAAGTGGGAGAATTTATAAATTAATCACGATGAATATTATTTATCAGGTAACGAATTGTTATAAATTCATCATCAACTGACTCGTTCTCCGTTTGGTAAGAAGCCACCAATGTTCAATAAAAATAATTTTATTTCAGCTACATGATAAATTCTATGTGTCCAATTGTTAGAATATTATTGTTTGTTTGTGGTGTAATGGTTATGCTAGTGCAAATGATTCGATACAAGAAATGAAGTAGCAGTTTATTTTGAGAAACACTTTAGAAAAGGCATAAATATATATCCTGCTCTATTGTCATGGATGGCCTAGGGTATGACTTTTATCAACTTTGCCCCTTCACACATTGTTAAAAATGAACTGATAGTTTTAAATATACCAGACGACCATTTTGCCAATTTGTGGTAGAGAAAATGCCGTTTTCGTTGTCAAACTTTCGCTCACAACCGGTACACATACTCAAGGAAGAAATGCAACTACGATTTTTTAGAGATTTGGTTTAGTTGACGGTTCGCCTGTTGATGGACTGCAGACATAAATTTATTATAAAACTGTCAAACTGTTAAAAATCACTTGCGCTTACAAGGCGTGGGTCAACTTTTCACCCTGATCAATAAACAACAAAACAAAAATACACTACAATCACAAAATTTTAATATAAAAAGCGTCGAGATTTCGGTTTCTTTATTGATAGTCGTAGTGTTATTTCGCTAATTATCTCTGGAACGAAAGCTTTTGTTCAATTGTTAAAATAATTCATTTTATCAATTAAATTGTATTCGAGCTTATAATTATATTTTGAAATCCTTTTCACCTTTGTTAATTGGTTTCGTCGGATGTTGCGCTGATTTATTTTTTTATATTTTTATTAAAACTTTATATTGTTTTTCAGTCCGTTTATTCTTGCTCCTTCAATCCGGAAAAAATTCGATTTTGGAAAAAAATGAGAAGTCCTGTATCGTGTTTATGTATTTATTACACTGAAGTTCATGTAATCTTCATTCTGAAAGCTTGTAAGGAGTCAGAGAACCAACCGGTCCGTTTTGTTTTCATATTGATTAATATGTACCATTGAAAATGCACGATTCTGAAGTATAGTTGGCTTTGTGTTGGCGACCAATGGACCAAATCTTACGTATTCTCCTAATGGATCTAGGTGACCAGATAGGATGGTCCTTTTTTGTTTTATTTGTTTTTTCACGGTCTATGACAAAAAAAAGGAATATTTGGCCACATTGGACATCATCAAATACTTCAAAGAAACTAGCATTCTACTGTTGGCTTTGTACCAGCGATTCGTAGATGATTTTTAAGACAAATGGATTTTTGAAGTCAACTTTTTTCGGAGCACATGCGTTTAAATGTCTTTTTTTGAACAGGTTCGAGGTCATGAAGTCGCAGATTTTATTAAAAATAACCTCTGGGAACGAGATCCCTCGCCCTTAATGAGATTAAATTAACTAGTTCATTCACTACCTTTTTCATAGGAAATTTTTAACGACAAAACTTATTTTCATTTAATGTAAGATAATCGAACTCGAATCTACACAAGAAGGATTGCAAGCCCTCCTGTAAAAGTCTTTATTGATCCAAAGAGAAAATAGGGCGAAAGATTTTTAGGTCGTCGGTTGGAGTGCAAATGAAGTGTTATTAAGGACCGAGCTAACGTCATTAAAAATATTGATTTGTCCGGAAAATAATGCATGTTTATGATTATAAAATAAAAACAATTAAATGATGGACATTTTTCAAACATAAATTATTGACATGTTTTATTAATTAAAATGCCCTCCATCTCTCTCAATACACTTCTCCCTACCTGATGGCAACTTCTCTCTACCATCTGAATAGAATTTTGAGTCATTATTATTAATAAATTCACTAAATGCATTTTCTAACGAGTTTTGATCAATATTTTTTTTGTGTTGTGAAACGTCCAGGTTCGAGAGGTCCGGAGAATAGGGATGTAAGGCAGAACATCTTAACTAAGATCCAACAGGTTTTGTGTAGTGCTGCTCTTTTGTCGAGCCACTGTCCAGAAGTCTGCTGTTATCCTAGAGAATCCACTTTTCACCACAAATAACAATTCTATCCAGAAAAAGATTTGTTTCTGTTTCAGCAAAATGTTGCGCTTCATAACGATGATTTTTTTGGCGGCCGTTTAATGCATGAGGAACCCAACTTTCCAGCTTTTTCACCTTTTGCAGGTGGTGTCTTGGTGGTCAGCGACGGTCGATTTGCTAACTGAAAGATTTTCTGCAAGTTCTCGAACAGTGTTCTGGGATTTTCTTTGACCAAAGCTCGCAGAACGTCATCATCTATGGAAGATTCCTTCCCTAACGTTTGTTGTCTTCAAAACGAAATACTCCCTCTCGAAATTTTTTGAACTATATCTGAGCGGTGCTCTGCATTCAGCCATAGCCCCAGACTTCATTAATGTTTGGGCTCCGTTCCTACCGAGTTTAAACTCATAAAACGAAATTACGCGATAATGACGTTATAATTGAATTATTCCCACGTAACGAAATGCTGCTGAGGTAAACATTTTTGTTCGGAAGGGGATTAAAAAAATGTTGACATTCGTACAAAAGAATAATCGACCAAACGTAAACAATTCATTATGTAGAGGGGTAATCGAAAGTAAACATGAAAATCAGCATTATTTTGAGGACAATCCAATATAAGAAACATTGCAATAATTGGTCAAGCGGACCACGAAATTAGTGAATATAAGAAACAATTTTGGCCCCGAGTGAGAGCCTGGGGCTCACCAGAGTCAATAGCCTAGTCCTTGCATTTTCATTCATTTTACCATCAAACGATCTTCCCTGTCGGAGGCCTTTGACAAATCCGTGGAAACTGAATGATGACCAAATTCAAAATGTAATCCTTATAAAGAACTAGGTTGGTTACGGGATCGACCTTTCATGGATACCGTTAAATGAAAGGCTCAACTCATCAGGAATCCAGTCATTTATGTCTCTTCGCGTAAAGACAAATATAATTGAAAGAAGTACAGACAGGGCCCTAGTTATCGACGAAGTTTTCTTGAATTAAGTAATTTTGGATGGTGACGTGAATTGTATACCACCATGGAACATTTCACGGGTATTGCCTCTATTAACATGCTTAACATTGACAAAGGGCTCAAACTTCTCAACATCATGAATAGTTGTAAACTTGGCAATTATCTTGTCGAATACGAGAGTCGACCCCCTTCAGACGTGATGACCTGGTCGGTTG